CCCCATCCGCCTCCCCCGTATCCCGCTTCCTCCCCCCCTCCGCAACAACATACGCCGTATTCTTCGGATCCGTCCGAATCTCAATCCACCCGCCGCAAACTGTATGTTTCATGCGGAAGCTGTAGATCGGGGTGGAGTAGTAGTTGCCCACTTTCTTCTTCTCGGCGTTGAAGCGCACGCCCTGGCCGATGATGTTCTCGGGCTTGCAGGTCGTGCACCAGACTGCGAAGGGCATTTCGAAGCGCACGATTAGGGCGCCTTTTGTGTGGAGGTGCCGCGCGCGGGATCCCAGCGGGTGTTTGTTTGCGAGCTTGTTGGCTGTTGTGAGGCCTTCTTGGTCGGGCGGGATGTACCGGCCCATATCTGGAGAGAAATAAGTCGTTAGCTATGTTCTTGAATCGGGGTTGTCATGCGATGGGATGCGATGCGCGGGGATCGCGGGGCATGCGTACTGAAGCCCTGCATTTTGGCGGTATTTGTGACGTGATGAGGCTTAAAGCTATGCTTTGGAGTCTATATAGCGTAAAATCATTCCCTGGGTATGGGCCGCGCTTGTTATTTGGGTGCGATGAAACAAACTGAGCCCCTGTTGCCGTAAGTGCTGCTGAAGGCCCGTGGCGGATGTCATTGACATAAAAGTGAGCAAGAAAAGCTATGCAGCTGACTAAGTGTGTACAAAATGGTTATGCATAAGCATAACCGTACTGTAGAAACCCTACCTGTTAGCTACAGAAAGTTAAGAAACCAAATGCCTAGAGGCGGGATAATCATTGAGTTTGAGTATATCACCGTATATAGAAGCTACAAAATAGAGCAACGTCCGCCAACCTCACACTCAACCTTTAAATCCACCACACTCTCGCCAATATATACCTTTACACCCTCCCCACCAACAACAGTCTTCCAATCCTGCACCATTACATCCCAGACACTCACATCCTTCCTGGTGATACCTAACATAAGGGTTTCACTTGCTCCAGCTTCCAATATCCCAGTCTTCTCAAACTGCCGCAACTGCCTGCTCGGCGTGTCAAGCCCTATCGACTCAGGTAATTCAACGTACAGCTGCGCAACGGCACGGCCGGGTCGCTTGCCGGTGTTGGTGACGGTTACTTGGATTGAAAATGCAACATCCCAGAGAGCAGGGTTCCCTCCCTCTGCGCCTCCCGCGCGTGGCGGAGGCTTAGGCTCTGTGGTGTATCCGTCGGGGTAGGCGTATTTGTTTGTGGAGTTGGCCACCGCGGCGTCAGCTTGCGGGTTATCGAGATACGGGTAGATGTAGCGCCAGATTCGGTCGAAGCTCGCTGGCCAGGCGGCTTCGGATGCGGGAGGGATGGTAGTTGGGTACGTGGGCGCCGAGCCTTTTGCGGATCGGGAAGGGGGATATGCGCTGTCTAATGGGGTGACGACTGAGACAGTGGGTTCGGAGAACTCGAAGGTCGTGTAGGAGAGGCCGTGCCCGAAGGGGTAGCGGGGTGTGATGTTCTCCTTTAGGAAATGGCGGTAGTCGATATAGATGCCTTCAGTGTAGTAGTCTTGGATTTGGCCGAAAGGTTGCTGAAGTAGGCCTACGCTTGATGGGTAGTTTGCCTCCTCGCGCGGAATGGTATAGGGGAGATGGCCGCTAGGACTGTAGTCGCCAAAGAGAACGTCCGTCAAGGAGTAGCCGGCTTCTTGGCCTGGGAGATGGGCGACGAGGACGGCCTTGACGGGATCTAAATCGACCCATTCTTCGAGGATTATGGGCCCAACGGTGTGGATAACAACGACTACCTGCGAGAATCTTTCAGCAGCGGCTTTGACTAGACCGTCACCATTGTGCCAGGCGTGCAAGCCCGATGCTGTCCGGTCCCCCGGGTTGCCGTCGACGGTGATGTAGTTCTCGCCGGAATCGGAGTTAATGAACACAATCGCAATGTCTTCGTCGTTAGCTTCGATAGAGGACGGGAAGCTGTCTGTAATATAGAACTCTGCTGTAGGGGTTATATTGGCAATTGCTTCCTGCGGTGTAATCAGATACGGGAGCTTGGATGTGCCGCTGCCCCATCCCATCGTGAGTACGCCCCTATTGCAGCCTTTATCGGTACAAGAGTTCAATCCTTGGGGATCTGGACCGGCATCTGTACCAAATACCTTCAATGAGTCATTGACTCTCAAGGGCAGCAAGTCGCCTTCGTTCTTTAGAAGCGTGATGGCGTCTCTTGCGATAACTCGGGCAGTAATGTCATGGTCCGCTTGAACATCCACATATTGGTTGACAATTCCAACGGGGGAGAAGAGGGCGCCCGGGTATAGTAGGCCTCTTTCATCTTCCGTGTTGCTGGAGAAGTTGGGAAGTGGATAATCCTGGTCTTGACCCATCTTGAACCATGCTGCTAGAATCCGAGTCACCTGCATGCATTAGCTTGCTCGTAGCATGATTCATTGTCACATACCATATCATTCAAGCGGTCAACCGGAACAGTCCCATTGAGGATTGAGCGTGATAATTCATAGCCCCAGTAACTATTCCCAAGAAGTGGAATGGGACCGTCTCCAGGCATATCCATGTCCAAGCCGGCGAGTGCAGATGAAACTCCGCCAAGGTGCGCAAGCCAATCCGTTACAACAAAACCCTGGAAACCCAACTCATCCTTAAGTATCCCATTGATAAGCTTGCTGTTTTGACTGCAAGCCGATTTGTTTACCTAAACGATCAGCATGTGATGATTTAGGAAAGGAGTTCCACTCACATCATTGTATGCAATCATCACAGACCCTACTTCAGCCCTAACACCCTCAGCAAAAGGCCAGAGGTAGAATTCATGCAGCGTCCTGTCATCGATGTTGGACGAGTAGCCTTGTGTGACGACACTGCTCATACGATGCATCTCCTGCTCATTCCCTATAAGATGCTTGATACAAGCAATGGCGCCTGTACTCTGCATACCCTTGATCGTCTGCGCTGCTCCTACACCCTGCAAGACCGGATCGAACCCGAAGCCCTCCCAATTGCGGCCACCTCGGGGCTTGCGCCCCATTGGGCCAACAGAAGGCCCAAGTAGCACATTGACGCCTTTCCCGCGGGCCTCTTCTCCGAGCCCGACACCACGTTCGTACATGAGGCTCTTGTCAAACGTAGCACCAACAGTGATCCCCGCCGGAAAAGCGGTATTGTGGTCAGTGTTGCGCACGCCCAACGGAGAGTCATGCAGACACAGACTCGGGATGCCGAGACGGGGGACACTGCCCGTTTGGCCGGCGCAAGGGCCCATGAATATCCCAGTGCCGGTAGTAAGGTTCACTTTCTCCGCCAGCGTCAGGTTGCTTACGACACTGTGAGCTTTCTCGTAGGCCTCGGCCCAGGTCGACACCCAGCCGCCATTTGGAGCTGGGTAGTATGGCGGAGAGAACGGTTCCTCGCTGGACTGGCGTGCGTCGAGACTGGCTCCAAAGTAGGCCAGCCCACGCTGTGCTGCTGCGGCTATCAGGGCAGCCGTTAGCCCGCGAGGGAGCATATTCCTATCTCGTCCGGAGGCTCTTGGTGTTGTGAATAGTACGGATGCTCGATGTTCATGGCACCGGGCCCGAGTCTGCGCAAGGAGATTCGCCAACAGGCTCTTGTACACGGGTGTAGAGACAAACAGCCTCTGCTCGACCCAACGAACATCGAGTCAAGAGGGGTTGAAATAGAGATATGCCACAGCGCGACTCGAGAGTGGTGCCCCGTGCAAAGGTCATGCTCCCCTTAAGTTCCTTGAGCGGGTCATCTCCAAGTCCTCTCATTCCTGGAAATTCTCCAAACCCCTGGGGGTGTAACCGAGCAGTCACCCTGTTCTGGTAAAGATCAAGGTTTCATGCATGAGCCCCCATGTTGATCACAAACGCTAACCTTCGATAGACGTGCAGTGGAGGCCAAGAACCCTCCCTGTTGGAAATGCAGTCCGCATGACGGAAAGTATGGAGAAATGTTCCTGTCGAGTCGAGGTCAAGCCGGGATGGTTGGGTCAGCATCTTGAAGGGCTTGAAAGTCACCTTCATTCTGTGCTGTGAGAACTGGGAGGCATGCAGAAGAGTCTGCGCCTGTATTCAACACAGTCGATGAGCATGAATCTCGAGAAGATCAGCGAGTCCCCGTGGGGTAATTGCTTTTTCTGTTAGTCGGCACATGTGATCCCCAGACATCCATCACCAAAACAAACGAGTGGCTCCTTTCTGAGCTTCAGTCCCTACAACAGACGTAACTATTCGACAGCCTAAAATTTACTCCAACAATGACAGAGTGGACCGCATCGTCATCCTCACGCCAGAAACCCACTATTCCTCTCCGGGAACTCCTCCTCCACTCGGTCTCTACTTCTAGAGCCGAGGCCCCGAGTACTTAACCGCCGCATCTATCCCGACCGATGCGCAAATTACCTCATTCTCAAGTCCGCCACCTCTCAAAGTTCTACAAGATGTCGAAACTCTCTCCAAGCCTCAAGGCGCTCATAAACGCGCCGGCCGCGCGCCCAAACACCGTCCCCGCCCCGCGGAACATCCAATCCGTGTACGCAAAGATCCAGCACACCGCGCAGGCGAAGAATGTCTCGCGGAATTCGTGGATTGCGTTATCGGTGCGCTTCCTCCCAAGATCTCAAGCAGCTTTCTGTAGAAAATAATCTAATTAGCCGTGTATCGTCCAGACAGCAGCAACAATGACAATGAACTCCCCCGCATCCCTAACAGCGCTCTACGAAACAGCCACAACCTCCGAATCCGCCGAGTTAACACACGTCCAAACCGCCGAGCTCATGCGCGAGGTCGGTCTGAAATGCATCAGTTTCAACGGCATCCCCCGCACAATCAACTGCCTGAACGCATTCAAAGCGTCCCTCCCTTCCTCCATCGCCTCGCAGCTCTCAACAACGCCCACCCGCACCCCCTCACCCAAGAACATCTCCGACATTTCCTCCCGCGGCAAAGGCCTCTGGGACTCGATCTACCGCCCCTTCGAGGTAAAGCTGTACGAGAAGCTCGCCGACTCGCATCCGGATCTCCCTGTGCATATTCTGCATGCGAACTACGGGGCTCTACTTTCTGATCCCGCTGGGCGGACGACGGGTGCGAACTTGGGGCGCATCGGGACGAGTATTGTGGCCATTGCTTGTTTGAGGGCGCAGACGGGTGTTGGGCCGCAGGTTGTGTCGCATGTCTTTGGGCTCAGGAAGGCGCTGGAGGATGGGACTTGGGAGCAGGATGTTGAGGGGGAGGAGGGGGCGAGGTGGTTGGCGGGTGAGGAGGGGAATGACTGGATCTTGAGGAGTGTAGATGAGATCGTGGAGAAGATCAGTGAAGGACTGGGGTCGAACTTCGCGCCGGGAAAGGCGAACTTGTAGAGTTTGTGGGTCGTTCCCATCCAAGGTTGTAGATAGAGGTTTGGGGATGGCTTGTATATAGTGGACATAAACTCCTAGATAAATGCATAAGATTTGAGTCAAGAAAGTACGTCTGGCATTGATGATGGAGCGAATAGCTTTCTCCCGTAAATGAATCATTTTCTCTTTTCAAATCCCTGAATGGGCCAATGAAGCCATTCGGATATACTCCGGGGATTTCCCCCACGATTCTGTGCCTACTCCGGAGTAGAGTGACTGCCGACAGGAGAATGCGCGGGGCCTCTCCGCTTCAATAAATGGTTAGAGCTCAAACATAGACACACGACTCGCGCAATTATGCAAATCCAAGTCCCGATGCATCCATGTCGGGGAGACTCCGCGCATCTCCAACTCGATCTACGCCAATGAACGCCTTAGCCGTCTATCCCCGAGGCAGCCCTAAGCAAACCCCAGGTGGCAGATGTGGCGGCGTTATTGATTCCCCGCGCTTGATGGGGAGATACATGCAATTAGCTTATCAGGCAGGGTACAACAATGAATTTTCACCTTTACTTAAGTTAGTGCTTTTCCGTTTCTTAGGCAGACCAATTTTGCTGACACAATTGTCTTTTGTTTTTCGTTTCGCCTAGCATGACTCGGACGTTCGATATAGACTATGTTCTCGCGAACATTAGCGATCAGGATAAGATTGCGCTGCTCTCTGGTTCGTCGGAACTTTGTTTACTAGGTAGATTCCTGCTAACTGTTGCTAGGGATTGATTTCTGGCACACGCACCCCATTCCCGAGTTTGGCGTACCATCAGTGCGAGTAACGGATGGACCAAATGGTATTCGAGGAACCAAATTCTTCGCCGGCGTGCCTGCTGCTTGTCTACCATGCGGAACAGCATTGGGCGCCACCTGGGACCGAGAACTATTGCGACGTGCGGGGGAGCTTCTCGGAGACGAATGTATAGCCAAGGGTGCACATTGCTGGCTGGGTCCGACGGTGAACATGCAACGGTCACCACTGGGAGGGCGAGGGTTCGAATCCTTTTCCGAGGATCCTTATCTGGCGGGTGTTGCAGCGGCTTCGATGATCGGTGGATGTGAGAGTAAAGGGATTATCGCCACCGTGAAACACTTCGTTGGCAATGATCAGGAGCATGAACGTCGAGCGGTCGATGTGATTGTGACGCCGCGAGCCCTCCGCGAGATATACCTTCGGCCATTCCAGATTGTTGCTCGAGATGCGAGACCGGGTGCCCTTATGACGTCGTATAACAAGGTGAATGGGAAGCATGTAGTGGAGGACTCGAATATGTACGATCTAATTCGCAAGGACTGGGGTTGGGACCCGCTGGTCATGAGTGATTGGTATGGCACCTATACGACAATTGACTCGACAAACGCAGGACTGGACTTGGAGATGCCTGGAGTATCAAGGTATAGGGGGAAATACATTGAGTCTGCAATGCAGGCGCGGCTCATTAAGTCGTCGACACTGGATGCGCGGGCTCGTAAGGTCTTGGAATTTGTGCAGCGGGCGAGCCGGACCAAGGTCTCAGATGTTGAAAAAGGGCGTGATTACCCGGAGGACCGCGCTCTGATGCGTAAGCTCTGCTCAAACAGCATTGTACTGCTCAAGAACGAAGGAAGCATCCTTCCGATCCCGAAGACGGTCAAGAAGATTGCGCTCATTGGCTCTCATATCAAGATGCCAGCAATATCTGGCGGCGGCAGTGCAGCGCTCAAGCCGTACTATGCGTCAACCCTGTATGATGCAGTAAGAGAGGCTCTTCCAAATGCAGAGGTGGTATTCGAGACGGGGGCGCATGCCCACAACATGCTCCCGGTGATTGATCGTCTACTAAGCAATGCGGTTATACACTTCTACAACGAGCCGATGAGCAAGCCAGACCGCAAGTGCCTCGGGACCGAAACAGTTACCAGCACCACTTTTCAGTTCATGGACTATAAGCTTGCGGGGCTCAATAGGGCACTTTTCTGGTCCACTTTGATCGGCGATTTCACGCCCGACCAGTCTGGTGTATGGGACTTTGGGTTAACAGTCTTTGGAACCGCGAATCTGTACATTAATGACAACCTGGTCATTGACAACACATCCAACCAGGTCAAGGGGACAAGTTTCTTCGGTAAAGGCACACGAGAGGAAACCGGTTCGTTGACGATGACTGCTGGCCAGACGTACAAGATCCGGATCGAGTTTGGATCGGCCAATACAACCACGATGAAGACCACTGGGATGGTCAATTTCGGTGGTGGCGCCGCCAACCTAGGGGCTTCTCTGCGCATGGATGCCGAAGAGATGGTTATTCGAGCCGTGAAAGCAGCCAAAGAGGCCGATTACGCCGTTATATGCACCGGGCTAAACCAGGATTGGGAGTCGGAAGGATTTGACCGTTCGCATATGGACCTTCCTCCTGGCATTGACAAGATGATATCCCGCGTGCTTGAAATAGCTGCGGACAAAACAGTGATCGTCAACCAATCCGGGACTCCCGTAACAATGCCTTGGGAGAGCAAGGCCAAGTCAATAGTCCACGCCTGGTATGGAGGCAATGAAACAGGACACGGAATTGCCGATGTGCTGCTTGGGGACGTAAACCCATGCGGTAAACTCTCGTTGTCCTGGCCCATCGATGTGAAGCACAACCCAGCGTATCTGAACTACGCCAGCGTCGGTGGTCGAGTGTTGTACGGCGAAGATATCTATGTCGGGTACCGGTTCTATGAGAAGACCGGTCGTGAGGTTTTATTTCCTTTTGGGTATGGTTCCTAAACCCGGCGCCCGTAGATGAATCATTGCTGACCGAGATGCAGTCATGGCTTATCATATACCACTTTTGCGGTATCCCCGAGAGCCTCGATCTTTCCCAATACTTTCACACCGGATAGCCCTCCGGCTGCAACGGTGTGGGTCAAGAACACTGGAAGGATAGCCGGCGCGCAAGTGCTGCAGTTATACGTGGCAGCACCCAATAGCCCGACATCCCGCCCGGCAAAAGAGCTGCAAGGCTTTGCAAAGGTGTTTCTGCAGCCCGGTGAAGAGAAGACGGTTGAAATCAGGATCGACAAATACGCAACGAGTTTCTGGGACGAGATCGAAGAAACGTGGAAAAGCGAAGCGGGCGTGTATGAGGTGCTGATTGGGTCGTCGAGCGAGGAGATTATTGCCTGTGGACAGTTCGAAGTCGACCGAACAAGACACTGGGGCGGCCTGTAGCTGCGTAGCCTAGACGGTAGAAGCAAACGTAGAAATGACTGTTTGATTGGAGGAAAAATGGATCCTGGATGTTTGAGGCGACTTACAACCGAGGCCGGCTGCAAGCGTTGGCGGGCGGGTCCATCACCTACCAAGTCTGCCCACTCATTTCGTACATTTCCCTATGCCACGGCCCTTGACAATCTGAGTTCCTCAGCATGACCCTGCCTGCATAGCTAAACGGCATGATTCAGTAGCGTTGCGGCTACAAGGGGCTGAAGAGTCCGTCATCACGCACGCGAAGTCTCCCCGCAGCGATCTCACTTACTACTTACCTCTCCCCCCACATTGCAAATCTGCAGATGGAGACTACTTCAGGCCCTCCCAAGTCGCGCAAGCACACTAGAGTCTTGACAGCGTGTGACGCTTGCAGGCTCTCCAAAACTCGCTGTGACAGCAGTCGTCCGTGCTGTGGGAAGTGCCTCCGTCGGGGAGTTGCATGTATTTATCCAGAATCAGACCCACTGTCAATGTCAGTTTGTCTTCGATCTTTGCATATGGTCTGATTGAAGTCTAACAGTCTTGGTTTGTTAGACTCCAGGAATGGGGGTCCAAGATCCTCGACTCGGTCGAACGCCAGGAACGTTTCCTCGCAGAGACGCTTGGGGCCGCCAGTCCCTCGAACGTGCCTCCCCATGTTCAACAGCAGCAGCCATTTTCCAACCTCTTTCACTCACCGATTGAGCCGCAGGACACGGAGCTGATATCACGCAATGATACGTTGAAGACACCGATTACGGGATCAGAAATGATCCTAAGCTGGCCCATCTTTCCCCAGGAGAGACCAGTCTCGACATTTCCGCCTGCCGCATTCGAGGAGAAGCCGGATCGCTTTCCCACCGGTTCGTTCCTTTGCTTTCTGCCATCCTTTGGGTTGAGGTTATGGCGCTAATATCGAGTTTCACAGTTATTCCCAGCTTCGAACCGCGGAGGATATTAGAATTACGGGACATTTTCATGACCAAAATACTGGCCAAGAACCCCATAATCGATGCAGAGCAGCTGGAGGCATACATAGCGCACGTGCTAGAGACTGGTATTGATTGGTCTGCTTCTTCGTGTCTTGTGCTACTCGTCCTTGCGCTGGCAGCTATTTGGGGCACGTACCCTGAGGACGAAACGAGAGAGGTTCCTTGTCCGGAACCTACTTTTGGCTCTAACCGGCCAATGACCTACATGACGGTCTCGATACCGGAACATCGAATGAAGGAGTCACTAGGATATTTGGCCATGGCCAGAAAGCGCATTTCCGCTGCCTATCTGGATACTACACTTCTTGGAGTCCAGTGTCTATGCTTGTTTGGGCAAGTCGACCTCGACGGGAAATGATATACTTCACTAATTGCCGGCTAGATTCTGGTATCAGTATAATATCGAGCCAATTCCCGGCTGGAAGATGTTTCGCACGGCCTCGATGTTGTGGCAAACTTATAACATGAGACACCGGAGTGGGAGCGGGGAAAGGTCTGCACAAGAGGAGAGTATGCATTTGCCCCCTTTGAAACTGGGATCTAGCAATTAACTATCGTGAACAGGCATGGAGCAGCGGCTGTATTGGACGTGCCTCAAATCCGAGTGGTAAGATGTCGCCATGGGGTTACCATACAAGTCACTGATTTGGAGATTGAAGTGAGGTCCGATATGAACTATATGAATTACCACCCTCGGATCTCTCTCTTTCCGACTTTCCTTTTGCGCTACCCAGCTTTTCTGTCTATGAATCCCCGTACGGAGGTAGCCCTGAGCACGATCCCAACAGCCCGTCCGCTCTAGCCCTAGACTCCACTCCATACTACTATTACCTTGCAGAGATATCGATGCGAAGGTTGCTCAATCGCGTGCGAAACACAGTGCGCATCCTCTCACCAGGTCTTGATATCCCCGCCATCAAGCAACTGTCTGGTACCCTTAGCCACCTTGAAGACCAGCTTCATCAATGGGTGGTATGTCTACCTCCCGCTCTCCGGTTCAACATGCCTCTCGAGTCGCGCCCGCCACCGAAAGAGCCCGAGCTCGTGAAGCTCGTCCGCGAGCGCTACGTGGAAGTCCGAGAACTCCTCTGTCGCGCATACCTATACCTCTGCATTCACACGCCACTCGACCGGGATCTCGCGGCATTGTACGGCACCAAGGCCACCGAGTCACTGCTCCTCGCAGTCTACCGCATTCAAAACGAAGTGCCCTTTTTTAGACACCCGGGGTCATGGGGTGCATGTCGAGTGCGCTTCAATCACGCGCTCTGCCTCATTGCTGCCTTTCGCGCAAAAACAGACGAGATCCCTGCAGCCGAGTACGTCAGTCTGCCTGTCAGCTGGGCCACGTATGTTCGGGTAGTAATCGAGCGACTGAAAATCTGGGGTCAAGAAGGTGGTGGCATCAAAGAGCTGGGCTTTCTGCTTGATTGGCTGATGCTTGGGATTGTATAACCTCAGCCAAACTGGATGTCCAGGATCAACGTATGATTTACGATTCCACACCTGACACATTTGCCGGGGTTGTCTTGGATCATGTGTCCATCGGCAGACCATTCAGTCTAGTTCTAAATCTTGATGATTTCTCAGGATTTCCGCAACGCGACATCGAATTGCTTGCGTTAAACTTGCAAATGGTCGAATAGCTGCGACTCCCTTGTTGCCGGCATCAGTCGTTTTTTGAATTATCCAACGAGGGGGTTGGATATTCAATTGAAGACTTGATTGGATAAGTCAAATTAACCCAATTATTTGACTTTTCCATCCTTTCCCATAGCTAGCTTGAAAAATAGTCGGGCGGAGTTCCTCCGCTTTCCTTGCTCTGAAGCCTCTGACAGAATCTGCATATGCGAGCTCGGACGAACTGGTCATGCAGAGTCAATTTATCGTCCAATGGGTGGCGTTGTTACTGACTTATTCTGCAGCTAAGCTGCCGGCCTAGACCTCGACAGGGGTAACCGGGTTGGTATGGAGCATTTCTGAAGCCTGGCTGGCTTTTTGAGCCGACGAACGATATTAATTTGTCCAAAGGCTTTCTTTCCTAAGCCTTAAGGACGGCGCCCAACCGAAAAGGAGTTCCGATATCCGGTCATGGTTCAGCAATGATGCCTGTCAACCCCGCTTAGCTGTCGCTATATAATATGTGCTAGGATCTAGTTGGTGTACCAACCAGGTGTTCCACGATCATTCTTGTTATCACCATACCATCATGAGACTCTTCTCCCTTGTCCTTGCTGCATCATTCGGGGCAGTGAATGCTCTAATCCCTCGACCTACTGCCCCCTTGTCTTCCGTGAGCCAAGCTGCATGGGAAGCATTCAATGAGACGGTCGGCGGACGCCTGTATAACGGCGAGCCTGTGTTAGCCCCCTGTTATCCCAACTACAATGGAGAGCCTCAAAGATCGGATGCAGAGGAATGCACTGTGCTGCAGAGCAGCAGGAACAACGGCAGCTTCACGTCTGACAATTTTGGTGCATATCGAGAGGTTCGTTTGCCTCGATCGCCATTCCCTCGAAGAAAGATATGCAGTGTCGAGCTAACACTATACAGTCCAACTGGGCCGCATGCCAGACTACTGGTGAAGGGTGCACATTTGACGTCAGATTGTCAAGTCCTGAGCCTTCGGAACAAGTGTGCTATCAGGGCAGCGTATCGCCAAAATACGTTGATGCCCGCAGTGTCGAGGATATCCAAGCGACCCTTGAGTTCGCGAAGGCACATCATCTGCGCCTGGTAATCAAAAACACTGGGCATGACTATAGCGGCCACAGCTCTGGCGTAGGGTCATTGGGCTTATGGTACGTTTACCCCCGTGCTACACATGCTTCTGAAGCGATGTACTAATCCGTTAAGGACACATCATATCCGTCCTTCAATTGAACTCGAGACGGACTTCATCCCCGACGCTTGCACGGAAGCCGCTGGAGACGCAATCACTTTCGGTGCTGGGCAACAGTTCGCGGGGGTCTACGAATTCGCCCATCAGCATAACTATCGCGTAGTGGGAGGCTCCTCGCAGACTGTTGGTGTGGCTGGCGGTTGGATCGCTGGCGGCGGACACAGCATGCTTTCGAACGAGCTTGGTGGGTTTCCATCCTTAGCCCTAATTTGCTCATAAACTTTGAGTGGAGGACTAACTGCCGCAGGACTGGGTGCGGACAACACTCTACAGCTGAAAGTCGTCCTTCCCAATGGCACATATGTTACGGCAAACCGATGTCAGAATCAGGATATCTTTTTTGCCCTCCGCGGTGGCGGAGGTGGCACATTTGGGGTGGTCACTGAAATGAGCATGCTTGTCCACCCTGAGAAGCCTACAATCCTAGCCTTGATCACCTTTCCTAACATTAGCTCCGCTAATGCTTTGGAATTTCTTTCCATCACCGTCGCAAATGCCAACAAATGGGCTTCTGAAGGCTGGGGAGGATACATTCAGCTTGGCCCACTGGGAATGGGTGTCTCGACCTTCTTCATGTCTACCTCGCTGCTTGATCAGTCCGCTGCTGAGGACTCCATGAAGCCAGTGACCGACTTCGCAACCAGTCTTGGTTCACTTGCGTCGGCGAGTGTCACTCGCTTTGATACGTACTATGAAGTCATACAGGCCCTCATTGGACCTGAGGAATCGTCGGGCTTGAGTGGAGGCGGCCCAATGGCCATATCCTCCCGAATCGTACCGCAGGAGTCTTTTGAAGGAACGGCCAACCAGGAGAAATTAACGTCAATCCTCAATGGCATCCTTCTTGCCTCTCAGAGCGACGACCACAACGCAAGTGTAGTGCCCTCTGCGCCTCTTTTCATATGTGTCACTGCACCCACAATCTACTCCCAGAATCTTCCCGAGTCAGACCAACCTGGCGGACCAGGGGCATCTTCCGTGACCCCTGCCTGGCGCAATGGACTGTGGCATTCCATCTATATACGACAGTTTGCCGATAGCCTCATCAGTGACCCTGATGCAGTGCGCGATATTTTCCAGGAGGTGCATGACAGGATGGACCCGCTGCGAGAGTTTACACCGCATGCAGGGGCATACTTGAATGAAGCCGATTCTTTTGAGACGGACCCTATAGCTTCATTTTGGGGAGAAGAAAACTATGCCCGTTTGCTGGAGATCAAGGAAGAGGTTGATCCCACGAATCTTCTATCGGTGCATCAGGGAGTGGGCTGGGAGAGCGACGATGAGAGGTTCAGGTGCTATCCGGAGGTTGACATTGAGTGAATTTGCTTTCTTAGCTTCAACAAATCCATCGTTCGTCGTCAGAGATGTCTCGTCCGAATATAAACAGCGATAGGTCAACCTGCGTAGATAGCAAAGCAATGCTCCCTGTCGGGCTGGAATCGGCCGAGAAGGCGATCCGCCCGACTCAGCGCTACGGGCGAGACAAATCTTCGGTTCGTTCCCCGCCCGCCGCCTTTGCTGCTTCAGTTTTCCCCGGACAACGCTTGACTAAGGCCGTTCGCTGGCCCTCTCATTCGCTGTGCTTTATCCCGAGGTCCCTCTCGTCCAGTCTTCGCCTCCGGAGATCTCTCTTCTTATTTATCCATTCGTCCTTCGCTCTCTCGTTATCTGTTCTCCCTTCTCTCATCTTTATTTCCCCCCTCATACACTATTACAATGACAAATAACAAGTTAACCGGCGCGGATGTCGCCCAGCACAACTCCAAGGACTCTTGCTGGGTCATTGTACACGGCAAGGCCTATGATGTTACCGAGTTTCTGCCAGGTATGTTTTCTCGTCTGCATCGACCTGATCGGCCAAGTACTGACAACTCAGAACACCCTGGTGGCCAGAAGATCATCCTCAAGTACGCCGGTAAAGATGCGACCGAAGAATTCGACCCCATTCACCCTCCAGACACCCTCGACAAGTACCTCGACTCCTCAAAACACCTTGGCGAAGTGGATATGGAGACTGTCGAGCAGGAGGAGAAGGTCTACGATCCCGAAGAGGCCGCCCGCGAAGAGCGCATTCAGCGCATGCCCTCTCTGCAGGCATGCTACAATCTGCTAGACTTTGAGACAGTCGCCCGCAGCGTGATGAAGAAGACCGCCTGGGCTTACTACTCTAGCGGTGCGGATGATGAAATCGTACGTATTTCCGCGTCGAGTTCTGTGGTTCTGGTTTATCGGAAGCTAATCTTGTCCGACAGACTATGCGTGAGAACCATCAAGCTTTCCAGAAAATCTGGTTCCGACCACGGATTCTGGTTGATGTTGAGAATGTGGACTTTTCGACGAAGATGCTGGGCACCAAGTGCTCGATTCCCTTCTATGTTACGGCGACTGCTCTTGGAAAGCTCGGCAACCCGGAGGGTGAAGTTGTTCTGACTCGCGCCGCACACGATCATGATGTCATTCAGATGATCCCGACTCTCGCCTCGTGTTCCTTTGATGAGATCGTCGATGCCCGCCGCGGCGATCAGGTCCAATGGCTGCAGCTGTACGTGAACAAGGACCGCGCGATTACCAAGAAGATCATCGAGCACGCCGAGGCCCGCGGGTGCAAGGGTCTCTTCATCACCGTCGACGCGCCCCAACTCGGCCGCCGCGAGAAGGACATGCGCTCCAAGTTCTCCGACGTTGGCTCCAACGTCCAAGCCTCAGGCGGCGACTCAGTCGACCGCTCCCAAGGCGCCGCCCGCGCCATCTCCTCGTTCATCGACCCCTCCCTCTCCTGGAAGGACATCCCCTGGTTCCAGTCCGTCACCAAGATGCCCATCGTCCTCAAGGGCGTGCAGTGCGTCGAGGACGTCCTCCGCGCCGTCGAAGCCGGCGTACAGGGTGTTGTCCTCTCCAACCACGGCGGTCGCCAGCTCGATACCGCGCCCTCGGGCGTCGAAGTCCTCGCCCAGGTCATGCCCATCCTGCGCGAGCGCGGCTGGGAGAACAGAATCGAGATCTTCATTGACGGCGGTGTCCGCCGTGCCACTGATATCCTCAAGGCTCTTTGCCTGGGCGCCAAGGGTGTCGGTATCGGCCGTCCTTTCCTGTATGCTATGTCTGCGTACGGCCAGCCCGGTGTGGACCGCGCCATGCAGCTCCTGAAGGACGAGCTCGAGATGAACATGCGCTTGATCGGTGCGCAGACTGTTGCTGACCTTAATCCCAGCATGATTGACGTGCGTGGGTTGGTCGGTGGGCATAGTGCTTCTGTGCCGGCGGATACGCTGAGCTTGGGGGCTTATGACCCGCTCCAGGCGCCGCGGTTTAGTGAGAAGTCGAAGTTGTAATCCGGATCAGTATCGATGGAATATAGGTGTGCGTCTGCAGCCGACTGTATATATGGGTAGTCGGTTAGATTTGTATATAATACCCCAGTTAGAATACATGTTTCTTGGTTTGGTCAGATTTGAGAAGTAGGACCATGTCTTTGCTTCGACACTTGTATGACTGATGCCAGACATACTTGTTATGCTTCACTGTTAGGAGGTAGGTAAGCGTGGAACTCCCAGTCCCAGCTGCTGATACCTACTCTATAGACCTGACTACCCCAGACCTCCATCCCTGTCTCACTGGAACGGTATATCCTCCACACCAACATGCTCTAGGAGGCTATATACTTCGTACTATATAACGCATGGAATCCGGTGCACCTGAGATTCGCTCATCTAATTGGTCCATCTGGGCTCGTAAAGCCGTTTGGTGAGTCCCTGGGCAGCGCTTCACCCCTCTCAAGTTCCGCGCCAGATTGTTTCCATTTCTGGATTTGACAACGTCTCAAAGATTCTTCGCTGTTGGTAAACGGTTGGCTCTCAGGGTACATTCATCTGCCTTTCTAAATTTGTGTTACCTGCCCGCCAGCCGCTCAGCCTCTTCTATCTTTGCCGCTGAGAAGATGGCGCGCGAGGAGTCCGGAGTCCAGCCGGTTCTAGACAATCCCAACCACGAGAAAGAGAAGACGTTTCTGGAGTCTAGCTTTTTCCTGGAAGGGCGAATGCCCACGCTTCCTTCACCGGCCGATGTCAGAGCTATCAATGAGAAATCGGGTGATATCCGCGCCACAAGTTTCAATCGCCCCCCGCCAGTCACATTTCCGTCGCTGGGATTACTTGTCAAGTATGGAGCTGATACTACTGTCGCCGAGGCGGAGACCCAAATAATGATATACACACATTTGAAGGATAGAGTACCCGTTCCTGAGGTCTTTGGTTGGACAGAAGACGATGGCCAAGTATTCATCTATATGTCCTTGGTCGAGGGCGAAACCTTGGAGCAACGATGGGGTTCCCTGACCGCTGAAGAGAGAGACTCCATTTGTGTAGAGCTCAGTGGTATGGTGACTGCATGGAGATCCCTGGAGCAGGACGGACAAGATCGATATATTGGTAGGTGGCCTGGGTAATGGTGGGTAAAGGTTCTAACCTTCATCCAGGCAGTCTGAACAAGCAACCATTGAACGAGATCTTCCTTTCCGGCCACTCGGATCTCGCAGGCCCATTCATCGGTACAGACGCTGTCAAACACTTCCAGAATGCGTGTGATATCGAGATCGACGAAGAAGTGGCCGTAGTATTCACACATGCCGATCTTGTCCCTTCCAACATCCTTCTATCGCCAGGCTCAAGTCCAAGGATAGCAGCAATCCTTGACTGGGGGCAAGCTGGATGGTACCCTGCATACTGGGAATTCTGCAAAGCACGTCGAGTACGGGCGAACCCAAAGTTCTTCAGCGATGACTTGGAAGAAGAATGGAACACGAAATATCTGCCTATGATTCTGGAGTCTGTGGATGATGAGACGGTATACCATCCTTGGCTCTGGTTTGTTTTGTCTAAGGGAATTTGATGCTCAGTTATATATTTGTGCAAACATCCGCTAGTGCAACCTTCTCGGAGGACGCGGTTGAGCATATATATCGGGATATTTGCGTCAGTCAGCTAGACGGTGTGAGAAGCATAACTGGCATGAAAGTAGGAAGTCAGCTAGATCTTCGAGCCATGATCAAAGACCGATAATCATTTTATCACACCCTTGACAATACGATAGTTCCAGAGGATGACAATGGCAGGGCTGAGACCGGCGATCGGAAAGGGCGCGCGGTCCCGCCCGTGACCAAAAAAAATGATGACCAACTCGGCTTGAGCTGCACCGGAGTCATCTCCCAACTCCGTCCTCTGTCTACATTCTTCTTTCATCGATCAATTGGAGTATTGAACTGGTCATTCGTCATTCGAGCAAGCAAAATGTCTCAATAAATCATCGTCAGACGCTTAGCCATGCACCATGAGCAAGCGCCCTCGCGACGAGTCTCCAGCTCGCGGTGGCTCTCCGCCATCGGAGCATCTCACCCATAACGGCCTGCTGCCCATCAACGACCTGCTCTCCCCGACCCCAGAACAACAGTCCTCTACGGGCTCTAAAAAGCCTCGGAACTTTATCGCTACAGTGGTAAGAGGCCCATTATCAGCTTAACTAGTCTAAACCGAGTACAGGCCTGTGAAACATGCAGACTCAAAAAGACAAGATGCGACGAGTCACGGCCCAAGTGTGGCTTGTGCAAGTCGCTAGGTCTGGAATGTGTCTACAATGAGCGCAAGACTTCCAAGTATGTTTGCATTTAGCGTATCATATGAATGGTGTTGACGTATCCAGGCGCGACCATTCTCTCACTTTGATCATGAGCACCCTCCACCGTTTGGAAACTAAACTGGAGAATGTTCCCATCAACGTGCGCAATGAGATCCAGTCTCTACAGGCACAAATGCCTCGGCCTCTAGATGGGCCGTCTGATATGAACACCCCTGGTCGTGCTTCTGCAGTCTTTAGACATGACAGACACGCTTCCATAGGGACGCCGCGAACTCTTATTCCATCGGGAGAGTCCGAAGTATTCGAATTTGACGAGCGTCCGAATGCGGTCAATGCGAATGGACTCGTTTCGATCTCTTTTAGCCAGCATGGTGTGGTCTTATGGCCAGGAGCTCGAGAGATCCTTCCAGAGCGTCTGCTGGAGGCCCATGAAAAGCTGGGAAAGAACTATGTCATCGATTCTGAGATGAACAGGCCCCCTCTGCCGATGTACATTTATCCGTTTCCTCCGCAAGCGGGAGACGAGTGGTTAGAAACCCTACCGCTGGCCATGATCAAGGGACTGTCGACCGCGTTCTTTGCAACCATCAGCCCGTTTACGCCGATTATGGACAAGAACTTCTACTTTGCCTTTACCCTGGGTGCGGCGATTGAAAGCGGATTCGGGTACACTATGGAGAGCTGCCTGGTTCTCGTGATCATGGCCCTGGGCTGTCTGGCAGTTCATGCTCATCACGAGGGCGATTATCCTCTGCCCGGCACGAGAGGAAGCCACTTTGAGCCACCGGACTGGCTGGGAGTAGTGCAGGAGGAACCGCCCGGACTACGTTTCTTCAACGAGGCACGGCGGCGCATAGGGTTCCTGATGTGCGACAATGACATTCAAAGTTGTCAATTTTATTTACTATCCTCGTATGTGGTTGATTTATCCTGTCACCGATACCGGCTAACCGCATGAAGGGTCTATTATCAGCAGATTATGCGCCCGATGGACTCATGGGCTATGATCCACCGCGCTGCTACCGGCTGTCTCTCAATATTGACCAAGTGAGTTGTCTATCCCTCAATTCTCTTCTTTAAACGCTAACGGCCTAGCCACGACGTGAATTTCGACGAGTGGGAAGGCGACATGAAATCTCGCGTATTCTGGAACTGCCTCATGAACGAAACCATCCTCGTGCAAGAGCTCCATCTCCCTCCCAGTGGCCTATCCCGATTTGAAGAAGTCGTCCCTATCCCGAAATTCATCGGCTTCGAAACTCTCGGCTTCGTGCCCGCGCGATCTTTCGCGTCCGACGACATCGACGACTCATTCTTCCAATACCACTTCCTCGCGCAGGTCGCCCACCGCATCATCCTCACTCGCATACGGCACTCTCTCTACTTCTACTCCGATTCCGGCACATTCCCCAAACCCGCCGTCAACGCCGAACTCCTGCACCAACTCGAGCAATGGCGCATCAACCTCCCCTCTGCTCTTCAGTTCTCAGATACCCCTCCAACAGCAGCAACACCAGCAGCCACAGCAATAAGCACAGCCTCCCCGCAAACCGCCGCCGCCTCGCCTAACCCGATATCCCCGCACCCTCTTTCAACATCTACCAGTGCCCGTCCTCTAACTCCCGCCGTCGCAGTCTCCGAAGCTATGCTTCGAGGCCGGTACATGATCGCCAAGTTCCACATCGGCCGTCCATACCTCTACAAAGCCCTCCGGATCCCTTCTCTCCTCACAGAAGACGACCTCGAACAGATCCGACGAGGCCTGCAGAACGCCATGAACTGGCCGGTTGTGCACGGCATCTTCCGCGACATGAAGAGCTGTATCCCAATCAAGTTTGCCTTCTGCTCGCAGTTTTTCGGCCAGGTCCTTCTCTTCTACTGTATTGCGAACTCTCCCGATCCTCGGGTAAGAAGTACATTGCCTACAGGCTGGGAACGCTGGAACCAGGAGATGTTGGGGTTTATGGAGCACTGTGCGGTTTACAGCCCGGCTGTGGCGAAGGATCTGGAGTTGTTGCAGTTGCTGTGATCTTATGAGTGTACGTGTTTGTCTCCCGTTTCTTATTGGGTGTTTCGGCGTTCATTTGGGTTGGTTATGATTGGGAATATCCATCGGCTGGGTGGCACTCTACCTTGTTTGGCTAGTTTAGACGAATAGACGGTTATGTTTCTGCTATCAGAATCGTTTCAACGCTAGAGCCCTTACGAACATGGATGTCGAAATCCTCCGAATAAACACAACATAGCCTCTCTCACCTCTGTTGCCCTCCCCTGGAGCCCATACTTAGATCTCCCCATCTGGAGCATGAGTCTCCCAAGCAATGGCCACTAGACGCGGATAGTCGTATAAAATGTTTTTGTGTGATTTATTATTTCTTCATTATATCATGTATCATAAATACCTAAATATCATCTTCTCCCCCCTGGAACTCCGCCACCGATTCGTCGACTCCAACAACTCCGGACACCCAGCAACAACCCACGGCCAGCGCCTGAGAAAGTTCTCCGAAACCTCCCAATTCCTCGGATCATGCGCCTCCCCCCAAACCAGCAACCCGCACGCCTCATCCGTGACATTCCAAAACCCCATGATATCCAGACAAAGCGGATGATCGTCGAAGTCCCCTGCCATAATCAGATTATCTCTAATCCGTGGAAAGGGGAAGAAGTCCAGCCAGGGGTGGTGGATTGTGCTTGTTTGCAGTTTCGTAGGGCGCAGGCTAGTCGGGATTCGGTCTTCGGGCAGGTATCCTGGTGATGAGGTGGAGAAGGGCGAGATGGCTTCGTCCTCCATCCATTCGGGGCCCGCGCTCATGCCCAGCGTGGCCATGTTTGTCATGAAGGCGCGGAAGACGTTGACTTTGCAGAGGGTTAGGAGGTGGTCGGAGGACGGGGAGCCGAGGGCGTAGCTTTCCACTGCGTTGCGGCTGAAGCGCTCGAGGAGTTTGTCGATTTCGTCGCCGAGGAAGCACATGCGGCGTTCCCAGGTGTAGACTAGCGGGTTGGTGTTGGTTGTGTCGGGCGAGGAGGTGGAGGTTGTGGCGGAGTTTGAGGGAGGGGAGTAGTGTGTGGATGAGGAGGATTGTGGTGATGTTGATGATGATGACGATGTCCGCGGGAGTAGTGTGACTTCGCCCCTTGCGATCATTTCTTCGATTTGGTCTTGGATGGTGGCTTTTTTCTGCTGCGCGCGTCTTCGTTGCCCTGGCGCATGGCATCTGTTAGGACTCGGCCACTTGAAGGAAGTCCAGGGGCAAGAAACTCACGGAAAGCGCGCTGGTTGATTCGGTTCTGTCTCTTGCGCCGCTCCTTGGGGTCTCCCAGTCCAGCCCACTCGTCTTCCGCCTCGGCAGATGGTTGCTTGCGCCCTTCAGGCCATTGGACGAGAGCCAAGTTTGCCATGTCTTGCGCTGAATCCATAATCGTCGTGGTATCGTTAGTTTGAGCTGACGGTCAGCAGTTAGTTGAAGCAATTCGCAAAGGCAAAGAACGCAGACCAGAGGTGGTCTCGACTGAGGCCCCGGTTTTAACCAAACTTGTGGGGCCGGAGTTAAGCAGCGTACGCCAAATGCTGACAGGTGCAGTTGCTTGGCGTGACTCACTTTCATCATCGATATTTAAACCCTGCTGGCTTCCTGGCTCGCGCTGAGCTTGTCAGATAAGACTTGGAACTTACGATCGGCTTCCATCGTGTTGCAGTGCTGGTGATTGGTTGCTTGGGCTTCTTGCTTAGAAATTCAGCTGGGATGCAGTGACGGGGAAAAGACTGGACATCGCTCTCGTCCGAAACAAAGAGCGCACGCACCACGGATACGAAGCCTCGCAGGTCCACGGGAGTGGTTGCACTTCAGCACTTGAGACGTGATCGTCTTCTTCCGCATGTACTTATCTTGCATCAGGCCTCGATATTCGCGCTAAATCAGAGCGTCCTTGTCAGTCTCGAGAAGGTGTGCCATTATCGATGCCATCCCCGATCGTCATCGTCTGTGGCCCCGACGTTTCGAGCCCCGGTCGGATACGCCACGTGCAGCCATTTGAATGGGAAGGGCATGCTTTTCAAACAGGTCGAAACTTTGGAGCTCTGGCGTTTCTATTGGAAAGATACCAGGCTTCCGCTTGTCTTCTCTGGCCTCTTCTGAGACCATGAGATTCGAGAGGTCGTATTCGTGTTGTGTGCGGGCTCCGAACGACACCACCAACGTGACTATTGAGCGTCCGAGCCTGCTCCTTATTCCGAGGTACAACTGGTCTGATCCGCAGACGGACGTCTTCGTGATCGGGACCGAAGTTTCACTTAATTGCGCTTGGCAGTTGATAATCCTTAACAAGGGTCACTTGATTCTCCCCTAACTAAGTCCTTAGGGTTTGCTTTCTGCATAGCGCTCGCTGTCACGATGCCCTGCAATTATTCTCCGCTACACCGCTAGATTAAAATGGCTTGTTGCGACATCTGTGCGCAACGCAAGAGCTATCAAACTCACCTGGCAGATCTTGACATACCTGTCAGTACCTCCGGAGTCACCCTTTGCACGGACCCTGTCCGGGTCTCTTGACCTAACAGCGGGCGATGGTATTGGCCCTGGAAACCCGTCGTTCATTCGGAGAAGCTTACTGGCTATATTACAATAACGTGCAATCTCGAGGTACGATCAAGGTGCTAGGACACCATTTCCAGCCGGGGATGTATTAACCCTTGAGGTGTCCCTACCTTTGTCCCTACAGACAGATACGAGGTCGAGGCGTGTTGCCACCTACCACAGTAAGTCATCACATCATATTAGAGCTTATATAAACTAGACCAAGCGAAACAATATGGTGTATCAAACTCAATCCACCCATTGCAGTATAATCACGAGCTAATTCCCCTCCTCAACTCCTCCAAATAATACTTAACAGGAGACGCCCTCCACCCCCTCGGAATACAAGGATAAACCGGCTTCAAAAGCCCCATGGCCGTCGCATACAGCCGTCTGGTCCCAAACGTGCTCTTGAGCCCATACCCTTCCCGAATATTCTCAGGGAGCATCTCGATCGTGATCGCCCTCAACACAGGCCTGGTCAATCCCACCCCACGCGGTAAATCCCACCGCGCCAGCTCCGTCGCGACATCATGCGCCGCCGCAGAAACAGCAAGCTTCGGGAGCTCGGCGTCCCAGTATTTCCAGAACTCAGCGCGGGTGGACGGCCACAAAGCTTGATCGGATGGGAGGATGGTTGGCGAGAGGTGCCGCAGGACTACACCGAACTCGTCGTACGCTGCCTCGGCGGTGCGGTAGTCGAAGGACCCGTAGATGCGCTGGTAGAAGTCTGTTGCTGTTGCGTAGAGGGTCGCAAGCAGCCAGAGTTGTGATGCGGGAGGTCGTGAAGATGGGGTTGAGCTTGGGCTTGATTGCAGTGGAGGCTGTCCTAGCCGCAACCGGCCTAATAGAGCTTCTTTTTCTTCCGCTGTGCCGAAGACCAGGCAGGCGATGTAGCTTAGGGTTGCGTGGAGGGATGTCGTGAGCTCGGTGGTGAGGTTTGTGCTGGTGTTGGCGGTGGTAGAGAAGCCTGGATGCGCGGCTTGGAGGAGGAGAGCAGGCCCTGATGCGACGAAGAGGACGCCCTCTTGGAGGATTTTGGGGAGGACTTGGAGATTGTCGAGGGCGGATAGGCTGGGGGTGTTGGTGTTCGCGTTGTATGCGGTTGATTGTGCTTGCTCTGAGCTCGAGTTTGAGGAGACTGGGGAGATTTTCTCCGCGTTCGCTTTTTCGTCGAGGGACATTCTGCTGGTTGCGATGTCAATGTTTAGGTAGATGATCCTACGGTTGTAACCTGGTGGCCGGTTTGTCTTGGGGTCCTGGGGTGATGTTAGCAAGCTTCAGCTCCAAGCCCACAGTACACCATGGAAGACGCCAACGACGCCACTTACCTAGGTACAGAACAAGTGCCGAACTACCCTGGTAGCACTGCAAACCATCACACGCGATCAGCGAACTATATCCGAGAGCGGTATGCTGCCCGAGTACAGCGCCAGTGGATCTAGGGTGAGAACTCCGACAAAAGGACAAGAATCCGGGGATTTTCTTCTATCTCGAAACTCCCCGCACTTTCTCTCGCGCAAGGCGGCAAAGCTTCTTTGATATGATGCCATGCTTCCGGTTCAAGCACTCGATAGCCGAGGAAAAAGGGGCTCAGAATCCGCCCTAGCAGCTTAGCAGGGGTTGGAGCTCCGCATGTGAACGGACCATGGTTGGCCCGCGAGTGCTCCCATTGCGATCGACAGGACGATCTCTGAATAGCGCCATCAAACGGGGTCCTGGCCCGAGGCTTCGTGCCCTGCTGCCCACTCGCCTTGCGGGTGATTCGATTTCTCAAAATTTTAGGTCGACGTCTCCCCGCATTCATGATCGTCGAGGGCACGAGGGCGAGGCGCCGAGGGGCGAGGTCCAGGTCGAGGAGTCCCGGGGTTTTATCTTCTTAACAGATTCTTCAACAGCGTGGTAGCAAGGAGATGTCCCTTCATGTCGTCCGCCGGCTCCCCAGTTGAAAAGCCTGCCAAGGCAGCCTCCAAGCACACTCTCGGCTCCCTCAGGGGCCCGCTCGCTGGCAGCGACGCCGATATCGAGAGCATCGAGAAGACACCAGGCGATGTGTCTCTCGTCGAGCCGAAGCTGAAGCAGAAGAAGACGCGGCGAGTGAAGCGGCATTTCGCGCGGTTCTGGTGCTGCTATGTCTTTTGGAGCGTCATTTTCCTTGCCATCTTCTTGCCGATTTTGTACGGCCCACCCCCCTTTTGCTATATCGGATGATAGCTAACCAACTCTGCCCAGCTTCCTCGTCGTCATTCCTGCCATCGCACAGTTGGTTCTCGACAACGGGACGCTCCTTCTCGTGAATGCGACAATCCTTGAGCCCCGGCCTGACTCGATTTTGCTCACGCTGGAGGCTGCTCTTGATCTCCCAATCTCGCTGCCAGTGCGAATCGACCCGTTTCTTCTGAGCATCTATAACCAGGATGTGGAAGGAAACAACACGATCTTCAGTTCCGAACTTGCTGGTACCGTCATTGACGGAAACACAACCCTCGGGGTTGAAAGTGTGCACACGCCGGTTGATGTAAAGCTGTGGACAGACTATGTCCACAAAGTCGTCTTTACGCCGCACGCGCCATTGCCGGTGAAGGGTGAAACAAATGCGTACCTTGGTAAACTGAAGAGCCATGTCAAGTTGGATAAGAATATTCATCAGAATAGTACGTCTTGGGAAGGACGGCTTTGGATAATGTAAGCTAACGCATGCAGCCCTGAACCAATTCCCGGGGTTCTCTATTGAGGATCCATCACTGGTGTTCAACGAGACCGACTACAACCTGGTAGCCAAAGCGACCCTCCCTAACCTGTCGGTCATGACTTTGCAAATCGTATGTTCTCCTACTCAAAGCCAGAGGATAAGCTAACCATCGAAGGGAACAACCGTACTGGACCTCAAAGCCGGAAACTACACCCTGGGCAACGCAACCATTGACGATCTCATACTCTACCCAGGTAACCACTCGTCTCCAGTGACGGGCATCCTCGACCTCGACTACCTCGTGAGCAACCTCCACGGTATCCTCGAGACGCAAGGGGACGCCCTGAGCCGAGGATTCCTGCGGCTCGATGCGGTTGGTCGGTCGGCGACCTATGACGGCGAACTGGTTCCGTATTACACAGAGGCCTTGCAACAGCTCACGCTGACTGCGGAAGTTGCGCTTGCGGGATTGGTGCTCAACACCGTCGAGGGGGTCATTCGTCCCAACGGGACGAACATTTTCCACAACCTGACAGACCCGAACGGGCCAACAAGCATCCACGATATCATCAACTCTATCGACGATCCAGATGGGAGCTTGGGCCTGAATAAAACGAGACCGAACTCATAGCTGCCCCTGAGTGGCTTAATCTAAGTTTCATGAATAATGATGTAAATACTCCGATTTGCTCCCTGCGCTTATACTGTCGCCTAATATTGGCTACCTAATGAAGAGATCGCACACATCCTAATGGTCAGTTGTAAAGAAGGCACTGTGCGATGTACGGAGTAATTGTTGACAGCCTAAAGCGAGATTGTGTTGATAACAAAGTAACAATGACGTGAGACAGGGAAGGATAAACATCGTGATGGATCTCAGCTCCACCGTTCTTGGATCTCCATCTTCACTCTCTCAGCCACTCAGACCGCCACATTCAAACCAGATTCACTGATTGAGATTCCTGATTCACTCACCCCTGCAAGATAGATTTGATACATCAGATCCACAAAGTGACTTCACTGTGTGCAAACAAGTGAAGTGGCTGCCTTTGTTTCCAGTGAATGCTGAATGCACTGAATGGGGCCAGGGAGCAGGGTATATAAACAAGCTGACATCCTCTCGCTGGAATTTCTCACCATCCTTTTTTCCTTTCCACCACGCAACTGCAGAGCATCATGGGCGAAGCTTCTTTCTGCAACGAACACAACCACGCCGCCAAGATGCCCGCCCACCTCTCCGAGTACACGGCACCCGTCTTGTCGTCGTTTCAGGAACTCGAAGCCTCCACCAAACAAGGTCAGACCATCCAGCTCGACGGACATTCTTTGCGACTGAGCGATGTTATCGCGATCTCAAAGTACGTTATTCCCCAGGCCGAGCCCCCGACCCAGTACCCCGATGCTAACCGATCAACAGGTATGACGCTCAAGTCACCGTGACGGATGACCCCGAAGCCCTGTCTCGCATGAAGGACAGTGTTGCGCTACTTGATACAAGACTGGCTGAAGGCCGTGTCGTGTACGGCGTCAACTCAGGATTCGGAGGCAACGCGGATACGCGCACAAACGCGCATGAAGATCTCCAGAAAGCACTCGTCCAGCACCAGAACACTGCGGTTGTTTTGCCGTCAGACAAGGGCAAAGAATGCTCATCCATAATCCGCAGCCTTCCGTCACACTCTATCCCCATCCCAATCGTCAAGGCCGCGATGGTCGCGCGATGCAACTCGCTTATTCGGGGTCACTCTGCTGTTCGTATTGAGATTGTGCGCAATCTGGCGACGATGATCAACGAGGATTACACGCCTGTTGTGCCGCTCCGTGGAAGTATCTCTGCTTCGGGCGATTTGGCGCCGTTGTCATATATTGCGGGTGCATTGGAAGGAAACTCGGATATCTATGTCCACTGCGGTGAGAAGAGAGGGAATGGGATTGTGCCTGCGGACAAGGCGCTCCAGGAGCTTGGACTTGAGCCGTTGACGTTCGGTCCTAAGGAGGCGCTGGGGCTGCTCAATGGAACAGCGTTCAGTACCGGTGCTGCAAGTCTGGTTCTCTTCGAAGCAAACCAGCTTGTCCTACTCACGCAGGTCATAACCGCGATGTCCACTGAAGCTCTTCTCGGCACGAAGCGTAACTTCGACCCCTTTATTGCAGACGTCCGTCCCCACCCAGGCCAGAAGGAAGTTGCCGCAAACATCTACCGTTTCCTGTCCGACTCTCAGCTGATCACAGACCACGACCATTCAGCCTCTGACAATGACCTCGCCCAGGACCGCTATGCGCTGCGAACCGCCTCTCAATGGATAGGCCCGCATGTCGAGAACATAGCCCTCGCCCTCTCGCAGGTGTCGGTCGAGCTCAACTCCACAACCGACAACCCGCTCTTCGACGCCGCAAACAACGAGATCCACCACGGCGGAAATTTCCAGGCCATGTCCATCACGACCGCCATGGAAAAGACCACCAGCGCCATTCAGTCCCTCGGTAAACTGCTCTTTGGGCAGTGCTCTGAACTCATCAACCCCATGCTCAGCAAGGGCCTCGCTCCGAATCTGTGCGCCGATGATCCCTCCTTGTCATTCGCCTTGAAGGGCGTTGATATCAACATGGCCTCTTATATGTCCGAGCTCGGATACCTGAACAACCCAGTCAGCAACTTCGTACAAACAGCCGACGTGAGCAATCAAACAGTGAACTCGCTGGCCCTAATCGGGGCGCGGTATGCCGCAGACGCGGTAGAAGTGTTCTCCCTTATGGTGGCTAGCCACATCTACGCTCTCTGCCAGGCCGTTGATCTCCGTGAGATCCACAAGACCTTCGAGGCAGCCGCGCGTACGGAAGCCGTCAAGGTCACATCGGATCTTTTCGGCAAGACCCTTACAGATGCCGGCATCAACGCGTTATGGAGTGAGATCATGCGCCACTGGAACCGCACCGCTACCCTTGACCTAGAACAGCGCGCCCCAACCGCTGTGTCCCAAACTATGGGCACACTCATCACCCTCCTTACCAGCAAATCCGCCTCCGTCGACGGCAATCTCGTCGCCAAATGGCAATCCACTGTCACCAACATACTCAAGCACCACTGCGCGTCAAATCGAAAGGCATACTTCGCTAACCCGCCAACCGGGAAGTTGCTTTGCTCGTCTTCGGCGAAAATCTACAACTACGTTCGCGGAACGCTGAAGGTGCCTATGCACAAGGGTCTCGTGGATCACCCGACCTATGTTTCTGATGGTGAGGATGGCGCTGGCAAGAAGACTATCGGCACGCATATTGGTACTATCTATGCTGCTTTGAGAGAGGGACAGTTCATGTCTGTTCTTGCGGAGTGTTGGGCTTAGATGGGTCTCAGCGTCCTTCTTGAACTTGGTTTTGCAAGCGTTAGACAAGACAGATATTGGTGGCTCTAGATAGACACACCTCACCTTGCTAACTAGATAGATTCATAATGACATTGTGTCGTCACTTCTATCAAATACCAGAATCTTTCGTTCCTCTATATATCCAGGCCATATATAAAAAACCACTCAATGCTTCGCGTAAATCCCATCTACGCCTGATTCTCAATCCGATTCACCAACGTCCCAACCCCAGGCAAAAGCTCCACCCGAAACTCATCCCCAGCCTTCAAAAACTCCTTCGGGCTCTTCGCCGCCCCAACCCCCGGCGGCGTCCCCGTAAGAATCACCGTGCCCGCGGGCAACGTCGTCCCCTGACTCAAAAAGCTCACGAGCTTCGGCACCGAGAAAATCAGATCCGTCAGCTGACAATCCTGCATCACAACCCCATTCTTCACCCCCCTGATCCGCAACCCAGACACCCCCTCCTCCCCAAGCACATCCTTGCTAACGACAACAGGACCCAACGGACACGCCCCATCAAACCCCTTGCTAAAGCACCACTGGCTCTGATTCATCTGGCTTGTCCGGCTCGAGATATCGTTGGCGGCCGTGTAGCCAAGCACATAGTCCAGCGCGTCAGCTTCAGACACATCCTTCGCGTCCGCGCCAATGACAATAGCCATTTCCGACTCATAGTCGCCGGTGCCATCTTCCTGCGTGATTTTCGGCAGGATCGTCGAGGCCGTCGGGTACGGGTCGCCCAGGGAGGTAGGGGGTTTCAGGAAGAGAGTCGGCACCGTCGGGATATCGAGGTTCATTTCGCGCGCGTGCGAGACGTAGTTCAGGCCGATGCAGCGGATTGTGCCGACTTCGTGCTTTGACAAGGGCGAGAGAAGGCGCAGGATGCTCTCGGTCTTGTCTGTTTTCGACCCGGGCGACAGGATCGAGGACCCGGAGAACAGGGTTACCGGGACGTCGGTGCCAGATAGCACGGCGAGGCCGACGTCGAGGGTGGGGTTTACGGGCTCGCCGATTAGGATCGAGCTGGGGTTTGATTTGGGGTGGAAGCGCACGAGGCCTGGGGGGGTTAGCTGGTGGTTATCTATTGCTTGGTTTGGATGGGTTGGGGGCGTACGCGAGAAGGTCGATGCGAGTTTGGACATTGTGCGGCTGTGAGGAGTTGTACAGAGGTTCGAGTTGGGATTGGGGTCAATTGAGGGGTCCTCGAACTATATGTATGTCATCGGAGTAAGTTTCAAGCAGAGCTGGTCTGAACGTGGGGAGAAATGTGGGATAAGCCGAGTTGGCGTCGGCGAAAGACTCGGAAGAGCCGATGCTTCTCCACAATCGTGGGGATTCGACATTGTTAGGGCAAGGTTGTTGGTAACTGAGCTATTGATCACGATATCCTCATCATTTGACGTTCACAATCCTTCGTCGGTTCCTGATACAACAGCATTCCTGCTCAACCGCTTCACGCAGGGTTGACTGGTTCTTTCGCTCCTGGATTCTACGCAGCCTAGTGATGGTTGGTCGATGGCATGATTTAAGGGCTTTATTGCAGCCTTACATCCAGATGATGATAGTACTTATATATGGCTCATTGCATCATGGGTGCTGCCTCATCGGCAACAAAAAAATTCTACGCCAGCCGTCTATCCTCCTCCTGCACCGCGAAGTCCTCCCAAGAAGGCCTATCAACGCCGTTTGGCCGACTCGCCCTCTCAAAGCTGTTATCCACGCCATCAATCTGCGCGATCGGCGTGACGACCTCAATGTCCGCGCCGTAAGCCTTCGAGTACCACTTCTCCGTCAACACCTCCTCACCCTGAGCATCCACTCCCGGAGGTAGATACAAGTGTGGGAATCGCTCCTTCATTCCCTTGAGTACCGTTGATGAGATCCGGTCGACGCTATCGCAGTGACGCAGGGCAAAGAACTCCTTCGGTTGCTCTGCGCGCAGAGCATCCTGGACAGCCTGATCGTACTGGCCGACAGCAAAGAGAAGGAGATCGTAGTGCATCAGCGAGGCCTTACCGTGGTACGACCCGCCGTATTTGGCGCGATTGTAAAGACCCGTTAGGGCGGCGATGGCGCCCATACAGCCCGTGCCGTAGTCAGAGATGGGAAAGGGCGGAACGACGGGGTTGTTGAGGTTCATGAATTTGCCTTGCGCCCATGCGATGCCGGTAACCTGTCGGCGAGTCAGTCACTGCGGAATTGGTAGATAGTAGCAAGGTTATGAGAAGCGTACGCAATCTGCTATCTGCTGCCACCCAGGACGACCCGCCCATTCCCCTTCATAACCAAAGCAGTTCTCGTTGACATAGACAATACCCTTTCCGCGCTTCTCGGCAAGTGCGGCGAGAGCTGACGCGCCGTAGCCAAGGCGATCCAGAGCACCAGGCCGGTATCCGTCGACGAGGACATCCGCATCGGCGAGGAGAGTCTCAAAAATCTCACGACCTTCCGGCGTCTTCAGGTCGAGGTCGGCGGCATGTTTGCCCATATTGCCGTCGACTTGGAAGAACGGGACATCAGAAAGTTGGGGACTTGTGATCTTGAGGACATCGGCGCCGTATTCTGCGAGAATGCGGGAAACGGTGGGCCCGGCAATGATGCGGCACAGTTCCAGCACTTTGACGCCTTTAAGGATCTTCTTGCTGCCATCGGCGGCGGGAAATGGTGTTGGAGCAATGTCACCTGGAAGCCTGGTAACCTTCCATGGGGGCTGTTGGAAGTTCAATTCGCCCTGAAATGGTTAGTAGCGTACTTTGTATTTGGTTGCGAGAACATACGTGAGGCGTCTTGATGAAATCCTCATGCTTGAGCGCAGGGACACCGGCTTGCCTTCGCTCCTTGTTCATCTCCTCCAACTCTGCGACAGAGTACTTTTGAACATGGCTTTCAATGACCTTGATGACGTCCTCATAGTCCGTCAGATCGGGACGGTGGCCTTCTAACCCAATCATGTTTAACGTCGTCGTGGCCTCGAGCGAGCCGTGGATATGATAGAATTCGCCCTCGTTCTTGGTCCTGTATAGATTTGCCGACATCCGTCGGTATCCATTTGACTGGGCCGCAAGCAGATCGGTATCTACAAAGTCAGCGCCACGATCTAAACGCGCCAGTGGGGAACTCCATACCCTTCAGCTTCTTCTTCACCTCGGGATCCAATTTAGACAATCCGTCCACCTTGGCCATGTAGGCCTGGCAACCGAATGCGGTTGCGCGCTCCAAGTTAATCTTCACATTTCGCTTCTGCGCAGCCGGTCCATATCTTAGGTCAGCGATGGCAGCTGCCACTGATCCCTCGACACCCTTCAGCGCAGCAAGTGTTTCGGTCTCCTTGAAGGGAATTGGGAAGTAGATCTTGTCATGGGTCGAATTGAAGGAGACAGAATCCTGTCCTGCGACCACTTCCTCGGGTAAATTGAGACGCTCCGCTTGATCGCAGAGGAAGGAAAATATGCGCCCTGCTTCCTTGACGGGCGAATATGATGCCATTTCGCTATGCAATGTCCAGGCGTTGATCCGAGAAATTCTAAAAATGGGCCAAAATGTGACTGTCGCCGTCTATAGAAATCGTTTAATGCGCAGAACCATAAATTCGGAACTGGGGTATCCAACGTTTATATGACGTTCTGAATGATTCCGAGCGGCCAGTGTCGGGTAACGATGCGGGAAATCAACTGATCAGCGATGAATAATGGGCGGCATGCAAGCGCACTGTCCTTGCCATCCGCGCCAGAGGCGAATTATAAGGCCCTGGGCCCATCCTCACCCCGCGGTTCTGCGGTTCTGCGGTTCTGCGCTTCCGAGTCGGGGCGGATGAGGCAAGCGATCGGATGGCTGCCGATAAGATCGGAAGGCCCTCACGTTGGCAAAGGTCACATGACAAGAACAGAGTTTTCGTGCCTGAGGCGAACAACTGGAAAAGGCTAGCGCCGATAATCCGCCGTAATCGGAGAATTGACCAATGGCAGGCCGGCCAAAACAATACTGCCGAAATATTTCAATCCCCGACATTTCGTCCATTTCTCCGCAATTCATTCAACTCAGCACTCCGCTAGATCTGAGGGAAGATGATGAGGCAGTTCGTTTCACAGCGGGGCGCCTCCCGCAGGGTATGTCTTTGACAAATGATCAATTGTACAACCGCTAACTTATCCAGCTTGCGCCATGCCTTCGCCGCGGCTTTGCCACAGCTACGGACTCGACACCCGCCTCCTCGCGCATTCCTCCCTATTCCAAGATCGTCCGAAACCTCGAAAACGTTCGCAGGGTTCTGGGATCGTCCCGCGCCCTTACCCTGGCGGAGAAGATTCTGTACTCGCATCTTGACAATGCGGAAGAGTCCCTGTTGACCGGCACGGAGAATGGACGAGATATCCGCGGCAAGGCCGACTTGAAGTTGAAGCCGGATCGCGTTGCGATGCAGGATGCGTCTGCGCAAATGGCATTGCTCCAGTTCATGTCGTGCGGTTTGCCCTCGACCGCCGTACCGGCCAGTATTCACTGCGACCACATGATTGTTGGTGAGCGGGGTGCCGACACCGATCTGCCAGCGTCGATTCAGGGCAACAAGGAGGTGTTCGACTTTTTGGAGAGCGCTTCGAAGAGATACGGAATTGAGTTCTGGCCTCCGGGAGCCGGTATTATTCACCAGAGTGTTTTGGAGAACTACTCCGCACCCGGTCTCATGATGTTAGGAACGGACAGTCACACCCCCAACGCCGGTGGTCTTGGTGCCATTGCCATTGGTGTCGGTGGCGCGGACGCCGTTGATGCCCTTGTTGATGCTCCTTGGGAGCTTAAGGCTCCTCGAATTCTCGGTGTTAGACTTGAGGGCAAGCTTTCAGGCTGGGCCTCACCCAAGGATATCATCCTCCATCTCGCCGGAAAACTGACCGTCCGCGGTGGTACAGGCTTTGTCATCGAGTACCACGGGCCCGGAGTTGCGACACTCAGCACAACCGGTATGGCGACGATCTGTAACATGGGAGCGGAAGTTGGTGCCACAACCTCCCTCTTCCCCTTCTCTCCCAACCATGTGCCCTACCTGAAGGCGACGCACCGTGCGGATGTCGCCGAGGCAGCGGCCAAGATCGCTTCTGCAGGACCTTCAAGCCTGCTCCGCGCAGACACCAACGCCGAGTACGACCAGCTCATCACAATCGACCTCTCCGCCTTGGAACCCCACATCAACGGTCCCTTCACACCCGATCTCTCCGTTCCTCTGTCGCGCTTCGCTGAAACCGTCCGCGAGAAGAAGTGGCCCGAGACCTTCAACGCCGGCCTCATCGGCAGCTGCACCAACAGCTCCTACGAAGACATGACTCGCGCTGAGCACCTTGTCAAGCAGGCCAACGCCGCGGGCCTCAAGCCCAAAGCAGACCTCTTCATCACCCCCGGTAGTGAACAGATCCGCGCCACCCTCGACCGCGACGAGACCCTCTCCACCTTCTCCTCTGCCGGCGGCACCGTCCTCGCCAACGCTTGCGGCCCCTGCATCGGCCAATGGAAGCGCACTGACGACGTCCCCAAGGGCACCGACAACGCCATCTTCACCTCCTACAACCGCAACTTCCCCGGCCGCAACGACGGCAATCGCCGCACCATGAACTTCCTTGCCTCTCCTGAGCTCGTCACAGCCCTCACCTACGCCGGCTCCACCACCTTCAACCCCGTGACCGACGCCATCACTACACCCTCCGGCGCGGAATTCCGATTCGAGCCCCCAACGGGCCATGACCTGCCATCCAAGGGCTTCGAGGCCGGAAACCCGGCCTTCGCCCCCTCCGCCCCCGTCCCCGACGCCAGCGTCGAGGTCAAAGTCTCTCCCACCTCCACCCGCCTCGCCCTCCTCGAGCCCTTCGCCCCCTTCCCCAACTCCGACCTCCAGAACCTCAGTGTCCTCTACAAGGTTAAGGGCCAGTGCACAACGGACACCATCTCCGCCGCTGGCCCCTGGCTCAAGTACAAGGGCCATCTCCCCAACATCTCCGAGAACACCCTGATTGGTGCCGTCAACGCCGCCACCGGTGAAACGAACGTCGCCTACGACGAGAACGGCAAGCAGCACACCATCCCTGAACTCGCGGCTCAATGGAAGGCCCAGGGCCGTGAGTGGATCGTCGTCGCGGAAGACAACTACGGTGAAGGATCTGCCCGTGAGCACGCCGCCCTGCAGCCCCGGTACCTCGGTGGCCGCATCATCCTCACCAAGTCCTTCGCTCGTATCCATGAGACAAACCTCAAGAAGCAGGGAGTTGTCCCCCTCACGTTCGCCGACAAGGCGGACTACGACCGCATCGATGCCTGCGACGTCATTGCCACCGAGGGTCTGTACGAGACCCTGAAGAACGGCGGCAAGGGCGAGGTCAAGATTCGCGTTACGAAGAAGAGCGGCGAGGAGTTTGTTATCCCTGTTAAGCACACTCTGAGTGCTGATCAGGCTGCATTCATTTTGGCCGGTAGTGCTTTGAACCTGCTTTCTAAGAGGTAGATCTATTCTGTTGTCTGGTTGGGTTGCCTCTGAGCGTTTTCGTTGTATACCTGTACTTGGATAGTCCGGTTTATAAAATTTGATATTTCGGTTTAGACTCTATCCTTGTTCTAGTAGATGGTGTAATGAGGATGGCATGGTCCTTAAGTACAGACCCTTCTCACGTGTCTCCATAGCCGTCGTTGCGTTCCTGCTCTACTCCACCATCCGTGCTTTCGAACTAAATGCGCGAAGACAAACAAATCATAGCCATTCATCGTCTACTTTTGCAACCTGGCCCGGTACTCATGCAGCCCAGTCAAGAATAATGAATTGCTGTCCTTCAACTCGCCCTCGATTTTATCGTTCTGCGGTCACGACCTCACCTTACCGAAGCCTGTCTGCTTGGATCTCGCCTGCAAGAATTCGCCTGAGCATCCACATCTGTCTTAACAGCAGGCGATCGATTCCCCTCCTTCCCTTCCTCAATCAGCTTAACAATTCATCACCCTTCATCTAGTTTGATGAAACCATATTCGCAAATGGCACGCCATACCCAGTGACCGGAAAGAGTTTGGGAATCCAGTGACACTGTCGCGGTAGAGCGTATTCGGGTTCTCGCTTGCTTTCAAGGCTCCAAGTTCCAAACTCATACCGTCGCGTTTCCTTATACGGACTTTCTTGGATCACCTTGTCCTACTCTATCCCCCATTCCATCGTGCGCTTGCCTGACCCGTGATCATCACAAAACCTGCTCGAGTTCGCCAAACTCCCAGCGACTTCATCATCGCCCCGAAAGAGAGATCAGACGATAAGGTGGACGATCTAGCAATAATCATTATAAGATATTTTCGAACATGAGCGTCCCTCGTGCGGAGAAGAACCCAGATTGCACATCAAGAGTACTGGACATCTGTGGTGACCAAGGATACCAAAGGGCCCCTTGTATGGACAGAACGCGAGGCCCGATTATTTCAGCATAACTGCAACCCAGGTACGAGTTGTATCCAGTGGCATCATTGAGGAGAAGCATGTAGTGCAGACTGGGTGTGACATGAGAACAGAGCAGGACAAGGACAAAACTATGTTGCATTTAGAACACTGAAGAGAGACCAGGGCGTTGTCACACTGACCGTTCTTCGTGTGATGTTGTTTCAATTCATATATTCAGTGTAATCCTGGATATCGCCTGGAGACGATTTGTCTGCTCACAATGGACGCTTTCTGGGGGTCTATGAAGGACCAGGTGAAAGGCACGCCTTCCTCTTTTCTGTGAGGCCCTCACGCTAATCACAACTAACATAAAAGGCGTCTGTGGACATCTTCCTCCAGGATACTCGCTTCCCACTGCTATCATCTTCCTCCTTTTGATAGCAAGGGTCTACCTTTGCTCGACACCCGATACCTATGGCCTCAGAAACATCCACGTTGTCCGCCAATCAGGAATGCTTGATGCCTATAGATCGGGCCGATGGTGGAGGTTCTTTCTCCCCCGGTTAAGTCTTTTTGCACAGGAAGGATATTATAAGGTATTTCTCTGTTCGTCGACCGCAATCCACAACAACTGCTGATGCATGGTAGTATAGTAAAAAAGGAAGACCGTTCAGAATTTGGATTGCTTCATTCCAGGAATGGGCCTATGTCATACCAATGGAGCATTTACCGCGAATCAAAAATCGGGGCACTTCGGAGTTGAGCTTTGAGGCAATGATAAATAAAGTGAGTCTAAGGCAGGACCACTATGCTGTACTCGTGCATGGATTGACTCACGACCCTTCAGTACATGTTGCCGGAGTTTTCGAGTGGGAATGTCGATCGACTGGAGATTCAGGTTGCATCTAAACTGCTGAATGGAAACCTGAGTGAGCACCGAGGTCCACTAATCAGAAAATACCCATGCTAACCAGCGCAGCCACCATCAAGCCAGTTATCCAGACAAGGACGGAGGAGATCCTGACCCGAGAAATCGGCGCCCCCGAGCACTGGAAAAGACTGAACGTGAAAGTGGTCTCCGCGGCGATTGGGAAGCACGTATCGGGAGGAGTGCTATTTGGAGAAGCCTTGGCTGATAACCCGGCGTTCCTGAGAGCAATGTACTCGTATGTGTCGAAGATCTCTGCTGGATCATTGGCAGTCCGATACTTCAACGTGGGCTCATTCAGGAACATCTTCATGTACCTGCTCCACTGGACCTATCGGCACGACCTCGCAACCGCCACACGGTACATAACCGAGTTAATGGCCGAGAGAAGACGACAGAACCTTCCCGAGGACGAGAAGCCAGTGGACTGCATCCAGTGGGCCATGGATCAAAACCTACCAAATGACCAGAAGAAGCCAGAGGACATTGCCCATAGGATACTCCATGTGTCTGCTGCAGGCGTCGAGACGCCTATTACTTCAACAATGAACCTACTGTTTGATATTGCCTCGCATAGCGAGTGCATTGATGAGCTCCGCGCTGAGATCATTGTATGCCTTGCAGAAGAGGGAGGCCGTTGGACACAGAATGCAATGGCGAAGATGCTCAAGCTTGAGTCCTTCATCCAAGAGTCCTTCAGGATGAATCCGGTGCCACTGGAATGTATGTATGCCTAGTGCTGAAATGTGACAACTTTACTCTACTAACTCATGCCCAAGTGACCGGCTGGCGTGTAGTAATCGCGGATAGCTTTCGCTTTGATGAATCTCTTGTTTTCCCAAAAGGCACTCTCCTAACATTTCCGTCGAAATTCTTCCAGAACGACCCAGACGTGCACCCCGACGCCGATAAGTTCGACCATCTCCGATTCTACAAATACAGAAAGCAGGAAACGGGACTAAATGGCGCGCCAGCGTCAAGCAGCAGTATGTCGCTCAATCTCACTATATCTGCAATAAAGTAACTGACTTCAAGACCCAGGGGATCTCCGCACTGAATGGCTTGGGTAAGCCGCTCCCATTTCTGCTCTTGAATAGTCACCTTCTAATTAAGTTGATGACGGATTAGGTTTGGCTACGGCCGGCAGGCATGTCCAGGACGGATCTACTCAATAGCAATGCTCAAGACAATCATTGGAGAGATAATCCTTCGCTACGACGTTCGGTACGCCGGGGGACCGAGACCGCGCCCATCTTCAATTGATGTAAATCCTGCTGTCTGGCCAGATCCTTCGATTGATTTGGAGTTTAGGACGCGTGGATAGGGAGATCCTAGGATGCTTTAAGCAGCCCTCTCCTCTCTCCCGCTAATGACAGGATCAGCTCATTCTTTGGTTGCGTTCGCCCTGAATAATCACGCTGACCTTGGTGGTTTGTCGGGCTGTCTCGTTATCTGTTAGACCTAGTAAAATCTCTCGAACAGATATTGTGTACCATTTCCCACTGTACCTAGAATGTCATAACTTGAGTCATGTGCATCACGGTCTATTCCGCCAAATCACACCAAATCACGCCACTTTAACTTGTCCGTAGTTTAGGTGTCTATAAGAGTGCATAGGTATACTGCAAGTCTGCTTTGTTAACCCAACAGCGTGGAATAAATAGTGCTTCTTTGCGATAACCCATGTTTTTTGCTCTCAGCGCGGCATTTAGAGTTCCGTTGGGATTGAGACGCTCGAGGCGGGAGAGAAGTAGGTGGACGACGGCGGTATCCTGACCCAAGGTCAAGAAATAAAGCCTACGAAGAGGAGAAGGTTTCTATTTCAATCAAATGATGATTAGTACATCTTGTGTGGCCGCAGTGGAATCACGCACTTAGCTTACCTCGGGGTTATGGCAGGTTATGATCATGGGACGCTCCCGAGCCCTAATTCATCGATCGACCCGCCCGCGAAGGAGATGCGGACAGAACGGAGGGCGCTCATTTCTCGGAGGCAAGACCACCGTTCGCCAACCATGGGGACGATCGGCAAGCTTCAGAACAGGACAGTCCCACATTTAAATCCCAAGCGTCGTTAGATACCTTTTTGAGCGGGTAATCGATCAAGGGTATTGGGCTCGCGACGCCGGTAGGCCGTCGGCCATTTTGGACTAGATGATAAATCGAAACTAACGTTAGCCTCATCCCGTCCAGGTCGAAGGTGTCAGGTCATAATAAACAACTAACAAACTCAGAATAATAATGTACTTCGTTTGCTTCCGAGGCGATGTTTCAAAGCTGCTTTAGATAGCTGCGCGGCGAGAGCAAGGCTGAGGAACAACTGACTGAGCAGCGTGTGGTTCGCCTTATCCACAACGCAAAAGTGTAAACGGTTGACCTGGAGTCTGCAACAGGCTGAGACAGTTGTCATGGTATTTGGCTTCGGCGGGAGCAGTTATTTGGTGCTTGGTTTAGGCATTCTCAGATCGTGACGCGCGAATACAATGGGCTAGAACATTTTCCTCGATGCAGTTTTGGAGGTGATGTTGTAAGTAAAGCAAACTTCTCCGAGTGCAAATTGTTCTGCAGACTTTTCAAAGACCAAGGTAAGGGTGCCGTCTAGGGATAAAGTGGACGTGTCAGTTTATTTCTCAAGAAGTGTCCTTTCACACGGGGGAGGTAAAGAATAAGGGGAGGGGATATAAGGGTACTTCCCTACATATTTGTTGATGTAGGTGCACCATAGTCTGTGCTTATCCAAAGCACTTAGCTCTAAAGGTTTGTAGGTCCTTCGCCATGCTTGTTCCGTGGGTTTCCCCCATTAAGGAGCAGTCTGGAGCAGTTTGAGATGAAGCAAACTTGGTTTCACACTAACGCTCAACTTGTGGAATAGGTGCATTTCACTCCATTGACTTTAGGGAATACGTGCCACTCACGGAATGGCTTTGTAAAAGGAAAGCCTGCTGTGTCACACTTGAAAGTTCAGTGCTTCCAGGTTGGATGTTGAATTCGAACCGTTGTTCCCTGTACCTCCTCTGTTCCCATTTCCTTCTCGGCTAGCCTGCGTGGCAAACACTAGGAGCTACATCGTATCTCTTTCGCAGCTTGTGATGGAGGCTTCGGGGACTTGTAGGAAGATGGGAAGGAGGCTCAAACGGATAGACACGTTTCAGTTGAATGCTTGCTGCGGGTGTACGGTAGAGTACAGGCAATCGGTAGCCATGAATAAAGTCCAGGGCTTTCGGAGAGGTCTTGGAGTAATTACTTGACAGTGTGGGTGTATCTAAAGACAGGCATGTGGTCAGCTTCTTGGTGCTCTAGAGTAAAATAGGGAGAAGAAATCAACAACAGACTGGTTGAAGGAACTATCACGGCAGCACTTGACAAATTCGGCATTCCCTCCAGACTCTAAATTTTGTTGATATGGAATAGAGTGTGGCCTCAGTGTGAGCAGACCATTCTGTGTGTCTGGTAGCTTTTGATTGCGTCCTTCAATGTGGTACCTCCTTGAGCTCTCAAGAACCCTGAGTTCATTCTGGCGTTGGCTCTTCGCTGTCTGTTTTTTCAAGTCCGGCGGTTCCATGCCTTCGCTTCTAACCACTCGGTAGATCGAATAAGACTGTTCTTTGCGCCATGAAGGGTCCAAAGGATGTAGGAAGTCGTAGAGTCCATCCCTTTTAGGCTTTGATTAGATGCCAAGCGAAGCTGTGCACCCCTTGATGTCCAAGCTCGAACACAGAGGTCAACAATATTGGAAGTGGTCCTTTTATTCATAGTGATAATCATCAGTGGAGGCCAGCAAGCGCTTTTCCGTTCTTCGTGGAGGGGTTGATCTGGCGGAGGCCGTGTGCGGGAGAGTCAGGAAGGAAAGATTCTGGCAGGTGATGCAAAGCACGTTAGTATGCCAGCAGGACCATAGTCTCTTTTTTTTTTGAGATGGGCTCTTACCTCATAAACTGTCATGGGTACGGAATTCTTCATGATGTGCCTTTGTCTTCTACGCCATTCCACAGCGTGATGGCTGTAACAGAATGGCTGTTGCGGGATGTGCGAAGATTCAGTAGCACAGTTTCCATTGAAGGGGGAAACAGTAATAACAACAGAGCAAAGCGGGGCAAGAGAAGAACGTGTACACCAGGGAAGGGGAAAGTTTTAAGCTGATGAACTTGAAGAGCTCGTGCTTTCAAGCAAACTACCAGCTGTCTAATCTACGTCAAACTACTAAGATAAAGACAAATTTGTTGGAATGAAGATCGCGATTGCGGAAATTCGAAGAACTAACTAGGTGCTCTAAGGCACAACAGAGACGCGATCCTTCCTAAGGTTGTAGTATTGATAGGTCCAAATTCCGCGAGAAGAAAATGTCTTCCCTACCAACTACATACCGAAGAGAATGAACAAATGAAAGAGTATGAATCCCGTAAACAACAGGAGTAAAGCGATTTTTGAGAAGAACGAATTTGTCTGGTGGACGCGGTTCGAACAGCCGCAGTGGCGCTGGCGCTCAGTTGTGGGTTTTGAAGCCATCGGAGTCTCAGAGGCAGCGAGGGGGCTGGCAGAACTGGTTCGGGCAGCACCGGTGTTTTCCGACGGTGCCATCACACTTCTTGGGGCACTTGTTCTTGACGTTCTGAAGATCGACTTCGCCGGAGAGCTCGTCGAGGACGTCGACGGCGGCGCTGGTCTGGAGGTACCAGAATTCTTCCTGGGGTGAGAAAAGAAGGTTAGCTGTGTGTTCTTGTTTGATGGAGAGAGTGAGATGAGTTCAACTTACATCTTCGGCAATGATCTCACGAGCGGGCAGAACGAGGGTTCCGTCCTCTTCCTTGTGACCTGCGGTGCACCATCCGCCGAGGCAGAGAGAGCCGGAGTTGCAGTCGGTGTTGACCTTGCAGTTCTGGTCGAACTCGGATTTGTCAAGCTCGGCGTCGTCTTCCGACTTGCTAAGCATCCAACGGGGCTCATGGTTGTCAACAGGCTTAGTGATGAGAGTGCACTTGCCGTCAATGCAGCGAGTCGCGGGTTCGGTGCAGTCAATATGGCGCGTGCACATAATAGTGGGTTCGGGCTGTTCCTCATCTGACTTCATAAGCTAAACAAGGTGTGTTAGCATGACGATGCAAGGAGCGAAGTGGGTGCTGAAAACTTACCATCCAAAGACCCTTGTCTTCGACATCACGAGGACACATCCCATGAGGCTTGCCACAGGGACCGAGAGGGAAAGAAGGACCGTGACCAATTGGATGGGGTCCATCACCCTGAACGTCGCGGGGATGATAGTCGCCACCAGACCCAGGGGGGAACGGCTCTAAATCGAAAGATGATTAGAAGAATAGTGAGACGTAATGATCAAGGGACACTTACTTGGGTGGGGCTTGTAATCGCCGGCAGACTCCTGAACATCGCGAGGGTTGTAATCACCGCCAGAGCCAGGTGGGAAGGGCTCTGGATATTGGTTAGAGACACGGTAAGCTGTCATGAGAGGAAGGGACACTTACTGGGGTGAGGCTTATAATCGCCATCAACGACACGAGCGGCGGGACCCTTGAAGCCAGAGCTAAGACCGGTGACGGGATCAACGAAAACATGAACACCGTGAGGACCCTTGGTGTCAGGACCATTGCCAACGGGAAAGCTAGGTCCGTTGAAGTCAGGGCCGAGAGGGATGGGAATGGTCGGGCCTTTGGTGTCAGGGCCACCGACAACAGGAATGGTGGGACCCTTGACAGGAACAATAGTTCCGTTGACAGGAACAGTACCGTTGCCGGGAGCAGGCACCGCAGTTGCAAGAGCAACCACGGCGGCCACGGCGGCCATGGTGGACAAGAAGCGCATCTTTAAAAGGTGCAATAAGGGATTTGAATTCAGAAAAGTCTGAAGATTTTGGGATAGAAGAAAGATCTGAAGAGGCTGGAGAGGGTTGAGAGAGTCGAAGGTGGTTGCGGATGGAGAAAAAATCCAGTGCTTCGGTGGGCGAGGAGGCAGTACTTATAGTAGAACCTGAGAATATTGGGAGTGCTGACAGTCAGGCTCCAGTTCTTCTCTCACACAGAGTTACTGAAGATATTCACTTTTCGGTGAGCAGGTGCCAAAATCTGGAGAGGGCATCCATGTCAGATACAGGGCTGGCCAGGGTCAAAAGCACGCTAAAGTGATAGGATCCACTATTCAGACAAAGAATATTCACCCCTTGCTGTTTTCCAGTTTCAGATCTGCTTGCCAGAGTGACTGTCTGCACAAGATAAGCACGCTCATTGGCGGAGAGTTGTTATCATTCACGGTTGTGCGCGAATTCAGGCAGACACGCCAGGTTCAGGGCAAGAACCTGGTCTCGTGATGGTCAGATAAAAAACACAGAAGTGGAAAGAATCAGAAGGACACAGTCCGAAGCTAGAAGCTCCATGACGTGGGCATTTCGCTCAAGCTGGATGCCTCTCAGGGCCAGTAACACAGGAGGGCTTCTGTTTAGAAAAGCACCAAAGGCAGTCCATTGACCAAACACACATGATAAGACCTTGATAATAAGGCTGCTGGCATTGTTAGCTAAGCTCAAACAGCTGGTCAGGAATATTCATTGTACTGGCATCCTAGGTCATCATGACCAGTTGTGCTGTGTCGCTTCCCTTGTCTCACGGATTCGAAAGACCTCATGCCTTTGGCCGAAGCCTTACCGGGCCAGGACTTTGCTCGGAGAAAGAAACATTGCATCACAAACACTGAGCTTCTGCTTGACTTAGACTGAACAGTACAGTGGCGATCCAGTCAGTGAGTCGACAGTATTCGAGAGCACCAGATCATGCTAACATTGCTGTTTCTCTCTTTAGAGCTCTGGCACAAACATGGGCCTGTTTTCCATCCTCGAAAGTTCCCATTCAAAGCTCAGACGGCCCCAAGCCCAGCACCGAGGACTGATGCAGCCAGAAGCGCTGCGACAAGCCTCTCCATCCTGAGCCTCCCGCCGCTTGACGCACCCGTCGGAGCAACGACCACATCTCCGGTATCTGAAGAAGACGGAAGCAAGCTAGTTGCGGCTTCAGATTCCTCAACCCGAGATGACGACTCAGTCAGAATAGCCGTTGAGGCCAAAGCCAAAGCAGAAGTCGAGGCAGAGACCAGCGTCGTTTCCGAAGGCCGCATGGTACTAGCGGTTGTTTCCTCACTCGCCGTAGTGGAATCCCAATATCCAGGAATGTCGGTCACGGCAACCCAATGCGTAAGCGTAAAGTCTTCTCCCTCGTCATACGTGTACGATGTCCAGTACGTGGTCCAATCCGTTGCCCAGCTCCCCGACGGCGTTGAAGCATACGACGTCGGCATCGGCTTGCCTTCTACCGTGATAGCGTCGCAGGTGACATCTCCGCCGGTGACGTCCTGGCCGCCGTCTGTCAGGCACATAAAATGATCGTCCCAGTCATATGGAGTGTCGCCCTTGATCACGTCGAGATTAGGGTCAACCTGGCAGAGCATGGCACAGGTGACAGGGTAAGCTGGATGATCGGGCGTAGTCGGCTCGGTGATATTGTAGACTGTTCCTGAGCAGCATTGGGCGAATCTGGGGGCGCTTTCTGGGCCTACGGGAGGCGTCTTGCAGATGAAGCCGGGCAGGTTCTCGGGCCATTCTGTGTAGGCGTCGCTGTAGTTTAAATCAAAGGTGACGTGGCCGGAGCACTGCTGCTTGGACATTGCCAGTTTCCCTCTCTCGAATAGCCAATGCAAAGTTTCTACCCCGATATACAAGCTGAGAGCTGTTTATGAAGCTGAATTAAAGTTTTGTACCTGGCGCTGCCAAGATCGCCCAGAATTCAGGGTCAGGTGACTCGAGCACGACCGTATATGAGGCTCAATGGCCTCAAACCACAGCGAGATTTGATAGTTGTCTTGCAAATGTGGCTAGATTTCCTTCCTGAGTTACCGGTACTCGATAGAGCGTTGGTGCGCTGTCACGGTGCTGGCGATGATCGGTCAACCTATAGCGCTGTCAATATATATATTAGGACCAGTCCCTAAACCAACTAGAACGCTTTTTGCTGGCATATTCGCGAGACCTTAAAAACCAATTTGTAACAGGCCAGCTCCTACCAACAAACTTACTATACACCCCTATCTCTACCTCGGGACTTAGAAGCTGTTTATGACAGAAGGAGGCGATGCTGCTAGATAGTAGGTAAACCTTGAAACTGACGTATTCTCCCCACCGAGTCCCGAGGTCGGAGGGATACCTTACCATTTACTTCAATACCTAATAAGTGGGTGGGGTGACAGGCTTCAAAGTAACTAGGTATGAGTTGCACAGGGCCAGATTGGCACTGAATTTGTTAGCACTACAAAGCTGTATAGCCTACTGGTAGCTCACTCAATGGACGCACACGTCAACCAGTGACCTAGTTGCAAAAAGCCTCGAGATCATGTCCTCGTATAGATTTGCCTACCAAGATATATGCCACCTTCTTTCTAACCCCTCTCCTTGGCACCATACACTGTCAGGAGTAATCACTACAAAGGAAACCCAGACAAACGGTAAATCAGAAATGAAGGCATTGTATTCTTGGATACAGGTAGTGACGCGCCCGAGACGGATATATTCATCGCACGTATCATTTCCCCTCTTCTCAGACGTGTCCTGGACTTTAAGCCAGTCATATAAGACATAAGTGTGATTGGTTGGCGGCTGCCTCAGCAACATCTGTCTCCAGCTTGCATTTGCTCGGGAAAATGCGTTGTGTACAAGAGGTTCGGTCCTCTGAATGATCCACATTTTTGCGTCTTTAGGATTTTCGAAAACGAGAGGTAAACTTTGATCGACTGGGCCAGGCCATAGACGCGTCCATATGAATGCGAGGAGCGGGTTTGTCGTTCGACCCTGGACGTCGGGGTCGAGAGGCGCCTTTGGCGAAGGCTTTAAGTAGAGCTGGATCTGCAGCGCAGAGGACGCTTGAATGACACTCTGCCAGTGACGACAGACTCGCTGAACAGTAAAGAGCGTTCGCATGTCGGTGTGGGCTAATATATGCTCGAGGAGTTCAAATATCAAGAACACTCTGGCCGAAGAAGCCTGCTGCGAGCGGTGGTCCATCTTTGATATAAGGTAACCAACAGAAGAGATGCGAGATGCAGTTGAGAGGAAAGTTGTAGTGGGCGGCTCACCATGGCTATCTAACCTTCCATTAGATCATAATGAAGTCGCCTTAAAGTTTCGAAGACCGACGGTGATCGGTTCATATTGAACTGAAAACTCCGCCCAATCAATGCAGCAACACCATCCGGGAACAGACCTCCGAAACTGAAACATTTTGAGCGAGAGCAAGATTACCTTTTTATGACCGATGCCCGCTAATGAGTGATAGAAAGAGTCGGGTTCAGTCGCCCGAAGCGCGTCAAGGGAGGTCTGAGTAGACGTGACAGGGCCTCCGAGAAATGCTATACAGGCCCGTCAAGTACAAGATCGACTGACTGTCGACAATACTGCTGCGTACAGATGAATAAAATGTCAGCCATGGATCGATATTTCGCGCTGCAACCCCGCGCCCAGTTTGCTGATGAGGATGGAGTAGACACACCGCGTTGCGTCAGTCATACTGTGGCTACATCATGAGGTGCCACCGTGATTGTATTGTGAGGAGCCAGAAATCACCAAGACCAGCAATTTTGCTTCTGCTCTTAATCTCCGAATAGATCATAGAACTACCGAGTCATACTCTTATCTCAACTTCATGCTTGCAGTTGCAGTCAAGCGGGCACCGAACTGGGAAGGAGCTGATACAGTATTACGTCACCAGACACGTGACTATAGACAACCCGTCGCGTCACTTGTCCTTCCTTCTTCCCTTCTTTCACCATCACACTATCCGTCCGACCTTTATCCGCTCTTCCTCGATTCGGACACGGATCGTCTTCATGCTGCGACAAAATAGGGCTCAATATGTCGACCCGGACGCGCCCCGGCCGCTCCGCACCGCGCGGAGCCCCCCGCACTCGCACTCGCCGATCGCGGCGAACCGAAGACGACGAGATACCACAAGTTTACCGAGAGATGCTAGCTGAGGCGGAAGCACGGGAAACAAGCGAGTCAGGAAATGATAGACCGGCGAAGCGGTTCAAGCCGGCAGGATACAGAGCGACACCTGCGCAGGCGCAAGTTGCGGAGCCTGCGGAACGAGAAACGCAAGCCAGGAACGCCGAGGAGAATGCGGCTAAGCAAACGCAAACTGTATATAATTCGCCGTCGGAGTCAGAAGAATCGGATTTGGAATGGGAGGAAGTCGATATTCAGCACCCTGCGAATACTGGGCCGACTTCGTCTGTGACGGATGATGCGCCGTTGCAGATTACACTTGGACAGCAGGATGACCGGAAGCGAAGGGCTGTCCGGCGTAAGCCTGTAACTGCGGCGGAGAGGAAGGTTCGACTTGATGTTCATAAAGCGCATCTACTTTGCCTGTTGTGCCACGTCCAGCGGCGTAATTTGTGGTGCAACGATGAGGAAGTACAGGTGCGTTGCATCCTCTCCGCATTTGAACCATCTAAGTGTACTTGTAGGAATCTCTTAAGAAAATATTATCGAAGCACATTAGATCGCAGCTCAATCCACCGGAGGAGAAACCGCAGCACACTAGATCAGCAATGTTTTTGGACGGCCTCAACCAGGCTGGGGATGTTTTCTTCAGGCGATTCAAAATCACAAAACCTGGCTTACGGCGCCCACACTGGTCGGGCGATGTTGATGCTCTGAAACGACGAACGGTAATATACAACATCGCCAGTCAGGCTTTGCTAATATCTCCTAGGAGGCTATCATCTCCGACGCTGAAGTGTTCCTTTCCAGAGACGACTTTCGCAAGCAGGCCAACTCAATGCAAGGTTCTCGAGATTTCGGCGCTCAGCTGTTCTGTGCACTGTTACGATCTGTTGCCGTGGAGGCTAGGCTGGTCTGCTCGTTGCAGCCACTGTCATTTTCAGGAGCGCAACTTCCGCCGAAGCCAGAGCCACAACCTATCGTCATATCTTCCGACGATCCAGATACACTGACAGACGGTCAGTCAAAATCCGATTCAAGGCCCACGCCCATTCGAAGGATCGGTCGACCGGGTTTCAAACCAACGCGAGCGCCGACTACCACTACTCTTCCTTCAAGTACGTACGTCGACCGATTTACAGACTCTACTAACAGTCACAGGACCAGTACCAACCGAATCATCGTATCCGGTGTTCTGGGTAGAGGCGTTCAATGAAGCCTTCCAGAAATGGGTCGTGATTGATCCCATGGTCACCAAGACACTTGCAAAACCACACAAACTCGAACCTCCCTCTACCGATCCTTTCAACCTCCTGAGCTATGTCGTCGCATTTGAAGAAGACGCATCAGCGCGCGACGTCACCCGCCGCTATACCAAAGTGTTCAACGCGAAAACCCGCAAACTCCGCGTCGAGTCGACCAAGAACGGTGAAGGCTGGTGGAAACGAGTCATGGCACATTTCGAGAAGCCATTCTTAGAAGACCGTGATGAGCTGGAGGTTGGCGAGCTCACCGCAAAGACGGCTTCCGAGCCCATGCCGCGGAATGTGCAGGATTTCAAAGACCACCCGATCTATGCGTTGGAACGACATCTCCGCCGTAATGAGGTTATATTTCCAAAGCGGGTTACAGGGCATGTTAGCCTTGGGAAGCCGGGTGGCAAGGGTCAGACTGAACCCATCTATCGACGCTCGGACGTTCATACCCTGCGCAGTGCAAATAAGTGGTACCGGCTTGGGCGGGATATCAAAGTGGGCGAGCAAGCTTTGAAACGGATACCAGCACGAAACAAGGGAATGACATTGGACGATGACGACGAACCTGAAGAAACCACGTTGTACGCCTTTTTCCAAACAGAACTTTACAAGCCGCCACCGGTCGTTCAAGGGCGAATACCCAAGAATGCATTCGGGAATTTGGATGTCTATGTGCCAAGTATGGTTCCTCCCGGTGGAGTTCACATCAGGCACTTGGAAGCTGCTCGTGCCGCACGTATCCTGGGAATTGACTACGCGGACGCCGTTACGGGGTTCAGCTTCAAAGGACGCCATGGGACAGCCATCGTTCAAGGGGTAGTTGTTGCCGATGAGTACAGGGAAGCAGTGGTGGAAGTATTGAGGGCCATTGAGGAAGAGAAACTGCGCAACGAGCAGGAGGAACGAACTCTCGAAGTCCTGCGCACATGGAAGAATCTCCTGCTGAAGCTTCGCATCGCCGAGCGAGTCAAAGGATATGCTATTGAAGGCGAAGCAGACGATGAGGCGAGTGCTCTGGATCAGGCTGGGCCAGAAGAAGAGGGCGGTGGGTTCCTACCCGAATCTGATGCTGAAATGGCGGACCCTCAGCCTGTTGCTGCACGATCTCATGAGTACGCTGGCGAGGACGAGGAGATGGGTGGTGGGTTTCTACCAGAATCTGATGGCGATGAACCCTCGCCTGTATACCAAGAAGACAAACCCAAACCTGGTGACGACGACCAACGAAGCGAACCTGCACCTCCCGGCGAGCACAATCAAGGTGGTGGCTTCATGACTGTGGATGAAGTTCCCAAGCCAGCTATTCCTGAACCCCGCCGCACCAACAGACGAGTACGTACACACTATGATCTTGTCGTCGTGCCAAATGGAACAGACATACACCCTGATGAACGACGCCCTCTCTTTTCCGAATCTCGGACTATCAATCAAGCCCTTCAGACACCCATCACAAGAGCATTGGGAGACACCATCGACGAGCCCATTACTGTAGCATCATCAGTTAATGACTCTGCGTCCGCCAGTGTCGAGATTCTCTCCCGCGCGCCATCCCAGGTCCAATCTCGCGCTCCGTCTGTTGAAGTCGCGTCCGGGCCTGCGTCTCAGCATTCTGAGCATGAGGATGAAGAGCGCGAGGGATCTCTTCTGTCGGAGGACCCGGAGGATGAAGATGCGGTTCCTGAGTGGCTTATGTCTGATTGAGATGTCTATGAGACGATGCGATGTAAATATTGTCCAGCGTTTTGGTATGAGGTTTTGGGTAAGCGACCAATGTACATATCTCCACTACCTGGTGTTGATGATGTCCACACGAACAACTTTATCTATATACAACTCTTCCCTCTCTTATTACAAGTCTACCGCCCCATCCACCCCCCATCAACCGTAACAAGCTCCCCACTAACATAAGAACTCGCCTCACTCGCCAGAAACACAACCGGCCCCTTAAAGTCCTCGGGCCTCCCCCACCTCCCCGCTGGAATCCGCGCCATAATCCCCGCATTCCGATTACTGTCGTTGATCAACGCAACATTCATATCCGTATCAATATACCCCGGCGCAATAGCATTGACGTTAATCCCCTTCCCAACCCACTCATTGCTCAGCGCCTTCGTAAGCTGCGCAATGCCCCCCTTACTCGCCGCATACGCGGGGACCGTAATGCCACCCTGGTACGACAGCAGCGAGGCAACGTTGATAATAGACCCCTTCTTCCTATTCGGCGCGAAGGACTCGTCCGGACGGGACAGGATATAAGCGCCGAATTCGCGGCAGAGCGTGAAGACGCTGGTCAGGTTGACGTTCAACACCTCGTCCCAGTCTTCGTCGGGGAACTTTTCCGACGGGTGCCGGCGTTGGATCCCCGCGCAGTTGAGCAGGATTGTGGGCGTGTGGCCTTGCGAGACGAGGGTGGGGATTATGGCCTTTACGGCGGCGCGGTCGGAGAGTTCGGCGGCGTGGATGGTGGCTTTTCGGCCGAGGCTTGTGATGGCGTCGTGGGTTGTTGTGTTGCGCGTGTCTCGCTGTATGAGTACGTTAGCATCTACGTCGTGGGGAGAGGGAGAGCTACCTAAGTGGGTGACGTACCTGGACGAGGATGATGTCTGCCCCGGCCTCTGCGAGTGCAATGGCCATTGCGGCGCCGATGCCGCGGGTTCCGCCGGTCACGAGGGCGGTTTTGCCCTGTAGGGAGAAGAGGGATGCGACGTCTGCCATTTCTGTGGGCTGTGTGTGATTTGGATTGGAAATTGGAGAGAGTGGGATGGTTGTTGCTGTTATATAGTGGCAGTGCGGGGCATCCCGAAGAGGATGTTTCCGTTGCCGACAGAGCCCGACGTCTCCCCGCATCGGTTACTGCGCCGATCGGGGGTTGTCCGACTCTACTATCAAGGATAGAGCTACGTCAGGATATCAACAGGGAAGTAATCATATGGCGAATCAAGCGCTGAGATGGGATAAGACAAAAACAAGTCTCTGATATATCCGGCGTCTTTGGACCATAGTCTGAGAGTGAACGGTCAGCCTCACTCTGGCCTTTTCCTGACGCTCGGATATGTATCCGCGCTTTTTGAGGGATGAGTAGGCTACCTTCAGCTTTGGAAGTAGAGCTCTGGTCCTTGAGACGAATGAGCGCCAAAAGGGAACAAACTATGATGCCGTACTTCAGAGCCCCAGAGTGTCAAAAAGAAAAGTCTATGAGTATATGCGTATATATCTCTACTTATGCATATCCAAGGTCCAAACCCTCTATGACGTCCTCGCAAACCTCTCCAAACAAACACATACACATCCTGGGACCCAGGCATACTCACCCTGATCATACCACAATTCCAACTTGTCTCAGCCATCACTGAAGTGCTGCCTGCCACGAAGACAAGGACATGGTCAGGTATGATATCAACCTTCCCTCTTGAGACCCCGTCCCCTCGCGAACAACGCCGCAACAACAGCGATAGCGCCAAAGCCTGCACTGACCCCAAATGCCATGCGGATGCCGCCATAGTACACCTGTCTTGCAACGAGTTGGTTCTCCGGATCGAGGTTGTAAATCGCACTGACGGAGTGGCGGATCTCGTCGATTACCTGGATGAGAAAATAAGATGGTGAGCGGTTGCCATGCCAAATCAAGGAGGTGGATATTTGGAGCGGGATAAGAGTCACGGATGAACGAGCTGGATATGTTGTAGCAAGAAGCATAAGGGGAGGGAAGGTACTTTCCATTTATGCGGTACACCTCGCAACGCCCCAGGCAGGGAGCGCACGAGCTCATTCTGGACAATCGCAGAAGTAATCGCAACGCCGTATACCGTTCCCAGCGAGCGAATGAGGTACACCGTCGACGCGGAGACCGCATGGTCTTCATGACCGAATGCTGCGAGAATCGTAAACAGAATAGCTGGATAGACGACGCCCTGTCCTAGATTCGCGGGGATAACATAGACGAGATATTTCCAGGCCGAGTCTTCAAAGTCGAGGAGCATGACGAGGAGATTGCCGATGAACATGAGGACTGCACCAAGGCGCATCAGACATGCTAGCTTACCGTACCGCGACATTATGATTCCGGATAAGAGGCCGCCGATAGGCGTTGCAAGGGAGGGGATGACGAGACGCGCACCGGCTTTTGATGCGCTGTCGAGGAGGACGATCTGGAAGAAGAGCGGGAGGTTGAAGAGAAACTGCGCACCAGCATCGTCAGCATACTAGTCTCAATTGCAGAAGGGAACAGAGAGCAGAACGCACAGCGTAAGCAGCCATCCCAACACAGACATTCGCAACCTGCGTCGAAACCGGCAACAGACCCCTCAACATCCTCAACGGAATAACAGGAATCGCACTCGTCCTCGCCTCAACAACGACGAACCCAGCCAGCAGAACCACACTGCCGACCAAACACCCAACAACCCACCCATCACTCCAGGGGAGTTCATTCCCCCCCAAACTCAACCCCACAAGCTGCACCGACAACCCCAGAATAAGCAGCAGCGCACCGGCAAGATCAACCTGCTTCCAAACGCCCAATCCAGCACCGACTATCTGCTTAACCGGCCGAGGGGCAGGAATAACAAGCCACCCAACACCAAGCGCAAAAACAGCCACAGGAACCTGCAGCAAAAAGCACCACCGCCACCCAACGCCATTCGCAATCCACCCCCCCAGCGACGCCCCACAGATCGACCCAAACCCATGCAGCACATTCTGCACAGCCTGGTACATCCCGCGGCGCTGGAACGGAACCATATCGGAATTGATGATGGTTGCCATGGTCATCAGGCCGCCGCCGCCAATGCCGGTTAGGGCGCGCATGAGGTTTAAGAAGATGACGTCGCGCGCGAGGGCGCAGCCTGTGCAGCCGAGGAGGAAGGTTATTGTGGACGTAAAGAAGCAGGCGCGGCGGCCGAAGATGTCGGAGAAGCGGCCGTAGAGGGGCTGGAAGGCGGTGCTGGTGATGAGGTAGGAGGTTGTGAGCCAGGAGGAGGTGTTTGCGGCGTTGAAGTCGGAGCTGATCAGGGCGTAGGTGGAGGCTGTGATTGTGCCGTCGAAGCCGGAGAGGAAGACGTTGGCGAAGATTGCTGGTTGTGTTGGTGATTAGAAGGAAAAGGAAGAGGGTGAATGGGAAACGAACCGACTTGGATCCAGAGGAAGCCTTTGGGCGGCGTCCAGTCTGCTGCGGGGAGCAGCGGTTCCTCTTCTTGACCCTGTTCCTGGACTCCATGGTCGTTCTCGTGCTCGAGAGCTGGGCTATGAGACTCCGCTGGGGCGATTGTTCCGTACGACATTTTGACAATGGACTTTGTGGACGTCTGAAAAAGAAATGACAGAAATGGCGACTTTATAGTGACAGGAAGCTCTGGTGGGTAAAGCTTTATCGCCCGAGAATTCGAGTCACTAAAGGACACTTATCGATGGCATCATCTTAGACTGCTTGTGCTAATTCTCGGGAGTTTCTAAGTGGCCAATTTCTATGCATCTCCACACCAAGCCCTAACTCTGCCATATTCTATAACGGACTCATTCTATATCAAATCACTTGCTGTCCGAAGCCGAACACGACGACAAAATCCCCTTGACCACCAAACTCTTCCCCGCCGCAATCCGCCCCATCTCCTCAAAGCTCATCTTGCCCAGCATCTCAAACACCGCGATATCCGCATCCAGCTTCCATTTAAACCAGTTCCGCAACTCCACGGCCACCAGCGAATCGACTCCGTACTGGTTCATCGGCTTGCCGGCATCCAGGTTCTTGAGCGGGACGCCAATTGCCTTGCTGAGTCGCTGCATTAGCGATTCGGCAATGATATCTGTTGCGTCCTGCATGGAGGTGATGGTTGCTAGCTGGCGGAGGACATCCACATTGCCTCCTGTGTCTTCAGCGGCGTTGGTTGTCGCTGATGTGCTAGAGTCAACTATATTCCACGTCCCACTGAACAACGGTCGATTAAGAAGAACAGGGATCTCGCGTCCTTCCGCGGCCAGGCCCAGGGGTGTATTGAGACCCACCAGGACTTGCGACCGGAGCGGCGTATCCGGGATCTCGAGCGATGGATCGCAGTGATACTCCAGCAATGCAAACATTTCTTTCTGAGAGATGCCGATGGGATATCCTGAAGCTGTAAGCGCATTGCGCACGGCATCATTATCGCGCAAAACGCCATCATCCAACATCACGCCTAGGTTGAGGGTCGTTGCACGCTCCCCCAAACCGTTCCTGTAGTGGACTAGAGCGTCTTGATAAACGCAGGCGGCGGCATAGTTGACGGCCGCTGTGCCTCCTATCCCACCCACGATGGAAGAGTACGTGATGAAGAAGTCTAGCCCGCTAGGGAGAAGTGAATGTAGGTTCCAAGTCCCAGCGACTTTACACGGCACCGCTTCTTCCCAGTCGGTATAGGTCATATTGGCGAATACCTTGTTCTGGTATGCATTAGTAGGGAGAGACCGGACTGGAGACGTTGAACTCACACGAAGAACCATAGCAGATTGTATACAGCCCTTGATTGGAGGCATCGTTCGCCCAATATCCTCGAGGACAACTTTCAGACGCTCAAAGTCACTGATGTCGCACGCGCGTACTTCAACATGAACGCCGTCATTTTCCATGGCCTCAATGACTTGCTGCGCCTCTGTATTAGGTCTTGACCGAGACAGCAAGAGAAGGTTCTTCGCGCCCCTGTTCGCCATCCACCGCGCGGTCGCACGACCGATACCTCCTAGGCCGCCGGCAATAACATACGTTGCGTTCGCATCAAAAGACCATGGGCGATGTACGTTGAGCTTCGTCTAGAATGGTGATTAGTAAAACCCCACGCCAGGATACGGCCATTCTCACCTTAACCACATCGTCCCCACGTATCTCGATCACAGTCTTCCCCGTATTCTTCCCGCCCTGCAAGTAACGGAACGCTTGTTCAACCTCGCTGACGGGATAGACGTGGATTGGGCGTGGAGGTGTGACTTGATGGTCTGCTATGAGATTCCCAATCTCTTTCTGTAACCGTTGCAGCAAGGCCGGTCGATACCTCCGTGCTTCATTAAGGTCGATGGCATGGAACGAGGCATTCCGCTCAAAAGGCCGCATTGGTAGATCTCCATTCCCAAGTATATCTTTCTTTCCCAGTTCAAGGAAACGACCGAATGGAGCGACGCATTCCCAGCTGCTCACTAGTAAATCGCCGCTCAACGAGTTCAAAACGACATCAACTCCCCGTCCGCCCGTCATGCGATGGATCCCCTTGGCAAAGGACGCATTGCGACTGTCGAAGATATGCTCAGCGGATATCTCGTAGAGATCCATCAGCAGCTTCTTTTTCTCCTCTGAGCCAACAGTCACAAAGATCACTGCGCCGCGGAGTTTCGCAATCTGGATAGCGGCCTGTCCCGTCCCCCCTGCCGCCGAGTGGATGAGAATCGTTTCGCCTGGCTGGATATCTGCGACATGGATCAGAGCGTAGTAGGCTGTACCGAAGACAATCGGAAGGGCGGCTGCTTCGGCGATGTTCATGCCGTCGGGTATAGGAATTGCATCACTAGCCTTGCAGCGGGCATATGTCTGGTACGTCCCGATTGCACTGGCGCAGACTCTATCGCCGACATTCAGGTCTCGCACCTCACTGCCTTTGCGACATACAGTACCCGCACACTCGAAGCCAAAACGGTCACCGGCAATGCGTCCTAGGGCAATTAGACAGTCACGGAAATTGACGCCGCATGCTTCAACCTTGATCTCAATCTCGTCGGGGCCTAGTGGTGGAAGAGTAGACTCATCGTCGATAAATTGCAATGTATCTAGCAATCCCGGTGTCGCGATGTTGAGGCGCAATGCCTTGTGCGCTCCAAAAGCCGACTCTCCCTCCTCTACCTCGGCCGTGAGGTCAGGTATCTTCTCATTGATATAATCGGCTTCGATCAGCCTATCAACGCAGAGACGCCCGTGGCGCTCGACATACTCCTGTTCGCACTCGTTCACATGCCTCGTAACAACGGCGTCGAAAGCCCGTAATATCAAGTCCGACATGCGCGCCGGTGAGGTTGAGGATGGGTCTAGCGATAGAGAGATAAATTTTGACGCCAGCTCTTCAAGGCGGATACCGCGGAATGCGCCCTGAATCATAGCGTGCTCCGGTAGCTGTGGCCGGAAGCCGCCGCCTCGACAGACCCAGAGCATCCCATCAGCAGCTTCGAGAAGCTTTTTGAACGGCGAGTACACATTGGCATCGAGGGTAGAAAGAACCCCGTCCCCAAGTTCGAGAATAACCACGAAGAACCACTTTCCTTGGCGTGCCAGTTGCGCTGCGTCATCCAGACTAACTGCGGCAGTGTCGGCCCCGAGTTCTTGGATGCGTGATAGTAACATTTCTGAAACAGCTTTCTGGACCGGGTCATTCACGTCATATACAACTGCCGTCCGTGGAAGATCAAGACTGGGTTGTTGAGGTAGGTCTTTCACTGCCGTTGAAATGAGCACACTGTGCTCCTGAGACTCACGCTCGGCGTAATCCTTGATTTCAAGCTCGATTCCGGCAAAGCCGTTCTTGCTTAGGACATGATTCCACGTTGTCACCTCCGCACCAGCGCTGAGCTCTCTATACTGGTCCTCAAAGCGCCACCAGCCCGGCAGAACCCCAAAAGCAAAGTTTAGCCGCGTGACATCTGGGCTTGTCAGCTCAAAGAGGACCAGCTTTCCATCGGGCTTGAGTAGCTTGCGTGCATGCTTGACGGTTGCGTCCAAGTCCCGGGTAGCATGGAACACGTTGTCTGCTATTATGAGATCGTATGCTCCGGCCTCGAAGCCTTGCATGGCCGGATCTTTTTCAATATCAAGCACCTGGAAGGATACTTTCTCCGGGAACGCTTCGAAGAGCGCGGCAGCATCAGTAAAGAAGCCAGCGGATATATCCGTGTACGTATAATGGTCGAAGCGTGGTGTCCCTCTTCCGGATTCGCCAGATCCAATTTTAGTCAATGTGTCCAAGATATCTTTGGTCATACCGCCGGTCCCAGCTCCTATTTCTAGGACTTTGAGGCGTGGGTATTTGTGCGCGTAGATGTCTATGAAGTGCAGCGCTTGAGATTGCGCGGTGGAGTTCTCGTAGACCTCGCGATAGTATTCCTTCACCAGGGGTGTTTTGAAAGTCAGATCCACGGGATCCACGGATCCTTGTAGGATTGCGGGAAGATTCCGGGCAATCACAGCAAACAGTTTGGTTTGATTGTTGTGGGCTTCAAGTGTATCGAGTAGCTGACTATAAAACGTATCATCGTGCAGATGTGCTTCGACCCTTCTCTTGATCAGACTGTTCTCATCGAGCGCAGCGAACTTCGCCTTCTCATACTGCATCCAAGACACATATCGTTGCTGATGGGGCGCCATTGTCTCAATAAGGTCTGATGTCAACTGCTTAAGAGATCGCAGAATGCAGATGTAAACCAAAGTTTTAACATCCAAATCCAACTCAACCGGCGGGCTTTGCATCGGAACCTTTTCGTTAACGTACCCATACAGCTCATCGTGGGAGAGAAGTTCAATATCAGGCTTCGAGTCGAAGTTCCAACACAGCCTTTTCGTCATTTCGTCCTGCCCATGCGGCCCTTGTTCCTCTTTCAAGTATCTGGCCTCCAGACCCTCCAAGACAACCAGTGCTTCTGTCCCGGATGCGTCAAAGGCAACAACGTCAGAAGCCACATTACTCGACCCGGAAAAGGCGGACTTGTTCCAGGCAAGCATGGTATCCTGGTCCTTGTTCTTGGCTATGCCCTTCTCGGAGATAAACATCCTTCGAATCCCTGCCACTACACTGGGCAGGATCCTCGATCCCCCCTTCGTCATGGGGACGACGTTTAAATGAAAGAGTCCATCGAGTGTGGTGGGGTGGATAGTGAAATTATTTTGGTGGAACTTTCGACTTTTTGCACGATGTGAGTGCGGATCTATCGCAGCGTGGCATTCGTAGGGTCCGTTGTCGTTGTCGGTATATGAGGATGTCTTGATGCATTGGTGGGTCGGGCCATAGTCAACACCGTTGGCCGCTAGGGCTTGATAAAGCCGCGACATGTCAACTCTGCGCTGACAAGAGGCTTGTAGGCGCACAAGCTCTGCAGCATGTTGTTCACTCTCCAGCAGTGTCTCAAGACCACGATCAACCTGGCCTTGATCGTCCTCATACTTGCCGCAAATTTTACCCCGAGCCGCTTCAACCCAGGAGTCGTTTTCAAGACAGTAAAGTTGGAAACCCCTCCAGGACTCATTGCGGTCATCCTCTTGTCCAGTAGCGGAGAGGTAAAACTCAACCTCAACCCCATCCGCATCTGCTGAAAGCGTGACAGGTCGAAGGAACCGCACATCCTTCAAGAGGTAACCCGCCAGGGCGTTCTTCTCTCTTTCAGCAGCTAGGCTCTTCAACCCCTCGACGGCCATCGCAATAGCCATAGCAGCCGGGAGGATGTTGACGCGAGCAATCACATGGTCCTCGAGCCAGGGATCCTCAGAGAGCCTAAGCCGGCGTCGCCATTTGGCCTGGCCTGGATTGAAGTCCGGGACTCGGAGACCAAGAAAGTCGTGCCGAGGGTTCTGGCGGAAGCGATGGCCTTTGCTGATTCGTGGTTCGCGCCAATAGGAGCGGGTGTGATTGAATGGGTATGATGGTAGGTTTATCAAGGGCCGGATGGAAGAGGGAATCTGGTTCAAAACTGAGATATCGACGTAGTGGCCGCGAGAGTGGAGATGACCTATCGCCGCGAGCAGGGTTTCGGTTGCACTTTCTTCTCGAATTAGTGCAGACGTATAGCCAGGGACTGGACCTCGACTGGACACAGACGCTAGGATGTCTTTGACAGGCCGTTGCAAAAGTGCGTGGGGCCCTATTTCAAGGACATCATCGAACTGGATTCTAGTCGTATCAAGTAGCGTGTTGTTATCTGCGATTTTAAGCAAAGCCGACTTTGCGAATGCTTCTGCAAATCGAACCGGCGACACCATGTTTTTTACCCAGTAGCCGGCTTGGCCAACCTGTGCTGGTGATACAATATCCCCAGTGACAGAAGAGATCATGTGAGCGGCGACTCGGCCGACACGTCCATCAAGCGTCCCTATAGCCATTCCATACTCTTCGGCAATGGCCTGCATATGCTTTGAATGATATGCCACAGTAACGGCGAGCCCACGAGCAAAGACGCTGTCGTTTTCGAGCAGACCTCTGAGGTACTCTATCTGCTTCTTATCTCCAGTAACAGTGATACTCCGAGGGCTGTTTATACATCCAACTGAGATATCGAGCTTTCCGAACCTATTACTGACGGCCTCAAAGTAAGGCGTGATTTCTGTCTCGGATATCCCAACAGCAAGCATGCCGCCTGGCTGGGAGTTGTCTCTAGCCAGTCGGGAAGCCAACCTGCCGCGATGATACGCCACGACGAGGGCGGACCGCCTATCCAGAGCACCGAGGGCGTATCTAATGGGTATCTTAGCTAGTTCTTTGCGCCATGGATTTGGAATAGGCTTACGCAGCTGCAATCTCGCCAGAGGAGTGGCCCACTGCCACCGTCGCCTGCACACCAGTACTCTCGAGGAGGTCAACCAAGCTCAGCTGCAGGGCAGTACACAGTGTCTGGCTAATTTCAGGTTCGTTCACTCGAGTATCCTCTGGTGCGCGGGAAAGCTCGTCTAATAACTGTCAGCGGGGACTTTGAGGTGGATAGAATTCCGGTCATACAGTGAAGATCCCATGTGCATCCCAACGACTTGAGTTCTTCTGCACAAGCAACTAAACTCCTAGAATAGCTCTCATAGGTTTCCAGCTCTCGCCCCATGGCATACCACTGTGCGCCCTGGCCTGTGAAGCACAGAGCTAACCTGGGTGCACTGATTGATCTCACCGGAGGCGAGAGTTTGAGGCCATCTTTCAAATGTTCTGGGGAGCGGCAGATCGCGAAGGAGCGCCAAAGGAGTGCGCTTCTTCTCTCGCTGAGGGTAAATGCCAACTGTGAGAGGTAATGGTGATTGTGAGGGTCGGAGGTACGAGCATGATGTTCGTTATATGCGGTCTCGAGTCGGGAAATGCCGTCTTCGTCTTGTGCGGAGAAGACAAGAAGTCTGGGACCGTCGTACCAGATTGATTTGCCGTTTGGGATTTCACCGTCGTGGGGGTGCAGATAATGCGCAGAATCATCCATAACAACGTGGGCGTTGGTCCCGCCAAACCCAAAGGAGCTGATTGAGAGTCTTCGCTGCCCGTCCGTCGGCCAGGGACACGATTCCCTAGGGAACTTTACGGAGATTCAATGTAAGTAGTAGCCCATAGTGAACTAATTCAGGTTACCTGACATACCTTGAGACTTCTTTGCCTCTCTTCTATCGTCTTGTTTAGTGTCTCCAGCCCCGCAATGCCGGGTATCGTCCCGCGCTCCAGCATCAAAATGCTCTTGATCATCCCCGCCACGCCACTGGCACCCTCAAGATGCCCGATGTTGGATTTGACTGTTCCCACATAGAGCGGATTCTCGGGCGATATGTGTTCGCCAAATGCATCTGCTATGGCAGCCGCCTCGATAGGGTCTATGACCAGGTCTGGCATCAGAACTTGTATAGTGAACTACCGGGTCTTATGCGACGTACCTCCGACAGCGGTCCCTGTTCCATGCGCCTCAACGTACTTCGTCAAACGCATATCAACTCCAGCCTTCCGGTATGTTTCCTTAATCAGTCTGCTTTGAGCCTCCGGGCTTGGCTGGACAATGCCCGGTGTCCGACCGTCCTGGTTTGTTCCCGTTGCGCGGATGATGGCCCGGATTGAATCCTTATCGCGGAGTGCGTCGTCGTATCGTTTCAGGATAACGGCGCCAAATCCCTCTCCTCTGCCGTATCCATTTGCCCTTTCGTCAAAGCTAAAGCATCGTCCGTCGGGGGAGAGGAAACCTTGGTTGTTGAGAAACGTTGCGGTGTCGGGACTTAAGAAGAGGTTCGCGCCCGCCATGATAGCCTGTTTCAGTATTTCCAATGGTCAGTAAAACGAAGCTCAGTGGGCCATTAGGTGAAGAAGAAATGTAGACAAACCGTATCTGAACTTCTTGTTCTCAGTCCTTGACAAGCAGCATGCAGCGCAACCAAGGTACTGGAACAGGCTGTATCCATATTCACCGACTCTCCGCGCAAATCATAGAACCAGCTGATGCGGTTGGCGAGCATGTTCGGTGAAAGAGAGCTAGCCGCATATCTGCCCGCAAACTGGGGGTCTTCTATGAAGAACCCTTTATAGTCCTCCGCGAAGGTCCCGGTGTGAACTGAAGTTTTTGTGCCAGCAATCGTGGATATCGGGATTCCAGCTATAATAAATGGCTTGGTTAGAGGCTCTGCCAAGATTGCAGGACGGGCAGGCATGAAGCAAGGTGGGCGACGGACCGTTCTCCAGAGCATGGTACGTGGTCTCCAGCAGAGTGCGTGCCTGAGGGTCTATTTCTGCTGCTTCAGCCGGACCAAGTGTAAAGAATGGGGCATCGAAAGCGCCAACATCTCCGTCTACAAAATGCGCGCCTTTGAGAGGAAACTGCAAGCTCAGCTCATTACATTCCCTGTTTCACCTCCCGAGAGGACGTACGCTATTCAGCCGCTCTTCATCCGCGTCGTAGACGCCATCGGAGTTCAAACGACTGGAGGGGAATGGCGACCACGCTGAACGCGCGGCGCAAAGGGCCTCCCAGAACGAATCCGCCGTGTCCAACCCCTGCGGAAACTTGAATGCCATCCCGACGACGGCGAGCGGAACTGCGTCGATATTGGGAACATTGCCATTGCTCGTTGGCAATGAAGTTCCATTCACTTGCGGAAACGGCGAGGCAGCAACATGATTTTTCAGATCGGACGACATTTTCAAAAAAGATAATTTGACTGCTCAACAGATATTTCCTGGCCGCCGGTCTAGACAAGGAGGTCGTTTATCAAGCTTCATTGACTTCAAAGCTCCTCATGGTGTACTCGGTATACGCGATTGAAAATAGATGTGCCACACGCAAGATTGCTGCAGCCTTGGAACAAAGTTCAGCCCCATCGGAGCTGACTACTTGATCTTGCTCGGGTGCTTGCCTGAGTCCAGAGTACCTGGATAGGTAGGTTCGTGTGGTGGGAGACGAATGCCGGTGGGTGCAGGGATCACACATCCTGGCGGTTCTGCGTGGCGCGTTGCTGGCCGGCAATGATCCTGCTGTTGGGTTGGCGACAGGTTTGGGGGCCTAAAATCTATATGAGATCATTGAGATGCAAGTTTAGCGCTCTGCTCTGTGATACGATGTCAGATGCATGATGATAAGGGGCAAGCGAGAAAGGACCTTGTCCTTGTCAGTACTCCGTAGGCGACGGGAGCGACGATCATGGCGTTGCGAGAGGAAAGGCAGCGACGTGACACGCCGGGCTCCACCCGCCCGCGTCCCTGCGTACGCTCCGTACTGATGCTGCGTATACTCCGTCATGCGACCCCGTCCACACTGCGTCTTTGCCTTGACAAGAGATTCCAAGAGACTGCCTCGCAGTTGTCTTTTCTGATTCAGACACATTCCAGGTTGATTTCCCTGGTAATGATTGGAGCAATTACTAGATGTATGTTAAAGTGTTCATATTTAGCTATCTTAAGGACATAGACTCTAGTCTCGATACTTACTCCTTAGTACTATGTTTCTTGAGCTTACTGAAGTATATAATGGCGCCTAGAATAACATGGTTACACTCTAGCCCAATTGGCAATTGCAATCCCAGCTTCCCAAGCATAGCCCGATCGATCAACTAGAGGCGATCCAAATCGGCTTAGAACAASCGSWTGWWCTAAGTTAGAACAACCGCATGAACTACTCAGTGAGTCAGGGATAGTCTGAAGGATTTCACCAAGGGCTTGGTCAAGCAATCCTTTGCCGTGTGGCGGACAAACGGAGATTAGAGCCCGAGCGGGCGCCGATTAGTACTCCGTATTGGAGGCCTTGCAGGAAAGGAAACCTTGAATGGAACTCGGAGTCTTCCTGATCCTTGGAGATCAATCGAAGCAACGCACGCGGATTGGAAGCGCCCAAGGCGTTGTGGGCGCTAAGAAATGGCGATGTGTGACCAGGCAAATGCATGTCAGCCTCCACCCCCGCCTTTGCAGCCCTAAGTGGCCTCCTCTCCGGTATTCGCCGATGGCTGTGTAACCCACCCCTTCGAATCGGCGCTTATAGTTGGTTTTAGCGGTGTATCCCTGGAGTCTGGCCTGATCGTCGGCGTTTTCGCTTCATTGGCCGGGGATGCATAGCATACGTAGGTAGGCTGGGCAACTGCAGTTGGCTAGGTGCTGAGATTACCTCGCTGGATTTCCGTCTGTGGCTTTGAGCGTAAGCCGGATATGCAGGGTTATCTGGTCCTTCATAGACAATTTCCATTGAATCCTAGGTGTCCTCGCCCAGTATCTGTCTGGGCCTTATTTTGTGCACGTTCAAACAACAGTAAAGCAAGGAACACGCTGGATTAGACAGCCTTGAGCTTGACCAAGATCCCCGGACTATCACGCCTCGGCGCCCCAACAATGAAATCATGAGAGTAGTTGATGTCCCTCTCCCTAACGACCTCACTAACATCAAACGTAAACTCCCTGAACACAGCAGCAAGAATAAGCACCAGCTCTGCCCGGGCAAGGTTAATACCCAGACACATGCGTGGACCACGGTTGAATGTCACTAAATACTTCTCCAATCTATTCTCGGGATCCTGGTTCTGGTCCAGCCACCGCTCAGGCCGGAACGTATACGGTTCGGGGAAGATATCCTCATTCTCGAGAATTAATGGGAGGGTAACTGAGATCTTGGTATTCGGTGGAAGAGTGTATCCGTGTATATTGAATGTTTTATCAGGGTATTGGCGCGTCATGCGGTGGATCACTGGAGCACAAAGCCGAAGACCTTCGTTTATGACAGCGGCCAGGTAGGGAAGCTGCTCGAGTGCTATCAAAGACGGTAGATTGTTAGGGTCTGGGATTGCGGATACGAGTTCGGCATGGAGACGCTGCCTGACAGACTCGTTGGCGGCGATGTGGTAGGCCGTGTTGCGAAGAACGGTTGCGCTGTAGTCTCTTTCAGTATTAGTTGTAAGGTTATGGAAAAGGCATGCTCACGTTGTTCCGGAGCCAGCAGTTACAAGCTGGAACGCCTCGTCTCGCACGCGGTCCCTTTCTAGTTCAAGTGGTGGGAGGTCACTTTCGAGCAGCTCGTGGAAGACGGTGCGGTGGTCTGCTTGCTCGTACGACTTGTCTTCGCCGAGTCTGATAGCTTCGACTTGGCGAGAGAGATCCTGCTCTGTCAGCTTTTGTAGAGAAGCTTACTGGCCAAACCTACACGACGAAAATCAAGAATATCCGCCATCGCAGGTGCCAGTATCTTATTCACGCGATCCTGGGCAAATTAATGAAAGTTATCAGGATCCCCAGGATTGAATTCTCACAGGCAGCGAGTACGTGAGCCGCATAAGCCATGGCATGTGGATATTCTACCTCAATTAGCAATCCCCGACAGTTATAAACTAAGTCAACTCACCAGTATGCTAACGGTCAGAAAACTGTCCACATCATCGAAGCACTTCCGGCCAAAGTCCGGCTTATGGATATAGAACGGTTCCCTCGCGAAACAGTAGTCGTTGATGATATCCAGCGTCACAGCCGAATACATGTACTTCATATTCAATGTTTGCCCCGTCTTGCTGGCCTCGCGAAGACGCCCGCGGAGGATATGGATCGGCCGTAGCATAACTGGCAGTAAATCAATCACAGACTTCTTAGAAAAGAACTGATTGACGGCGCTGCGACGGATACGGTGAAGCTCGTGAGACTGGGTTCCTATCGTCTGGTCTCGTTAGGTTCTGCCTAAGAAAAGATAATTGCAATATCCTCACAGCCGGGTACGGTCCAAAGACCTCGGCGTAGTTCTGCGGCTTCACATTGCGCCCGTTGGTTTGGTTATAGATCTCGTCGTAACACTGAGGGTCGTTGACATGGACTTGATCGGGATTGATGCGGATAATTGGACCTGGATTCGTCAATTGAAGGGCGCGAGTGATACATTTGGCAGGCGTACCATATCTCTCATGCAAAGACTTGAGCTGGTACCTGAAGTTGCCGCTGAGTACAAGGTCGTAGTACCACTCAAACAGGTACGTCACTCTGGCCAGAGGCGGGCCAGGAATGCGGGCAAGAGGATGGAAGCAAAGTCGATATACAACGAGCGATGTGATGTAGCCTATGCCCAGGGCCAGTGCATACGGAATGAATAGCATTTTGAACAGCAACCGCCGGACTGCCGGAGAGTTGCGTAACGGGCGTGATGACCTTCAAATCCCATCAGCTCTTGTTGGAGATGGAGTGTAAGCCCAACGGACTGTGTAACCTTCTCTCCTTGGCAACTGCAATCTGACCGGCTTCGGCTCCTAATGCTTTTTCTCCGAGACCGTGGGCCCCCTCGCTGTGGGCGGAATGGAGGGCGCTGAGTGGCGGGTGGTCGAGCTGAAGATTTCTTTTCTGTCTGGTGCTGCAGCAAGGGAGCACAAGGCGTGATAAGAAGCGGTCATGCCAACATGTGGCCGCGTGGCGATCAGAGCCTTGAATATAATGTGCCCTGCTTACCCGTTGCGCATGATGGAGTAGCAAATACTCGTTTCTTTGTTGAAGATGTCAACCACGGACTTGAATCACCTTGGCCACGCCACGGTTGTGGTGACAATTTTGTTTATCGTTCTGACTGGCTTGGCCGTTGGTTTACGCCTCTCAGCCAGAAGAGTTAATCGCGCCCCTTTGGGGTGGGATGACTGGTTCATCATACTGAGCACAGTGCTGTACTTTGGCTTCTGCGCGAATGGCCTCGTGAGTGTCTACACGTTTGGAGGCGGACAACAATACGCCGACCCGCAAGAAAGCCAGCGAAAATATGTCGCCTACATGAAGTCAACATACGCGGTGCCTCCTCTATATGCCATAACAGTCACTCCAATTAAGCTCTCGATGTGCTTTCTTTACCGTCGCATCTTCCCAGTGCACGTCTTCCGTCTGGCCATCTACACAATCATTGCTGTTTGCATGGCCTGGTTCGTCGCTGTGACTATCAGCTCTTTTCTGTATTGCATCCCCATCGAGTATTTCTGGGATAAGACGGTCGATGGACACTGCTTCAACTTTTCCGTGTACTTCCTTGTGGCCGAACTCCTGGATATGCTCATTGATGCTGCGATCATCGGATTGCCAATACCGACCGTGCTGCGGCTGCATATGAGTCTGCGGAAACGACTTGCGCTGGCGAGTATTTTCCTGCTCAGTACTTTGTATGTCACCGAGTCCAGATGGTTTTGTGTTATACTGACAAACATAGCATTTTGGTCGTCGGCACCATCCGAATCATCTATCTTTACAATCCCAGCGATGATATCCGTACGTAATTTGGCTCATTTTGAGAGGCTCATCTAACCCTCGCAGTTCCCCTTGCTCGAGCAGTCCTCTGGTCGACCATCAACCTCGGGGTGGCCATCATCTGCGCCTGCCTCCCGACATACCCACCCATACTCGTCAAGTTTGGCAGCGCATTTACTTCCCTGCGGAGTCGACTCACTTATGGGAGTAAGGGCTCTCGCAACTCGATTGAGGAGCAAACGGAGACAGCTGGAACAACGACTAGAAGTCTTTATGGAGGAAGGGAGAAGTACCGGGCGCACTTGAACAATTCCGCTAGTGATATCTATCCCTTAACGCAGATCACTGTCGGTAAGGGGGGGAGGGAAACAGCGGGCATCAGGGTTGACCGGGAGATTGATATGGATGTTGTAGAATGTTAGTATTAATGAGGTACCAAATCTTGTTGAGAATATTGTGGCAAGAGTCTCCTGTCTTTCCGTAAGTATAATCAGCGTAGTAGTTTGTCATCTGACAAGGGGCAGAGTTGAGGTTGTACAAACGGACTTAGCGTAAGCCGAGGGGCCGACACAAACAAAGAGCAACAAAAAGCAACACTTTCTTCAGTCCGATTTACAACCACGCGTCAGAATGGACTTTGAAAATATCAAGCATCTTCAGGCTGCGGCGCAGAGAATCCGCGAAGGCTATCTCAAAATCGTCCACAGTACCTCCATTTCAGATCTCCAGCTTCCTTCACTTCGAGATGACCCGGTCAGAGGCCAGCTCTGGGTTTCCAAGTTCACCACTCCGAAGCCGACTCAAGATACATCCCGAGAGCTGCTGCTCGAGCTCATCGACGAGCTGAACAAGAACAACGTACCCTACGACCGCGCAGATTCAGACTTCCTCAAGTTTGAATGGATTGGATACCGTCACGATGCGAAGAAAGACACCCCCGAGCCCGCCGAGCTGTCCGAGAGCGAGAAATTCCGGCGACTTGAGGGCGAGACCAGAAGTCCATTGACCATCCTCTACATCTACGGTGGCACGTTTGCTCTGAATACTCCATCCTGCTACCGCAGAACAACAAGCTTCCTCGCAAAAGCAACCGGGGCAAAGGTGTTAATGGTTCACCAGCGGCTCGCACCACAGAACCCCTTCCCAGCCGCCTTGCTTGATGTCTTCCAGGCCTACCTAACCCTCCTAGCACCTCCCCCTCACTCTCATCACGCTGCGATCTCACCATCGTCAATTGTCCTCGCGGGGGATAGTTCCGGCTCCTGTCTTGCGTTCGGCTTACTCCAGATACTCCTCCGTCTCAAACGCAAAGGAAAATCGATCAATTTCCACGGAACCACCATTCAACCTACTGTCCCCGCCGGAATAGCCGTCCTCAGCCCAATAACAGACCTCGCAACTTCATTCCCATCGTTCATATCGAACGCTAGAACGGACATCTTCCAACAACCTCACGAAATACTGCCGTACCTTCAACCAGGCTATCCTACCTGTCCGCAATGGCCGACAAAGCCTCCCCGCGCGAACCTCTATTGCGAACCAGGAATGCTAGCGCACCCCCTTGCCAGTCCGGCCGGGTCAGACGACTGGACCGGATGCTGCCCGATATGGATGGGGTCCGGTCAGGAGCAGAGTATCGACCCAGCATTGTTCATCGCGCAAGTAGCCCATGCACAAGGGGTTTCGGTGACAGTCCAAGAGTACGAGGGCATGCCGCATACGTTCTTCTTCACATTTCGTGATGCCCCACAGACAAAGATGGTTCTTTCTGAATGGGCGCTAGCTATCTTGCGCTTCTCTCAGGGAGTAAAGCCAGTTTCTAGTGTTTCCTTTATTCGTGCCAAAGGACTGGTTCCGGAACATCGGGCTGTGGAGAATCTGGTACCGCTTACTGTGCCCCAGGTTCAAGATATGATGTGGGTGAAGAGTCAGCGGCATAAGATTCCCGCTCACTTCCGGGAGGGCCGGTCGAACCTGTAATCCGATTGGCCTTTTACATATACATGGCGTGCCTTTTTTTGTGCTAAATGGGTGACCTATTGTTCCGATGTCATGACTATGCTACCTCGGATCACACAAATTATACAAACCAACATATGAGAAAGGCTCTATACCTCGCTAATTCTATCTAACTAACCGCCCCTCACCCGGTAGGTGTAAACTGACCAGGGGTCTTTCAAGGCAATCTAATTAATGAAGGCATACCCGGTTCAAACCTCGACGATAGGCCATCCTACTCCGTACCGTTCCTACGTACGCTTAGGCGTCAGCCTTGGGATACCACAAGGCCTCATCTCATTATTCATCATTGCATGAAATAGCAAACAATGAATAGACCACTTCTCCAATGAAATCCGGGAATTTTTGTCCGCGTTTACCGCTGACTTCTTTGTACTCGGAGCAAGGATCGGATGACTAGGATTTACACCATTAGCCCGGCAGCGGCCCCGGCTCACCCCTTCCGAAACCTTGGAGCCAGTTCTTCTTTTTGCGCCTTTCCCACGGCTGGACAGCACAGCTAGCCAACCAAGTCAAATCATTGCAGATCATCCAACGTGATCGTCCACCCACCATCGAAGCAAGGGGTGGGACGAAAAGCACTTATTGGCTGTGTTTGCTATCACTTGCAGGTCTGTGTAACCTCGCTCCCTCGAGGTCGCTACCCGACCCCCCGACATTCCGTGTCGCCATTCCACGCAAGGCGGTTCCCTTTGGCCTTGCCTCAGTCAAACTGGAGCCCGAGGATGACATGCTTAGCTGGCACTTCAAGATGCAGCCGCCAGGATCCGCGTTTGGTCTCAGGCTTCACTGCTTCAGCACTGCCCCTTCCCTTGGCCCGCATACTGTACTCCGGGCTGGAGTAAGCGCGGAACGCCCCAAAGCGTATGCAGTATTACGCCATCCTGGGCCATGTCGATCACTCCGAGGCTACAGGTCGTACTACCATACTATGCAAGGAGTCAGCAGCCATGGAGTTGAACAAGTTAACGGTTTCTGTTGCGCTTGATGGGACGAACCCAATATCGTATCGCCGAGGCTTGTGATATGCTTGGAGCTGGCTGCAACCGTACAGCATCCAAGGAGAAGAGTAATGAATATGCAGTGCCGGCCGCTGCAGGCTGCTCTGAAGCGTCACTTGAAGTTCAGCCGCACGGTGCCCCGACCACTAAAGAAACTTTTTTTCTATGCACCAATCTGGGCCTAACATCATTGCTGATTCAAAATTGGCAACATTGGGGCCGCTTCTCCTTCTACCCGGTAGTCCCGGATCGATATCGAGGAACCAAGGACTGAGCCTCGTGCACTGAATATCTACCTAGCGATGCGGTATCCCTGCTGGGGATCACCATCACACCATACAACCGCCGATCAAACGCTGACGGTGCCCGAGGGCTCAGGAGAGCCTGCGCAGATTTACTAGGGCCGCTACTTAGCTACTGCTTAGGGTGCGATGAGATGAGACTCCATACAAAAACACCCCAGGGGCCTTGTCTTTTGAACCAGATATTTGCATCCAGATAATACGGATACATGACCCGAAATCATGTCTTCCTTCGATGAAGCGTTCAAGAAGCATGAAACTGCAGGGGTCGAAGTCGAAGTCGAACAAGTCAGTACCAATGCCAGCATCAATACTGCAATCGACGAACCAAATGCCAGTCTTAAAGGATGGCGGCTGAGGCTTCTCACGCTTGGGTATGTCAGTCTTCTTATCTCCAACAAGCCTATTACGCCCTGGCTCACTTTTCACTGCAGACTCGCTTTGGCGGTCTTCCTCGCCTCGCTCGACTCCATAATCGTCAGTACCGCTCTGACGGCTATTGCGAAGGACCTGCAAAGTTGGGACAAGAGTAGCTGGGTAGTATCTAGCTATTTGACAACTTACTTCAGTAGGTTATTGTCGCCTGGTTGGGTACAGTCGTACTGACGGAGTAGGCTTTTTGGTTATCTGGGCCAAGGTCAGCGACTTGGTTGGACGGAAACTCATGCTCATCACGGCGCTTGTTCTCTTCCTTGCTTTTTCCGGTGGTTGCGGCGGGGCTCGAACAATGTTGCAACTGTAGGTCAAGCACTCGTTGGGAGGAAGGCCGACTGACTTTATGTAGGATCGTCTTGCGAGCACTTCAAGGCATCGGGGGTGCTGGTCTCTTCAGCTTGGTGCCAATCATTACCGCTGAAATGGTCCACCCAGATAAATATGCATCTTACAATGCTGTGATGGCTCTGTCAATTGCATTAAGCTTCTTACTGGGACCACTCATTGGAGGTGGCATTGTGGATCACACTACATGGCGATGGATCTTCTACATAAACCTCCCCGCTGGCGCCGTCAGCATCGTACTGGTATGGTTTTCCATGCCCGGTGCATTTCCAGATATATCACACCCAACTTCACTGTGGAGCGTTTCGAAGAATATGAATCTACGCGGGAGGGTGGATTATCTCGGGTTCAGTCTTCTGCTCGCCGCCTCTCTGTTCCTGATTGTAGCTATTGAGGAGGCGGCGATCCTGTACACGTGGGATAATGCTGTCGTGATCACCCTGCTTGCCCTGGCGTTACCCGTTTTCTGTGCCTTTCTTTGCTGGGTCTGGTTCCTAGACCGCAGTGACTCCACCAGAGAACCTGTCTTCCCCTGGAGATTCGCCAAGAATAGGGTCTTAATGGGGTTGTGCTTGTGAGTTTCCAAACCAAGAGCGACCGACTGAACAAGCCCTGACTGTCAATAGGATATGTCTCCTCTCCGGAGTTCCACTGACAACGCTCGTCCTTGATCTCCCCGGCCGTTTCCAAATCCTCAACAACACCTCTGCATTAGATTCTGGAATCCGAATCTTGCCGCTCACGCTGACGATCGCAGTATCCTCGGCGTTAGCAGGTGGGGTAACAGCCCGGGGTCGCGTGCCTCCTATATTCGTGTTTTCAATTTCGGCCGTGCTCCAAACGGTGGGCCTAGGACTGCTCTATTCTGTCCCCGCAGACAGACCTCTCGAGGCGAAGATATACGGGTATCAGACACTCATTGGAACAGGAGTGGGTATGTGTCTGGCCACGGCGATCTTGACCGTGCCATCACTAGTTGAGGGAAAGGACTTGTGTACGTTTTCCTATCATCCCCAAAACCAAAGGAGCCCCCTAATAACGACCCAACAGCCGCAGCCATAGGCAGTGTAACGCAGATCCGAGTCCTCGGCGGTGCCGTCGGAGTGAGCGTCGCAACGAATCTTCTGAACAATAGCGTTCAGGACCACCTCCTAGGCCAAGTCGCTCCCGAAGTGTTGCGCGACATCATGAAAAACGTCTCCTCCATCGCGGCACTCCCGCAGTCCACCCAGTTGCTTATCACAGAGGCGTTTGCAGACGGGTACGAGCGCCAACTACTGCTGGTCTTGGGATTCTGTGCTGCGGAGGTTCTGGCATTGGGGCTAATGTGGGAGAGGCCGATGAGGAGGTTAGTTTAGGTCGATTGGTACTTGACCTGAGGATGGGAGAGCTACGCGGTGTATTATACGGCCATGTTTCTGTTGTTTCAAATTGAAGATCTGCTACTGTGCAAAGACTCTCATGTTTCCTTGATCAGGATCAATTCGCTGCATATGCACCGGCTCTACTCGCAACGCGCTGCAATGTGAATGGCCGTCAGAGCAGAACCAATCTCCTGCTGGCCGTCACCGTCTTGAGTCCTCCGAGCTGTTACGCATACTATTACGACCGCCTCTAGTGATGCTTACACCCCTTCAGTCCCCCAGCACTAGTACCTTATCCGATATTTTGCTACGACCATCTTGCCCTGCTTAGTTCGCCAGAGCTCCCTGGACCGGACGCACATTCTGCGTCTGGCCCTGAGATTCTCTCATTATTCGCTGCTATGGTATCCGCTTGAGTCCGCAGAGTGACATGAAACTGTTCAGAAACAACGCCTCTGAGTTCAACGCAAAGTCTTCATAAGAAGACTTACGCCATTGGATAAACTAGAGGCAAAGGAATTTATTAATAGACGTGGACCTTAATTAAGTAGCCGTGTGAAACCATGGCTTTATGGACAAAGCCAGACAGAGCCTCTTCCTTTGTCTTACGGAGTCTTTGTCTCTATCCCGAGGTCCAACATACACGTACCGTATCCTGGCTAGCCGCATTATAACTTCACAACATCACTTCAAATATATCAAATAAATTCACTTTCACTCTCCCTTCGTTTGCCGTCAACTATCACATACACTACCCTTTTCCTGCATGCTATCCACCCAAAGAGACCATGGCCGCCAACGCCCCCTTCCCAGCACCGCACTACCCCAGAGAACGCCCACAGCGCCGCACGCCCGGGCGCGAAATGAAAGTCCTCTGCCTCGGGCTGCCACAAACAGGAACACTGAGTGAGTCGTGCCCATCCTTCCCACAGACCCATACCTAACAGATGCATCTGAATGTCTAGCCCTCTACAGAGCCCTCAACACGCTCGGCTACAACACCTACCACCTCACCGAAGCCTGCCTGGACTACCAGAACGACGCGCTCGTCCTCTGGAACACCGCCCTCCGCGCAAAGTACTATATCCCCGAGCTGAGGAGCTTCGAGGGCGCTGATTTCGAGAGGATGCTGTGGCGGTATGATGTGCGTTCCATTCCATTCCATACCCTCCTACCAAAATATACCCTGTATAACACGAGAGAAGAAGGAATGCTAATGAGGACGCTTTTTTCCAGGCCGTAATCGACATGCCCGCGAGCCTGTTCATCCATGAGCTAATGGACGCATACCCGGACGCGCAGATTATATTGAACACGGCCAAGGACGCCGATAGCTGGGTTATGTCGATGGAGAATAGCTACTATAAGATAATTAAGATGAAGAGGTTGTGGCTGCTTGCGTTTGTTGATACGGTGCGTCTCCCCTTTGCTCTCTACTTGAAATGAAGAAAAGATGCTAATGACGAGTCCAGATCTACCTCCGCCCCTTCCGCCGCCTCCTCCGCTCAACGCTGAACCTGTACACGCAAGGCAAGCGGACCCGGAACAAGAACCATCTCCCTGCGTATTACAAGGCCCATAATGCGCACGTTCGGGGTGCAGCGCAGCTCCGGGGCCGGAAGGTGCTCGAGTACAACATCAAGCAGGGGTGGAAGCCGCTGTGCGAGTTCTTGAACCGCGAGATACCGAAGGAGGATTTCCCGGTTAGTGCGGAGGAGGACTTTATTGTGGGGTATCAGTATATTGTGGTGTGGTGGCGGGTTTGGGAGGTGTTTTGGCGGGCGGCGATTGTTTGGGCGGTTTGGAGGGTTCTGGAGGGCGTGGCTTCGATTTATTGGGGGTTGCCGGAGACGCAGTATGGGATGGAGTATTTGGATTGAGAGGTTAAGGGGGGGTTCGGTGGGTGTCATTATAGAGATAGGTCCTGAGGATATGTATAATAGATAGATTCTGGCGTTCTAATAATGTCCAAGGAAATTGAGACTGGAGATTATAACAAGAACCCGGACGCAATACGGTACTTCCATTTCCACCGCCAATGTTCATCTTCAAGAGTATTGTGCCATGCTGCATCTGGCCAGGACCAAGTGATAAACCAAAATCCTCAACCTCCCCAATCTAAAAGGCTAACCTGGAATGTAGACCACGGTATTCAGCAGCAACGGCGCCTAGCGGCCGGCGTTCCGCTTACACCCTGAATACATCGATAAACTCTCCATCGAACCTTGCATTAGCATTGCCGGTTAGCAGCGCCAAAAAACATATCATAGCACAAGAAAGGTGTTGATTGGGCACTACCATACCTGGCGCCGTTCATGTGCTTCTTCACCCCGGGTAGAGGTGAGTATAGTATTTCTCGGCGTACGTCGAGCTCGGGAAGCGGAGTCGTTGTGGCAGAGGTAAAGATTGGCTATTGAGGCCGGAGCAGTATGATTACGCGGACTTTGCTCGGTGGACTATGATATTGATCAGGTACGGATTAGTCGGGTTTCTCTGATCAGCGTTCCAAAGGAGTTGGGGCGAACGTACTATGTGTATTCCACTGGAATTTCCGTAACCGCAGCACCCAACCCTTATTGTAGAGATGTCTGTGTATCAGATAATCCCCTGCCTGATGTCAGAAGATCATAGTACAAACCAAAAGTCCAAGCAGGCCTGGATGGAGGCATTGTACGGAAACGGTTGATTCACCTGACTATGATATCGGCTGCATCTGTCATCTCGCTCGGAGGGGGATCCCGGGGCTCGGGGCCTGTTGGTGGAGGAAGGCCTCAGACCATCTATCATTCTAAGGGTTTAGTTTACTGACCTCTAGGTCAGGTAGGCGGCAGCTGATATACCCCAGACACCCTAAGCGAGAGCCCGCAGTGCATAATGTCTACCGATCCAGCGGGTAAATCATGCATCCATATTCAAGCCTCAAGCATCCTGGCTCAATATGCGCCAAAGTACTCCATGCATCCGAAGTTCCATTGTCGGTAAAACACACTTATCAGAAGAACATCTTACCAAACAAATAAAAGCTCTCATCAAGTCAAATTGGTCTAATAGCTTGAAATACCCAAAACCCCCCAAATTCCCAGTACGCCCTCTCAAACCTCTCCGGGTGCCCTCTTACAAGGTCCACACATTTCCCTGGACAATCCCACTGCCCCGAGTAGACATTCGGACTCCCACCCCACTGTCCGCACAGATCAATATTCGCAATGATACTCTGGTTCCTGAAATGAGACGTGATGTCGCAGCTCGTGTTTGGGAAGTCCGCGAGCGCGGTGCCCCATGATGAGGGGTCGGGTTTAGCTATCGGCGCGCTGCTGTTGCTGCTGCTATTGTTTGTCAGGCGAAGGTCAGACGGGATGGAGTGCCGCGGGAAGAACCAGGCTCTTATGCCCTCGGGGCGGAGCTCAAGGGCGTAGACCTGCTCAGTCATTATTAACATCTCTCAACCCGAAGGTCACGAGGAAACATACACCACCCCCATCCCTATTCATCTCCTCGCCATACGTCGCGCTCGCCCCCTGGACACCACAACCCGCATTCGCATTCGTGCTATTATCGCAGGTCGTATACGTCGTGCTCCCGAGCTGCTTGCGGCGCACATCCATCTGACATTTCGAGGTCGTGTGCAGCGTCACTGCGTTGCCGTCGGTGCCATTGTTCGTCACTTCGAGCACGTCGATCTCGCCGTTATCCGGCCAGTTGTAGGCGTCTGTTAGCCAGAGGGCTGGCCATGTCCCGCACCCGTAGGGGGTGTGGATGATGTCGAAGATGAACAGGCCGTCGTCGTACGCCTTCTTGGACTCGATGCGCACGGACTTGCGGCCGTGCGTGGCGTTCTTGGTTGTTGTGTCGACCTTCAGTACCGCTGAGGTGGGGGTTGCGTAGGTGAGATTCAGCGACTGCGCTGTGCTTTTGTTGACGTATCTATGCGTCCCTTAGTGCTATTTTTACAAATGCGGATGGGAGACGCACTTGACAAACCCCTCCGTCGGATCTTCATCATCGAAATAATCGAACTGCTCGAAGAAGTTTACTCCGGAATACGTGTCCACCAGCCGATAGTTCAGCGGCGAGTACTCCGGATATCGGCTGGCCTTGGAGCCCTCCACGGCGCCGACGATCACGCCAATTATGGCGGCGACGCAGGCGATGGCGGCGATGAGTTTTGTGCGTAATGACCACCTCCGCGGGTTGTACCATGTCTGTTTTGCTTGAGTCTCGGACGCTTGTTTGTCTATGGTCAATGGGTGCGTAATGCGGCAATCTTCTGGGTCGGCCTTGGGGATGTGCGTTGTGTCGGCCATTGTGGGCTGGACTGGGAAGGACGTAAGTCCGGAGTGGAGTGGGGTGGATGGAGCAACGGTCGGATGATATGATTACTGCAATGTTTGAGTCCATAAAGCCGAGCGACGTTGTTTAGACGGAAGTAAGGGATGGAGCAGTGATGTTGTCATCGGAATGGGGAAGTAGATCCCGTCCCAATCGGGAAGTCAGGCAGTGAGGCATCAACTGACCACGAAACAATGGGTCGAGGCAGTTAAGCTTTGCAATATCTCCGATGGAGGTAGTTGATGTGTAGATATGGAGGAAAAGAACTGCGAACCAGCATTGTTGTGCGCGGGAGTCGAACACGGCGGAGACTTGTCTGCAATCTAGAATGTACAATTCTTGAAACAGAGCATCTATATACTAGACGCAGAATTGAAAGCTCTCGCCTGGAGGTAGTATCCGGCTTCAAACTTTAGGGTTAATGTCGTACCGTACGGAGATCACCGGAGACTTGACCACAATCGTCCAACACCCACGGTTCCGGCAGCAACTGGTGCCAATATATAGCTCCCACAAACCGTCAATTCCTGCTTTAATCCGCCGAAGAGTCCTTTGCTCGTCAACTAGAGACCGGCGAGATGGGTATCGACAGTGTGCGTATCAAGACCTGGCACGGCCTACCGCGAGATGCACTCCATGAGAAACGGCAAGATGAGCCGTGGGACAATCCGTTCCCCTCTCCACCTTCACCTCACACCTCGCTTTTGTCCTCGGCTTGTCGGATCACGAACGGTTGCACCAAAGGGCGATGGGACCGGCCCCTAATCATGACCTGTGCCTTGAAATGCAGATTCTCAAGAAGTTGTGGTATTTGGCTGGATGGTGAGGAAGCATGCAACCATGATGCGTACTGGTATTGCGGTGCTGGCAGGAATACACTACCATTGATCACGCTCAAGGCGTCTCTCGAACCTAAGGCATCTGACCTGATGGAGCATTTAATAGAGAATGCGCGAAGAGTAGTGAGCGTGATCAATCCGAATGTGTCGAGGGAGATGAGACGGCATGTGTTGGATGTGGAGGCCCAGGCTCGACATTATAATCTCGACGGGAAGGCAACGAGAAAGCACGACGTTTACGCCAAGTACAGAGGCTGGTACTTTTATGAAGAGAATGTGACGCCGGATGAGATCGTCGGACATTGGAAGTGGGATGACTTGGCCAAGAACGAATGCTGGTATGAGGACGTGATCATGCCTGCATTCAAGAAGCACGACGAGGAGTATCGAGCCAGAATCCGCGGACAGACCGAGGCTCGCAAAGCGAATGAGGGGCGTACTTTGCTTGAACGACGCAGGTGGAGTATGTTCCTTGTTCATGAGCTTGATTGATCAACAGTGCTAACATGTCATGTAACCAGGGACCAAGACGGCCACAGATGAGGTAGCCATGAAGCCAGCTTCCGAGAGGCAAGCTAAGAAGGAGAAGCGGGCATCCAAGCAGCAGAAACAATCATCCGAGAATCAAGCAGCCGACAAGCAAGAGACTGCGTCCGAGAGTGACGAAGACGCCGTGGCGGTCGAGAAGGAAGCGGCACTGACAGAGTATAAGAAGGCACGGCCAACCTTCTGTGCAGCAGTGGGCAAGGTCCTGAGAAGCATTGGAGGTATTTTCATTTGGAAGAAGGACTCGACGACTGAGCCCATCATGGTGGGAGAGATGGAGAAGACGGGGTAGCGAGGACGGTGGTTGTGTATCCAAATTGACATCAGAGAAGATGGGCATCTCAAAAGCTGGAGGGGGATGTGTTGACGTTGTCTTTGTTAGTCCGCAATCTCATATTCTTGAAAACATGGGAGTAAGGTAGAAACAGTAGCAGCCTGCAGTCTTACCTCCGCCTGTGCCGCCAAACCGGTCAACCGCCAGCCAACCCACCTCGTCAACACCACACCACAGCCACCCCGGCGCTGGAACTATTGGCAACCAACACTCCCTTTGACTAGAGCAAAAGGCGCCTTACCTTGTCCTTATCATTCTCTCACTTTCTGGCAATCTGCGCCACAAGGCTGGGGGATTCATGGTGTAGTCAACCTCTCTATTTCTGTCAGCTCATCTCGCGATGTGTTAGTATCCGTCAAAGATTACTACTTCTCTCACTTTGTACGCCTATTGTCTTCATTTGTGAAAACATCTTACCTCTCCCTTGCAAGATGGTCGGCAAGGCAAATAATGACCAGAAAATCTGCCACGAGTTCGCGAAGCGTGGCAGATGTCGCTACAACCCCTGCCGATTCGCCCACGTTCGCCCAAAGGAGAATGAATCCCCTCGTTCGACGGAGAAAAGAAGTCAGAAGAAAAATAAACGCCACGATGTCAGCGCACTCGCTCTCTGGAAGCGACAGGTCGAGACCCAGCAACACGGACGGCCCTCAGGCTCGGTGTTCACTGAGGCCCGGCTACTGATCGGAATCGACGAAGGCAGTCTCCAGGAGGTCATCCAGTGCCTGGCCAAAGAGCGTGGGCTCAAGAAAATTCAGGATCTCATTCAGCGTGATTTTACTTCTCTTCTCACATCTGCCAAACGCGATCTGTTTGCCGATCAGATGCTCCCGTTTATTGAGACCATAACCCATCCGGACGTTCTCGGTTCTCTGGTGATGGAACAAGCGGTGGGCACCATATACAACACTGTCTATGGAATTGCTGGTCGCCGCGCGGAGCCCTTACTAGGGTATCTGGCGGATGTCGTCCGGCTGGAAATTGAGACGGAGGGCAAATCGGCCATCGCCTATCTGGAGCAGTCTCTGCTGCTTTTTTGGAAGGTCGTTGAGCTGAACTCAACGGCCTTCATCCAAGAATCTCTCAAGCCGATTGCCCAGCGATTCGCAGACCTTTTTCTCACGCTCCATGCCTTGGTTGGTACAGACTCTCTTCATCAGTCGCGCGATTACCTTGATAAATTGCAACACCGGCTTGCCATCGGACTCTCGTTACCAATTATAGAGAAATCTATCAAGCAACAGGTCATTCCGGCCGTGGCGTTTGTGACAAAGCAAGATCTCCCTGGCGGCCGCCACGACAACGATCACACAGACATCTGCAATATCAGTATTATGCCGACATTCCGTGAGATCTTGTCGCCGCGCTCCGAATATCTTCCTGTGAAGGACCCGCGCCAATGGCATGTCAATGGCCTGGCTGGGCTTTTGGATAGGAACTTCAGGCTCTTGAGAGAAGACACCATCGGCCAGCTCAGAGATGCAATACATGCCGAGCTCCATACAGCCGAGCAGAAGAAGAGCCGTGGTCCTAAGAACCAAACCAGGACTTACGTGTACAGAGGGGTCACCGTGCGAGGAGTGGACTTTCATCGATTTGGCGGACTGCAATTTCTCGTGCATTTTGCTCAACCGCCAAATATTCGTGGATCGGTGAAGAAGAAACTAGAGGAATGGTGGCAGCTGTCGAAACGATTACAGCCGGATGCGCTCGTTTGTCTACTTGATCCCCAGGGAACTGCGGTGTTTTGCACTGTATCGTCACCGGATCGCCCCAAGCAAACGTCTGATCATTCTGACGAAAAGCGAAAAATGCTGGCTGGTTCTCTTTCAGATCATCCGGACATGGCCTCCATTCTTCTGCAGTTGGTTGAGCCCAGCGAGAGCAGCTGGCAGTACATCCTCGACCGTCACGCATCGCAGGGCGATCAGTCCTTGATTTCCCTGGTGGAATTTCCCGGAATTCTCCTGCCGTCGTTCCAGCCAACTTTGCTTGCTCTCCAGAGAATGAAAAAGGCATCTGACGTCCCGATGTCCGAGTTCCTCGCTCCGAGTGACCAAGATTCGCTGTCCATCTTAGCTGATGTTCCGCCGCCTGTTTATGCCGCCTCTCAAGCCTTCAGCTTCGACTTGAAGTGCCTCATGGATGATGAATCGAGTCTGGCAGTGCAGCCCTCTCAGCCCGTTGACCTAGAAAGACTTCAAAAGCATTCCACACTTGATGATGCCCAGGCTTCGGCGCTGGTCCGCACCCTCCAACGCAAAATCGGACTGATCCAAGGCCCGCCGGGCACTGGAAAGAGTTACACCGGAGTTGCTATGATCAAGGTCCTTCTGGCCAACAAAGATAAAGTCAAACAGGGTCTCGGCCCAATCATATGCGTGTGCTATACAAATCACGCTCTTGACCAGCTTTTGGAAGACGTGTTGGAAAACGAGATTACCACGCAGATCATTCGAATTGGCTCACAATCGAAGTCAGATCGCCTGAAACCGTTGAACCTTCGGACTGTGGTTCGTAATGTTGAAAAAACGCGCTTCGAAAGAACAGAACAGTGGCAATTGCACGAGACGCTAGACGAGCATGAAGCTACTTTTCATAAACTCAGACTCAACTCAACCGGCTCGGACCAAAGCCTAAAATACTACCTCGAGCGTTCTCAATCCTTGCATTATGCTCAGCTGTTCGGCAAGGACGAGGATGGCTTCCAGAGGCAGACAAGAGGAAAGCCTCTGCAAATCATCCAGTCGTGGCTCAAAGTTGGCGTCCGAAGCAAAGGGCGGCCACGCTCTGTGGAGGTCCTCGCAGGGGTTCATGTAGATATGATGACGGCTGCGGAACGCAGAAAGATCTATGCATACTGGCTGAGTGAGCACCGAAAGAACTCCTTTGAGCAGGCCCAGGCGGTTTTCTCCACCCATCTGGAGACCAAGGCATCCTGGGACAGGGTACGAGACGAGATGGATCTGCGCTGCCTCAAGACGGCTGATGTGATCGGTGTGACGACTACTGGGCTAGCGCGTAACCTTGAGATGCTTCGTCGATTGCCTTCAAAGGTCCTTCTGTGTGAAGAAGCTGGTGAGGTGTTAGAGGCACACATGCTCACTTCGCTCCTGCCGTCCCTTGAACAGGTGATACTAATTGGCGATCATCAACAGCTCCGACCTCAGATTCAGAACTACGACCTTTCGCGCGAGAGCAAGGGTGGCAGTCTATATTCACTAGACCGATCGCTATTTGAACGTTTGGTAGAGCCCGATGACGGAGTTGGCGTTCAAATTCCTTTCTGCACCCTGGAGACGCAGCGACGAATGCATCCATCAATATCGCAGCTTATCCGCGACACATTGTATCCCCGCCTACAGGATGCCCCATCCGTATCTATGTACCCAGAGGTGGTAGGAATGCGGAAGAGACTTTTCTGGCTTGATCACCGAGTGCCAGAGGGCAATGCTTCCGGTAATGAAGCCATGGCGACGTCCCACTGGAACGATCACGAGATACAGCTTACAGTTGCTTTGGTGAACCATCTTCTCCGCCAGGGCGTATACCAGAGCGGCGATATTGCTGTTTTGACCCCTTATCTTGGTCAGCTTCATCGAATGCGGCGCAAGCTGAGCGAGTCTTTCACAATCACCGTTGGAGAAAGGGATCAGGAGGACCTAGCCAACGCTGGGTTCGCTGAAGATGAGGCGCACTATCAGCAGCCAAATATTTCCAGATCAACACTCCTTCATGCCTTAAGAGTTGCGACCATTGACAACTTTCAGGGCGAGGAGGCCAGGGTAGTCGTCATCTCAGTAGTGAGAAGTAACAATCAGAATCGTTGCGGCTTCCTCCGTACGCCAAACCGGATTAACGTGCTGCTCTCCCGTGCCAAACATGGCATGTACCTCATCGGAAATTCGGCCACTTCCAGAGGAGTTGATATGTGGGGCAGGGTGCTCGACATGCTGGAGAAGGGAGGAAATATCGGCGAAGGTCTGGAGCTGACGTGCCCTCGACATCCGGAAACTCCTATCTTGGTATCAGAGCCAGAGCACTTTGTTCAACACTCGCCTGAGGGGGGTTGCAGTCTTCAGTGCGGCAAGAGGCTCCAGTGTGGCCATCCTTGCAAGCAGAAATGTCATTCGCAGATCCTCCACGCCGCTGTTTACTGTCCTGACCAGTGTCAACGTCCCCAAAAAGGCTGCACACATCCTTGTCCGAAGCCATGTGGAGACCCTTGTCCCAAGAGGTGTACCGTTGCTGTTTTCGATGCCAAACGCGTTCTCTCGTGTGGGCATTTGATGGAGAGCCTTCCTTGTTGGCAAGCACAAGACTTGAGCCTCGTCAAATGCCCAACATTAGTCGACCGGGAAATACCGCACTGCGGTCATCGAACAAGAGTGGCTTGCCACATTGACATCAACAGCGTGGCGTATGGATGCACCCACCAGTGTCAAACTGTGTTGCCGTGTGGACACAGTTGTAAGCGAGAATGCGTGTTTTGTACGAAGCGCACCGCTGAAGGTCCTGAGGTCGACCATGGGATCTGTACACAAAAGTGTGGACGCCTTTATTCAACGTGCGCGCATGCGTGCAATGCAAAATGCCACGGAGATACCCCTTGTCCGCCATGCTCCTCGCCTTGCGACGTGCAGTGTGCCCATTCGAGATGTCCTGAAAGGTGCTCTGAGCCATGTGCTCCATGCGCCATGTCTGAGTGCCTGTCTTCATGTCCGCATAGCTCATGCTCGATGCCATGCGCCGCGCCCTGCGACCACATTCCGTGCTCTCTACGCTGTGAGAAAATGCTATCATGTGGCCACCAGTGCCCGTCAGTATGTGGTGAAATCTGCCCCGTCAGCGCATTCTGCCAAATTTGCGGCTCGGACGATGTCAAAGAGACGACGGTGGACTTTATAATGGGGGAGCAATATCACGAGGTGGATTTGACAGAAAACCCTTGCATATTCCCACAATGCGGGCACTTTTTGACCATCGAGAGCATGGATGCTCAAATGGACCTCAAGAGACATTATACCATGAACGAAAAGGACAGACCCGTCGCAATTTCATCTTCTTCAATGCCGTTTTCGATTGACGATATCCGAACATGTGCCATCTGTCGAGGCTCACTGCGCAGCGTGTCCCGTTACGGAAGACTCGTGAGACGCGCGCTGCTAGACGAGGCAACGAAGAAATTCATCCTGTATGTGAACCAACAATACGTACCAATGGCCCAAGAGCTGCCGAAATGCATATCACAGCTGCAGAATCTTGAAATCGGAGCAAGAACGAAGGAAACCGCAAGAGCAGTATTCCTAAGCGACGTCAATATTGGAATCTATGGTCCTGCCGATCGTCAAGTGCGGTTGATGAGCCGTCGTATCGCAAAGTACGACAAAGAACGGTGGAGAGAACTTTTGGGTCTCCGGGAAAGAATAAGCAAGTACAAGATCAGGGTGCAGGTTCAAGAACAGCCCTTTAACCGAGTCAGGGACATGGTCGAAGCAGCACGTCGACGCAAAAAGGCCCCTGGTCTGTTCGACTTTGATGAGAATGTGCTTCAGACGAAAGGGTATCTTCAAGCCACGTCTCTCCTGCTCCGCCTAGACACCGCTCTGCTTGCAGACTTTCTCTCCCTTCGCAAGCAACTTCGACCTAACACGAGCCAAAGCGAACTATGCGTCAACTTGGAGGAAAATAGAAAAGAAAGCAAACGCCTCATTGAAGATGCAGCGAGTTCTCGCCGATTCCTCCACCAGGCAGAGGGGAACATGTTTCTCGCACAGTTCTGCGCCCTGGAGCGCCAGAACGTGTCAGAGCCGAGCCAAGCTGAAGCTCTGCTGCGAGAGGGCACTGCCGCAATTGAGGAAGCAGAGCAACTCTGTGAGTTCCACCCTTCACAGACTCGAGGTCTCTCCGAGGAGATCGAGGGAACCAAGAAGATGCTTCGCGGCTCTGAATTCTATACTCCGGTGACAAACGAGGAGCGCATGGCGGTGCTGGCTGCTATGGCAAAGGAGTTTCGGGGAACGGGACATTGGTACTACTGCGAGAATGGACATCCATTTACGATCGGAGAGTGTGGTGGTGCGATGCAGCTGTCTCGGTGCCCGGAGTGCGGTGCAACTGTGGGTGGTCAGTCTCATGAGACGGCGGCTGGAGTGACTCACGCCCATGACCTTGAAAATGCGCTGGAGCATATGCATCTGTAGATTAGACTGAAACTGGAGAAGTGGATGAAGCTTTTGTGAGGATACATAGATGAGAAAGCTGTGCGAATGATGACCGAAGGACGCTGGGGTTTGGCGAATCTTGTCTAATGAGGCAAATGCGGCCTAGATTTGGTCGGGGTCCATTTGTTCTGATCTAGAATTAGATGCGAGTGTTTCATAATACGAGTCCTTCTGCATCTCGGCTATGATTCCATTAGTCGACGCCGGGGCATGGCGGTGCTTAATGACTTCGAGATCGTGGCCATAGGCTTAGGTACCTTGCAAGCCCGTCGAGAGTAGCTGAGCCACCAAGTTGGGGGCCATGGCGAGGCTGAAACAATCAACACTCATATTGGGAACTTCAAACGCCACGTCTGGCGTCCCATTTGCGATGTCTCTACTTGCTTTTATCCAGAATGGCGCACGAGTGTGGCTACAGTTGCTTGTCCTGCCACTGTCGAAGTTGATCCGGATATCACTGGCATTGGGGTACCCAGGTTCCAGCCTCTGCTTCTTCGCGACCCTTCTAAGCGCTTTCCCAGGTGGTATATCGCGACGGCAGGCATTGCGATTGCTCTCATCACTGCCAACTACTTCCTCGTCTACGACCCGGCATTGGATCCATTCCGTGATGGAAATGGTGTCAGCCCTTCGCGAGCCCTCTCGTTTCGTCCCAACCCCGTCGATCTGCTGATTCTGCGACGCACGAGAAGAGGCCCTTCGTTGGTCAGCTTCTTCGTCGGCTTGTTCAGCCTGCTAAAGACCATGAATTGGCTATCCCCGGATACCACATTTCAACGCTTTTTTGAGGGCAGCAGCGGGGGCAACAACTGGAGCTTCGGACAGATAATACCCATCATCCTGCTGGGCGTTCCGCTCGTCAATGTACTCGAGTCTCTCTACCCAGGTGGGCTGGTGTCCTGTGTACCTACATATTCGACACTGACAGTCTACCATAGAGAATGGAAAGTCTCCACCAAATGTCTCTTTTTCTTCAATGAGTCTCCCCGTGGCAGTTTCAACACCAAGCGCCCTTATCCCAGGTCCTTCCAGCAATCATCCTGACCAGGAATACGACAACGCCTCAAGTGCTCTGGGCGCGGGAACAGCAAACATTCTCATCTGCGAGTTTGCACTGTGTGAATTCGCCCTCTACTTGGCATTCTTTTCGTCGATAGTCACGGCCGCAGCCGCTCTTGGTGGGGGTTTAGTTATGCCACTCCTTGGGCTCTGGACCATCATCATGGTGTCCTTCCCAGCTGAGTACCTGCTCGCCACAAAGGGCGCAAAGTGGGGATTTGGTGTTGACTCACTGCAGACAATAAATGTGGTCTCGTGTACAGGGCTTGTTGCAGTGCTTATGTGGCAGCTAATCTTGCTTTCTCCGATGTATAGTGCATGAAAATCCAGACTTCCGAGACTATACAGGGAGTTTATTGGCCCACGGTCAATTAGACAAGTGTATATCATGGATGCTCTAGAGCCTGGCCTGGAGTGTGTGTAGCAGCGAGCCGAGTCGCCGGGGCCGAGGCAGGGAGTGCGGGGTGCGGGGATCTTGAGGTATAGGAATGCCTACATTTACAACACTCCTCCTACCAAATCAAGATAATCTTATGCCAGCAAGAACAGAATGAACTTCGACTACCCCCCAGAGCTAACTGCCCATCTCTCAACCCTCGACACCTTCATCAAATCCACAATCCTCCCCCTCCAGCACGCCGCCAACAACAACCGCTTCTTCGACCACCGCCGCGAACATGCCCGCACAAACTGGGAAGCAGGCGGCCTGCCACGCAAAGAATGGGAGGACCTCCTAAGTACGCCCGTCACCTCTACTATCCATACACCCCTAACCCAGAGGTAGATCATGCCCGCCTCCTCGCCGACACGGCAGGCCACTACCGCTTCGCCCTCCCAAAAAGCTACGGCGGCACCTCCCACCCTTACACAAACCTCTATATGTCCGCCATCCGCCTCCATCTCGCCTCCCACCCAACATACGGCGGCGGCCTAGGCCTCGCAAACGACCTGCAAAACGAACATAGCATCGTCGGCAACTTCCCCGACATCCTCATGCTGCACCATTTCGGGACCGACGAGCAAAAGCGCACCTTCATCCCCGCTCGCCTAAACGGGACCTTCCGGACAACATTTGGCCTCACGGAGCCAGACCACGGCAGCGACGCAACCTTCATGAGCACCGTCGCGGAGCGCAGAACGAACCCCGCCGGCGTTGCGGGGTGGACACTCAACGGCGCGAAGAAGTGGCAAACGGGCGCGCACAACTGCACGCACATGATCATCTTCGCGCGCGCGAGCGGAAAGCCTGGCGAGGCGCGCGGCATAACGGCGTTCCTTGTCCCCAGTAGCACAGAGGGAATCGAGATAGCCAGCTACGAGTGGACATTCAACATGCCAACGGACCATGCAACGGTGACATTGAACAACGTCTTCGTGCCCGAGTCAGGAATACTAGGCGAAGTCGATCATGGCCTCGCGCTCGCACAGACATTCGTGCACGAGAACCGCATCCGGCAAGCAGCGAGTTCATGCGGCGCGGCGAAGTATTGTCTTGATCGGGCGATTGCGCGCGCGAACGAGAGGAGCGTCTGGGGGGCGGGGCGGAAATTGAGCGAGCATCAGGGGATCCAGTTCCCTGTTGTGGAGCTCATGACGCAGGTGGAGATGCTGCGGCTTTTGATTCTGCGGACGAGTGTGAGGATGGATGGTATTGTGGGGGAATGTGAGGGGACGAAGGATGTGCCTTGGGTGCGCATTGAGCGGGAGCTTAGCGGGGAGGTTGCGATGTGTAATTATTGGGCGAATCGGTTGGCTTGTCAGGCGGCGGATCGGGCGATTCAGGTACGTCCATTCTCTCCAATCTTAGGAATTGTGGACTTGAGCTGACCTTGTACCTTGTGTAGATCCACGGCGGCGACGGATACTCGCGACACTACCCCTTCGAGCACATCTACCGGCACTTCCGGCGGTATCGGATTACGGAGGGGTCGGAGGAGATTCAGATGCGGAAGGTTGCGGCTTATTTGTTTGGGATGGGTGGGAAGGGCGGTGGTAAGGAGAAGGAAAAGGGGAAGTTGTAGTTCCTGGTAGTATTATATCCATTGCTTCTCAATGGTTTTGTTCTATACTCTACTGTACCCAACCAAGCAAGCTAATGAAAAGCAAAATAACAAGACTATTTCCAACCATGACAGGGAAGAAGGAACCCCGAAAGGAAAAGGAAGAGCATAATTCAAGCAGAACGCCGTGGCGGTGCAGTGCGACAATGCCGCAATTGAGAACTAAGAAAAAACAGGAGGTTATGTAAAATCAAGCTCGTCGTCTCCCTGCGCCACATACTGATACTTCATCAGCTGGTCGTGATGGACATCGCTCGCCTGGGAATGTACCAGGCCCAACGTACCCGCGTCCTCAGTCGGATCGTCTACGAGCATGCGGTACTCGTTCGGCGCGACATGCCGGACGTTTCCCACATCTACCCCCTCATGGATCGAGTGCGCATGTTGGTGTTGATGAGGGTGTGTGTGTCCATATGGATCTCCCATGGTAGCGTCTTGAGTTTGGTACCGAGGTATTTGATGCAGGTTCATGATTTGCGGGTCTAGAGGGACGGCAGTGTAGTCGCTAAGCGAGCCGACATGGCCTTGAAGAATGGAGGAGTGGGGTGCTGCGAAGGGATTTTGATGTTGATGCATTGAGGCTTGTTGCATGAGTTGGGGTGTTGGGAGAGGTTCGGCTTGCGGGATCTGATCCAGTGTGGGCGTATGAGTCTGGGTGTGAGATTGGGTATCTTCGGACGAGATATTGGAGTGCTTGCGTTTATGCTGGTGTGGTTCTGGCTCGTCTGTATCCATTAATGTATCGGCCGGAGTTTGCGAGTTTGGTGTTGGGACCTTGAGCGTCTCCTTGCACTGCGGGCAGTCTCGGATGACTCGGCTGACGGTCTCTTTGATGCGGACCCAGTGGTACTTGACGGCGATGGCGGCTGTGGTCTTGTTAATCCCGGCATGCTGCTCCATATGTACCTGCTGCGCAATCTCGTATTGTTGCTGCGGGTCTGACACGACTTCTTTATCTTTCAGCATAAGCTTTTCTTCCTCGCCGTTTTCGCCTTCAACGAGTTTATAGTGCGTGGCTGCGCTGCGGAGTCGACTCTTCTCGGCTCGGTCGGCGCCTCTGGGATATTTAGAGTGCTTGAGATAGTAACGGATCTTGTCGAAGCGATCTTGTGTGACGGGGTCTTCGCCGTCCGAGCCGAGGTCGCGGCCGTAGATGATGGCGTCGACGAATTCGCCAGGGCTAGAGAGGACTCTGCCGGCATTGGGCACCCTGCCAATTCGCTTGAACCCGAGTCCTTCCCAAAGTCGACATGAGGCGACGTTGCTCTCGTAAATCAGGTTGAAGACGGCATATGTGTATCCCTGACTTGTCAACCCAGCACTTTGCTTTTGGCGGCGTGGAACGTACCAGCCTAGTGGCCCAATCAAGATAGGCTTCTCCCATCAGCCGGCCTACACCCTTATTTCTCGCAGCGTCCGTGACCAGAAACATGCCGTTACAGACATGACTACTCCGCCCAGGATAGTTTGGTCTGACATTAAAGCTCCCGAGGCAGGCTTTGGCCCAGTTGACGTTGCCCTCCATCTCTTGAACATCATTCACATTCTTAATGTCTCCAATGAGCATAATAGCGCCAAAATTCGAAAACCAGTACGGCGCAAAGTGCCGCACCGGGATCGGGTCGACCATAGCATAAGTGTCCCCCTTTTCAATCTCCCTGTTCAGCTGGTTGCATAGGTACACGATCAGCGACTTGGGGATCTGCTCCCAAGAATGAAATGGCACCAGCGTCGCAACAGTAACCCGATCCCGCAGCGTGAGTTGGCGAGGAGCAATCTCCCCTGAAGACTCGTCGTCCATGGTTGTCAGGTCACAGTTCCCAGCTGGCATAATGAAGCTATACTCCTGATGCGGGCTGAGCCGGTCACGAGACTGCTTACCGCATTAGTGTGGTCAGGACTACCGCGCAGCATTCATACTGGTCGGTGAGACGAATAGGGGAGGAGAGGTGACAGAATATCCATCGACAGTTCAACACAGTGTGCAATTCTAAGGAGACAGAGAAAGAGAATAGAGGGGCTCACCGTAAAAAAGATGGAGGAAAAGTAATCGGCGTCCTGGTCGGAGTATACTTACAGGCTGGTGGCAGTGGTTGGAGCACTTCGAGGACCGGGCGAGTATTCTCGAGTCCGGAATGGAGTCAACGCAGAAGCGAAGATCCCGTCCCGCGGACTTTTGCTTCTTCCGCTGACCGGTCATGTGACGTTACGCCCAAACGAGGCGCCTTTCCTAAACCGGAATAATGCTCGTCACGACACATTCGAGTTGGTGAGGTCAATTGAAGCCCAGGCAATAGACAAAATGAAGCTCGACCTTTCTGTCTACCTTGTTACAGACTCAACGGACCCTATCCTCAAGGGCCGGGATCTGTGTGCTGTTGTGGAAGAAGCCGTTAAAGGAGGTACGACACTTCCCCTCCTGTTGTACCCTATTGACGCTTGGCAATGCAGGTGTAACGGTCGTCCAATACCGGGACAAAAAGAGCGACACGGGCGCTCAGATCGAAATTGCCCGAAAACTTCACCGGATCACTCAGGCCCACGGTGTTCCCTTGATCATCAATGACCGGGTCGATGTTGCTCTTGCGGTGGGCGCTGAGGGCGTCCATCTCGGCCAGGATGATATGCGTACGCTCTGTTTCTCTTAATTGAGGTCTCACGCTTACGTTTGCAGTGATTTCCGAGGCGAAGAAGCTTCTTCCGAAGGATACAATAATTGGCATTAGCGCCTCATCTATTGAAGAGGCGCAAGCGGCTGTTGCGGCGGGCGCGGATTATCTGGGCATCGGGACGCTATTCGCTACACCAACGTAAGTTTTGTGCCGAATTTGAAAAGAATCTTATACTTACTTTGCAGTAAAACAAACACCAAGTCAATCATTGGCACGGCCGGCACACAGGCTATCCTTGACTCGATCGCCCAGTCTGGCCGTGATGTAGGAACTGTCTGCATTGGTGGGATTAACCTCTCCAATGTCCAGCGGGTACTCTACCAGTCCGCATCTCCCCGCAAGAGCTTGGATGGCGCTGCTATCGTCAGTGCCATTATGGCGGCGGATGACCCCAAGGCAGCCGCGGCGGAGCTTGCCAAAGCCATCGCCACGCCACCACCTTTCGTACGAAATTCGGAAGGGCCTGTAGTCCGCGAGACTGCGGCGCTGCTTGAAACGGTGCCACATATCGTCCAGAAGCTTGTCCAGGTTCACCCATTGGTGCACAACATGATCAACTTCGTTGTCGCTAACTTTGTCGCCAATGTCACATTAGCAATGTGAGTACCCTAGCATGGCATGGGGTGAAAGCCTACTAATCGATCCAGCGGTGCCTCGCCGATTATGTCTCCGTACGGAGACGAGGCCACGGACCTATGTCAGTTCGACGGCGCTTTGCTCATCAACATGGGAACGCTCACCAGTCAAAGTCCCTCCGAATATCTCAAAGCTATCAAAGCATACAACCAACGCGGAAACCCGGTGGTGTATGATCCAGTAGGTGCCGGCGCGACTCAGATTCGACGTGGAGTCGTCAAGGAGCTGATGGCCGGGGGATACTTTGACCTCATCAAAGGCAACGAGGGAGAAATCCGCCAGGTTGCCGGAAGCACTGGGGTTCAGCAACGCGGTGTCGACAGCGGACCTAGTACGCTTGATGGCCAGGCTAAGGCACGGCTGGCGCGTGACCTTGCTCGGCGAGAGAGTATGCATCCTTCACCTTTCCACAAGTCTTCCCTAACCTCGAATAGAAAACATCGTTCTACTGACTGGTGCTGTCGACTACCTCAGCGATGGCGAGCGGGTCGTCACCGTAGAAAATGGACACGAACTACTAGGTCAAGTGACTGGAGTATGATTGCATTAGCCCTATTTAGAGGGCAACAAGCTAACATGATGCAGACTGGTTGCGCCGTTGGCACGGTAGCTGGATGCTTCATTGCCACTCACCCGACCGACAAGTTCCTCGCGGTGCTTTCGGCTCTTCTCATGTATGAGATTGCCGCCGAGAATGCCGCCGCGAAGGACTATGTCCGCGGTCCTGGAAGCTTTGCTCCCGCTTTCATCGATGAGCTGTATGCTATTCGCCAAGCCGCTTTGAAGGGAGATCACAGCTGGTATGCTGGACGGGCTAAGGTTCAGGAAATTACGGTCTAATTGGGCCTTGCTCAGGCGTGGCTCTCGATTTACGTATATAGATCCTGCTAGTGACCAGATATATATATATAGACTTCACCGTACATAGACCCTACACCTCAACCGCTAATGCCATCACTTATCTAGTACATTCTGACTTCTAAGCCGCTCTTCAATTCCTTGTACATCGTTAAGATATTTCTCTCGATTTCAGTATGTCACTGTCAATAGGTGTAGCTTACGGGGGCAATCGCCCATATAGTTGGATCGGGAAATTTGTTCTTCCGACCGGCGGGGAAATCAGGCATGTGGTTGGTCAGGCACAATTCGGCACACTTTTTATGGGATGACTCCAGCAGACCAACTGAAAGATCCCTTCTTCTAGGGATCCTCCATCCAGCTAAACTGTCTCTTCTCACCCTCTTCACGGCCCGCCTTCGGGTCTCCAGAGTTTTCTCCCGTACAGCACATCCATTCGCGATTTCCCTACGAGTCAAGAACACCACCCCTCTCACCAACCCACCTACAAAGTACCCCGCCTATTCCTTCGCAAACATGGCTATCAACTCCGCCCCCGAGAGCTCCCTCCTTTCCCTCCTCTACCGCTCCTACCCCGCCGCCATCTCCCCCGACGAGACCGAGCCCGACCTCCTCGCCGCGAACCCCAAGATCTTCCCTGTGACCTACAGTGACGCCGAAACAGCGGACATCAAGCAATGGCTCGCCACGACCTCTAGCCTGCAGAGCGCCCTCGGCAAAGACGACAAGTCTGCGGTCTCAGATATCCTTGCCCAGGTCAACACCCACCTCGCCACACGCACCACCATCCTCGGAAACAAGGCCTCCGTCGCAGACGTCGCCGCCTACGCACTTCTCGCCCCCGTCGTCGAGAAGTGGTCTCCGGAAGAGCGCACTGGTGAGAATGGATATCACCACATCGTCCGCCACGTCGACTTCGTCCAGAACAGCCGTGTTTTCGCGCTGCAGGTTCCCGAGGAGGAGAAGGTCAAGATTGACGTGAACGACGTCCGATTCGTACCGAAGCCCGTTGACGCCAAGGCCGAGAAGGAGCGCAAGAAGAAGGAGAAGGCTGCTGCCCAGGGCGCTGGTGCCGAGCAGACCGTCGTTGTTGGACAGACCAAGCCCGAGAAGGCTGCCCCTGAGGCCGCCCCTGCCGCTGGTAAGGCCGAGGGTAAGCCCAAGGAGAAGAAGGAAAAGAAGCCCAAGCAGCCGAAGCCCGCTCCCGCCCCTGCGGCGCCGCCATCCCCATCTCTCATTGACCTCCGTGTCGGCCACATTCTCCGCGCCATCAACCACCCCAACGCCGATTCCCTCTACGTCTCTACCATCGACTGCGGTGATGCTCCTGGCACAGACAACACCTCCGTGGACGAGGAAACCGGCAAGACCGTCCGTACGGTATGCTCTGGTCTGAATGGTCTTGTTCCCCTTGCCGAAATGCAGGGCCGCAAGATCGTCGCCGTCTGCAACCTGAAGCCCGTTACCATGCGTGGCATCAAGTCCTGCGCCATGGTTCTGGCCGCTTCTCCCCGCGTTGCCGAGGGCGAGGACTCTCACGCTGGTCCCGTCGAACTTGTTACTCCCCCCGCAGATGCTCCCGCCGGTGACAGGATATACTTTGAGGGCTGGAACGACGGCGAGCCCGAGAAGGTGCTCAACCCCAAGAAGAAGGTCTGGGAGACTTTCCAGCCTGGTTTCACCACTACCGATGCCCTGGAGGTTGCTTTCGAGAGCAGCGCTGTTCCTGTTGCTCAGAGCCAGGAGGGCAAGCCTGCGCTTGGTAAGCTGGTTGCCAAATCCGGCGGTGTGTGCACAGTCAAGAGCCTGAAGGGAGCCACTGTGCGGTAAATGCTGTAAACAAAACTAGCCCATCAAAATACCAATGAAGATTTAGCAGTTCTATACTGGATATTCTTAGCACTGTACGAAGTATAGATTGTAGGACGTGCACGTGATGGGCGTTATCGAGGCCGAGGGGCAGATCACATGATTGGCAATTTAATTGCCCCACGTCTTTGTCTTGAGTCGAGTCACGGCGGGGTTGATTTTGACCCTGACAAGCTTTCTCTCCATTCCTGCCAGTTGGGTTGAATATCCTCAAGATGGCCGAGACTCCCGAGACCGCCGACAAAGTCGCTGCTGAGCAGGATATCAACCCCTGGTCCGTCGCAGGTGGCACCGACGCCAGCGGCAACGCCATCTCGATCGACTACGAGGCCCTGTCGAAGTAAGAACGAGGACAAACATCTGCATTGAAATACTGTTTCCTGACCCATGTGAATACTGCAGGAAATGGAACACCTCGCTCATTGACCAGGCCCTCCTCGACCGCTTCGAAAAGGTCACCGGACACAAGCCGCACCGCTGGCTTCGGCGCGGACTGTTCTTTAGTCACCGCGACTTCGAGAAGATTCTCACAAAGAAGGAAAAGGGAGAGCCGTTCTTCCTCTACACTGGTCGTGGCCCTAGCTCAGGGAGTCTGCACCTGGGACACACCATCCCTCTTACCTTCACCAAGTGGCTGCAGGATGTCTTCGACGTGCCGCTCGTGTTCATGCTTACGGATGACGAGAAGGCTCTGTTCAAGGACAGCCTGACCTTCGAAGAGACCCTGCACTACGCCATGGAGAACGCCAAGGATATCATTGCCCTTGGATTCGATCTGAAGAAGACCTTCATCTACAGCGATCTGAAGTACGTCAGCAACCACATCTTGATGAACACCTGGGAGTTCTCGAAGCTCGTCACCTTCAACCAGGTCCGTGGTGCATTTGGTTTCAACGAGAGCACGAACATTGGTCGTATTTTCTTCCCGTCTGTGCAGTGCGTCGCTGCGTTCGCTACCTCGTACCCCGAGATCTGGACGGACGAGCCTCTGAAGGAGCGCAAGAAGGAGATTGCTGCTATCCAGTGCTTGATTCCCATGGGTATTGACCAGGACCCGTACTTCCGTCTCCTCCGTGACAATGCCCACAAGATGCGCTACCCCTCGCCAAAGCCCGCCCTCATCCACTCCAAGTTCTTGACTGCGCTTCAGGGTGCCGGTGGCAAGATGTCCTCTTCCGACCCCAACTCCGCTATCTTCATGACCGACACCGCTAAGCAGATCAAGGTAAGCCAATCGCCTAATCTATGTTAGGGTTATGCTAACAGCCCAGACCAAAATCAACAAGTACGGCTTCAGCGGTGGCCAAGTCAGCATCGAAGACCACCGTCGTCTAGGCGGAAACCCTGACGTCGACGTCTCCTACATCTACCTAACATACTTCGAGGAGGACGACGCCAAGCTGGACGAGATCTACAAGTCCTACAAGAGCGGTGAGCTCCTGACTGGTGAGCTGAAGGCGATGGCCATCAAGAAGCTCCAGGAGTACGTTGCTGAGTTCCAGGAGCGGAGGAAGGAAGTTACCGATGAGCTGCTTGAGAAGTACATGACGCCGCGTCGGTTGGAGTGGAACGGAACCGCGCAGCCGAAGATCAAATAGAGATATTTGAGATATACAATACCCATTAGCTTTCGAATGCATAAAACAGCGTTGTTATCGGCCAATTCTTGCTCGCTTCCCTTTACATCACTTGATCTTCGGGGCCCAACGTATAACTGCTATCAGGTATTGGGCTGACTGGTTATAGCTGCCCGTCCGTTCTTTTTGATAGACCAGATCCTCATTTGCCTGTCTATTTACCGTCGCTTAACGTTTGCCAGGATTAACCGCGAAAGCTTTGAAACCTTTAAACATAACGCCTGCTGAATCTCATTCAAAGCAAAGGCAGCCATCATCTCCAGCGTCAATCCTGCAGCTTGGGGTGCGGTGATTCTGCGTTCGGCGTCTTTCCGCAAAAGGAAGGTCGCGCCAGGTCGAATCGCGCCGAGATCCTGTCAGAGATCTCTGTCATTAGAGGTTCGAATTCGACCAGCCTTCTCTCAACACCGCAACACAGTTGTTGCGAACTCAGATTCATACACCAGGTTCGGGTGAGCCCTGTGAGCCTTGATGAAATGCGACGAAACCGAGAATAAGGCAGACATCCCCCGTGGCCGATGGCTGGGGACATCTTATTGTGAACGGTACTGGCTTGTCACACCACACAGCGACATTAGCATCTCCTGACGGAGCACTCCTAATTTAGTCTGAGACCGCAGCAGTTCCGTAGGGTGAGGGCTAGGCGCCCGGCGCAGCTTCACAGGGACCACGGCCTGACTCGTACAAAAAAGGCTAACAGAGCAGGCGTCTCCAAGACAGTTCCGGTCGGCAGTCACGCAAAGTGATGGCTCTCTTTTTTGAGAAGGCATATTTTGACATTGAGACTGGTGTGGGTCAATGAGCCCATACCATGACAATGGGGGTTGTTACGCATGAGGCTGAACCGCCGCTGTTCTACTCCGCACAATGCTCCTGCTTTCTTAACGTAACCATAACTGCAGGTTGCCAGGTACGGGTGTGGAGAACATAGCAGTCGGCCAATCACGCTCATCTCTGATATTCATCAAGAGTTGTGGTTCAGCCTAGCATAGCCTCGTGGCATCTTCCCAGCATATATCTTCGCGGGCAACATCACCTCCAGCCAGCCCCCTGCATTAATCTGGCTCGTCGCATCCAGGTTGCTGGGACGGCCCGGCCAGAAACTAGTCTGTCTTCCTCGTCCCTGGCTCAATCATGTTGGCGTGCTAGGGCTAACCAGCGCGCTAGGCATCACCGGGTCCGGGGTGCTAGTCCTTCATTTAGTGGACTCTGAAGTTTTCTGGCGCCAGTGTCGGAAGGAGGCTTAGGCACCTTGTCAGACTCCCAGTCCTCCTCGCTTCTCTTCAAGAATCCTGACGGCTCGGACCCTGAAAACAATAACTTATAAACCTGCAAGTCTGCTCACCCTGTTCCTATCTTGCTTGCGGTAAATCCAAAAATGCCGGTGGCATTTCTTTTCTCCAATTCACCCTACATCGCCAGCCCTATGGATTCGCAACCGATTAAGTCTCCGGGGGTTCCTGAAGCCGATCATGGTCTCGACTATCCCCTAAGCCCAGTCAGTACCCGAGCTCTCCCCTGGATCCTCTGCATCCGGAAACCCCGACAGCCTTCTTGACCCTCCTACACCGACCCCAGCTGGCAAAACGCGGAAAGACAGAGTTCAGTTCTATTTCGGAGATGTCACCAACAGATTCAAATATTTCTTTTTTCTCTGCTGCGGCAAATGTACAAAATCGTGATTCCCAAATCACGCTCGTCGACCATGAACAATTTGATGCCACACCGAAGGATGTCTTCTATGATACGACATCTATACGAAGTTGGTCGGAATCTTCAAGTAAAAGACACAGAGCAGCGCTCCACCGTACCGATGATATGCCGTCGTCACCGACGTCGGTTATCCCAGGGCGTAAGGGCTCCATTACTGGTGCTGTACGTCCGCCGATTAGCTCTAAGTCGAGCCGCCTTGCTGGTTCATTGCCGGAAGGCAGCAAGAAGCCGCATCCAGACTATTTGTCTGGCACCATGCGAGGTTTGAAGATTCTTCCAGAGTGAGTAGTGGCTTGTTAACAGTATTCTCGCTGTTGTTCTTGCTTGATCTCTCACTGAGTTCTAGTTTACCTGTCCAAACAGTGGTATCCCTGTGAGCCTAGGTTTCTGCACACTTCGATCTGATGATGCACTTAATTAAGACCGGAAGCTGCCACGCGAGCTTTCTATCTACGGGATATACCCCATATCCGGGTTGCGCTAGAATCTTCAGTATTCATCTAGTGTGACTGCGAGATGTAATACTGACAGATCCTTCAACTGGCACCCGGATATTCTCTCATTGAGTCAGGGATATCCATGCATGCCAGTCATGATAGGAAGGTTAGCCGGTTTCAGGCCCTCTTGGACTAGCACCTACCCCCGGACCCAGCCTAACCCACTTGAGCTGTACATGCGAAGCACCTAGTCAGGGGTACCAATCCTGCAGGGTGTAGCTGCCAGAGTCCAGCCGCGTAGGTAAGGGAGGCTGGAGGCACTCTTCAGAGAATTAATCTTTGCACGCTCTCTTCTCTGCGGGAACCAGCATGAGGACTCCAACGACCTTTCTCCTTTCCAATAGAGGATTAATCGTGTCTGGCTCACCTTTCGTCCCATTTCATGCATTGAATGACCTTCAGTCACCGAACGGCAAAAGGTGCATTGCCTACTTACACAATGGAGAGAGCTATGAGAGTGCTATTCCGGAAGATGACGTGATTACGATCAGAGAGATTGTTGCCCGCCGCGGAAATTGTGACAGCGACGCCAATGAGGATGGTCTGCTTCATCTCGCAAGGCTTTGCCTCTGCAGGGAAGCAAAGATGAGGCATAATACAGCCCAGAATGTGGATGCAGTTGTTCAACAATGGACGCTGGAGCTTTCAACCCTGGTTTCGACTCCGACATTGACGGTGAGAATGTAAGTCGCGGATCAGACTTGCCCTTCACGCCGAACAATGGCGATACCGACCTGAAAGAAGCAGACCAAGTTTACAAACCAAGGAAACAAGGCAGCCCTCAGCCCCAGAGACATTGACCACGAAATTTTCGGAGTTATAGAGGAGCGCAAAAGGGGCGGCGTCCCCGAATACAAGTTCATATACATCCTCGGCCACGTCTCAGTGCAAGGTCTCTACAAGATAGGACACAAGGATACACGGTCGGCCAAGGTGCATTTCCCCTGCTACGAGGCCGGCTGGGAACCATTCGACTGCATCAAATGCGCCCATGGGACGCTGCGTCGAGAAGCTCGTTCGGAAGAAGTTTGCGTTGCAAAGCCGTGTCCATAAGTGTGAGGACGCCGTATGCGCTGCGAAAAGCACGAGACACGAGAAGTGGATTGGGCCGTCGCGGAGGATATCAGGGATAGCGTCAGGGCGTGGTCCAACCTTGCGGAGGGTGGCTTCGAGGGCGTGCAGCTCCCTCAGGCTGGGTTTTCGTTGGAGAAGGATAGGTGGACGAGGTGGGTGAGAGTGTGTGTTGACAAACGACGATCTACGAAGGATGCTGCGGACTTAACATCAGCTGCAGCTCAAGTCTCTGGTACGACACTACCACACCGACCTAAAGCATCCCAAGAGCCATCGGATACCTCAATCTCATCGCACGCGTCGACAATCTTCACCGAAGGACCTCTACCCAGCACGCCAGAGATCTCAACCGAGATCCTCGAGGGATCGTTCAACTCGACCTCCGCCCCAGCCACTGGCATGACCACTGCCGACAATCCCTCCGACGCGGACAGCCCGTCCAGGCCGCAATTCAAAGACTGGGCGAAACCCTAGCTGGAGGAGAAGAAAGCCTACGTAAAGGAGAAACGCAGCAGTCTCCCAAACACACTCAGAAAAGGCAGCGCAAGTTGGCTCAGATGATAAAGCCACGGATAGTCCGGTATAGCCCTGTCTTACTTGGATAAGTGTGCCTTATGAATGTTGATTTCTAGAGAGTCATAAATACTGTTCGACAGAACATTGGGAAAGAATGTGTATATCCTGCTGGACTTATCGAATAATATCAGCTCATGCCTATCGTATCCTGAAAATATCTATATAATATTTGCTGCGGGTTGTTGTCCGTTCGAATGCATCTGACGGCCCAGCCTGAGGAGAATCAGTGATGTCATTATTCTGGACATCTTGATCTGTTCGGGAAGAGAACAATAGCCTGTGCTCTAATCCGTGATCCAAATGTACACCCATGCAGGGCATCGCTTCTACCACGTGCAACATTACCAAACTCGAGGCGGAGTCATTGCTGAGGATCCTCAGATGGCGACTCCGGCTCCTCACTACCCTTATCGGCAGGATTACGCCTCTTGAAGTCCTCATCTTCCGACCCGTCCAGCTTCAAGCCACGATTAATCCTCCAAGCAAGGGTCCTAGCTTGTCTGAGGTGCTGAAAATCACGGACCCAACCACCACGCCCGACGCCCATCGCCCTTTTCTTTCTGTCGGCCAGCAGGTTCCTCTTTGCCTCTGCCTCGCGGAAGGCCTGAATACGCTCGAATTCCTCCTCAGAGTATTGCAGCGGGCATGGGTATTTAAGGAAAGAGTGCATGATCTCACGATTCAGTCGCGCGGCCACGGGCCGGTTGCCTCTGTCAAGGAGGCCGAATAATCTAGACGACTGGAGCGAGCGCCAGTTGCTAGATGCATGAACGAGAGCGTACTGGAGATCTAGCAGGCCCCCGTCCCATGGCTTGCTGGCGTGGCGGTAGAGTCGGGGCCTGATCATTGCGCCGGAATTCTTGAGTGCACGGAAATGAGAACGGTTCATGTCTCGTGAGAGTGTCATGTACTGTTGGGGCGATATATATTGCTCTCCGCCATGGCGCTTACTTTCCTGCAGAGAATTATTCAGAAAATCCCAAGTCTCTGGTAGCGTCGATTCTGGATTGTTCAGTTGGTGGGGATTAGGATCCTTGCATTGCTGAGAGTGCGGTGGAAGCCCGGCGCACAGGCCGAGTGGGAGAATTTCGGCACCTTGCCAGTCGATTAGTCCGGTGATTTCACCAGGCGTCTGAGGGTCGACAAGGATATTTTCTGGGCTGAGATTCGGATGCCGGAGCGTTCTGCGGGCAAGAAAGTGGGTAGAAGCAACGGAAATAACACTGCTAAGCCTCATGTACTGCTTAAGAAGTTCGACGTAATGTTTGGGTTCGAATTGTTGGAACTGATATAGTTCACGGAGCCATCGCTGGCGCGTTTTGAGAGGAATGGCGTGCTTTTTACAGACCACCATCTCGCGTATTGCGGGGGCCGTCGCAGCCTTGCGAAACTTGAGCCCTCGATATAAAGTTAGTTCAGGTGCAGGAGCATGAGAGAATGGAATGTTCCTCACATGGGCCACGATGTACATGCAACTGGGCGCGAAAGCCAGTCCACCAGTCCCGCTGCGCCGACGGCCCAACAACAATAGGGTCCCGTGTATCCGTTGCCCGCTTCCGATTATATGTTTCGGTGCCCTCGGGCAAATCATTTTTGAAGTACAGACTTCCACTTGCCGGAAACTTAAGTCCCATGATATCCGCTTCAAGCCTAACAATCTGGATGGCGACTTTCTCTTTTGCTTCGTCGTCCAAATCAGGCCAAACTTCACTGAGACGCCTCCCTGGAACCTTAGACATGAGAAGGTACTCGGTTTTGACAGGGTTGTTGGCATCCGCGGAGTATCCCAGCACCTCCGGGACCTGTGTGAACTTGTAATGACGGAGGAGAGTCAGTGTTGCAGCCTCACTGGCAATCTCATAATGCTTTGCGACAGTGTGGTATGGGATCTTGGCGAGGACCTGCAGTTTGTCATTGAAAGTGGCCTGTAGGATGCGGTTATGGTCGCCTTCGTGGAGTTTGACGAGCGAAGTTATATCTTCCACCGGCCGTTTAACAGAGGCCGCAATGGCTTGTAGAAGGGCGTCAACGTCGAATTTGACATGACGCTGCTCTTGACGCTTCGTCTCATTGAACCTAGTGTGCTTAGCAAGAGAATATAGAATGAGCCCAGCTGGTACACGTACAAAAAACGGCCAGAGGTATAATTAAAGAGAATCGACTCGCTTGGGGTGTGTATTAGACGCAGGCGCCCTGCGGGTCGGTAGGACGCGGTGGGCTCGAAGAAGGAGCGCAAGCGTGGGGAGAACGGCAAGCGGCTGCTGTTGCCTAAGCATGGCGACCAAACTCTTCTTCTTGCAAGCATTACAGCTCATTCATCACTTCGAGTCAGCTCCTGAGATTGGACAAAACGATATGACATTTGTACTGCGTTTTGGTGATGGAATTCCGCTGGGTCACATGATACCTACTCGTCCCTGATTACCTAAAGCCCGGACCGAGAATTCTCCGGGCCATGGCCTTTGATTCTGCTGCTCGCCAGTAAGGCCCATTTCGTTTTCTGACGCACGTCATATTGGAGTTATGCATTATGTTGAGTCGTATGTTTGCCTTTGGCGTTCGGCATCTTGATATATACCAGTTAACAAAAGACTTCCACACACGGCCTGATGAGCATGATCTTTCGAAGGGAAAGCTGAGCAAAAAGATATATATTTTTGCAGGTTGTCCCGCGTATTCTATAACCCTTGCTTCGAAAGGAGGATATTAAACCCCCTGCGGAGTGTCTCCAATAACTTCTCATCCACATTGCCCTCCACGAAGCTCTCAGCTAGCTCCGTAAATTCCGGCTGTTCACCCTCCCCGGCAACGGCCCAGATTTCGTCCAACATCCTGCGCAGAATCCCATTCCGACATCGAGGATCATCAACCGCAATAGCCAGGTTTTCCGTGATGAGGGACATGCGGCAGAAGTTGATGCCGGAACCTTTTCTTTCCTGCGGCCGGTGCTTTGCCATGAGTCCATCGTAGATGCTGCGATAATAGACCAGATCCTTGGGTGAGTCCTCCCATACACCATCGGGTTCCACTCCATCTTCCATGGATTCTGTGTAACTGTACATAGCGGAATCCCAATCCCGCGTAAGCCAGCCTGGGTAACTCTCATTACCAAGGCTGCAAGGCACAGCAGCGACACCGTCCCAGTCAATGATACCTTGGAGCCCGCCGTCTTCAGATACCATGAAATTTTGAATGTTATAATCTGGATGTGCGAGGACAAAGGGGTCGGTGTCGCCGGGCTCTGGGACCCAGCTGATGAAATGCCGTAAGAGGATGGCAATGCCCTTAGGGATGGGGTACTCTTCAGGATGTACATCGAGCATGTGGGTGTAGTATTTTTTGGGGCTGCTAAATGCGCCGCATTGAAGATGGATAAGATCGTCATCTGGGTTCTGGTGAACGAACCATCTGTCGATCATCGCCTTCTGGTCAACTCGTCGCATAGGCCCAATACCGGACGGGCTGCCATCGCTCCCAAACACAAGACTACCACCAGTCTGGAAAGAAAACTTCTCCAACTGGGCCATGGCCGATGCAATGTCTTCAAGGGCACGAATTCGCCGCGACCGCGTGGTCTCCGGGTCAACACCGTGCATGCGGTGTCCAAACCAAATATTGTACAAAGGCGTTCCAGTAACAAAACTCATGATGATATAAGGACAGCGGAGGGAGTTCTTGGTGGTTGATGAGAAGTCCAAAACCTCGGGTACAGGAATTGTTGTCTCGCGCTTCAAGAGGCGCATTGTGCTGGCCTCTGATGTTAAAGCAGAGGCAGACAACTCATTCCACTTGCTCTCTGTGCCATTGATTGGGAACTTGGCTATCCAGCGAACACCGCTGTCGAAGGTCAACGGGAAGAGAACATGATAGGAGCCATAAACAGGCTCGCCAATCGCGGGATTGGCAATAGGGCCGTGTCCTGGTTGAAGGCGTCGTAGTACGGCGGCTGCAAGAATGGGCAGCTGCTCTCGGTCAAGCGTGGAAAGCACCGCTGTAAACAACTCTGCCTGCTCGTTTTCCTCGACGGACGGCGATAAAGGCGGGTGATCGTTCTCGTGGGGCTGCTCCATGGTAGGGTTTGGTTGATGGAGGACCTACGCGCCGGGAAGAAAAGAGACCAAGTGATTCTCGGATTCCCAGGTGGCTGGGCCAAACAGGTGAGCCCACCTGGCAAACAAATTCTAGAAAGCGGGGTTGCTAGATATCATGTCCTTGTATTTGGGGCAGTGGACAGTAAAGAGACACTCCCTGGTAGGTTTGTAACAGGCTCCTATCACGAGGATGGAGAATTCATGGCTGGTACAAAATCGAAACATAACTTCAGGTAGACATGTACCGAACTTCTAGTTTTTGTCTTGGTTTCTGCTTTAGGCCAGCCATCTATTAGCAAATGAGCCTTCTTGAGGATATGAAGCGTCTAGACCGTCAATCTAGAAAATTACAGGCTTCCAACCTCTTCTTGATACAAATCCCTCTGCACCTTCATCGCGGAGCACATCAGGCCCACGGCGCCCTGTCACAACACTTCTCTCGACCTCAGGCCCATGTACATGGAATGGCTCAAATCCTGTCCTTGTGCCAAACCGTTTATCAACCCCGCGAATCCATCTCTTCTCCCCTGTGTATTCCCCATTCGCGCCGGCGAGCTTCTCAGGAACGAACCCACACCCAGCGCGGTCGAGCATGATGAACCATCGCCGTTGATGAATGGAGCCAATGTCGTTGACCGCGCCGGGATACGCGTTGTTCAGTCTGATCTGGAAGTCGACGTCTTTATCCCCTCCTTCAGCGTCTGAATGTTCGGGCTCCGGCTCGTTGCCAATGTTGACGTCCCTCTGGCGCTTGCCTGTTCCTGGGCTTTTGGTGTCTGACAGGAGGGTGATGTCTGTGTCCGATTCGGAGTCCGACGTACTATCCGGTTGAGCTTTCGCGGTCCGTCTGCGTCTACGCTTCCTAGGCTTTTGTAGGAGTGAGGCCACGGTCGGTGCGGAGCGGAAGTCGGTCTTGTCCCGGCGGAGGAAGATGGTGTAATCATGGGGAAGACGGGTTCCGTGAAGGCGGAGGTGGATTTTACTCTATCGCCCAAACAATTAGCTTTTATCACCCCTTTGGAATTTAACGAGGAAGTTGGCGAGTGGATACGTTTTGGAATGCGTTTCGAAGCTTTTCACTCTCTGGTAGCCCCGAACCTCCTACTCCAGATGCGGAATGTGTCTCGGGTTCACTCTCGTCCGTCTCCGGACCAATGTTGGACCCTTTCGGCTTGTCTGGGAGGACTTCATATTCTCCAGTGTCCCATATTATCATGCTACCGGTCCTTGCGCTCGCGGTTTCGATGAGGTGATTCTATACGGATACCGTGACGGTTAGTCCCTTTCCCGGAGGTAGATCGGGAAGGAATGAAAGAGACGGAGAGTGGCTGCACGTACCCACAGAGCATGGACCCTTGTCTCGGTTGCATTCCGATTCAACCGCCGACTGTTTGGATCCCCAGGTAGTCCATACATGACGCTCCAGCTGAGCGAGCTGGATTCGGAGAACTGCAGGCGGAGATCATAGTGCGGGCCGGCAATTGGATGATCGTGTTGGTGGATGACGAAGTGACGGCCAGTTGGATGACAATTTCGATTGTAGAGAGCTTTCCAGGCATCAATTGTAATCAGGCTCACTTGTTTGGGGATGTTGTTTCGGTCCACAACGTATCTGCGGAGACGTGCGGAGATTCTTTCGACGGCATTTTGGGTCTCCTCCTTCCCCGCTTCGAGGGCAGCCAGCGAGTCATTACCAGTCGGCCCGTTACGCGTGAGGGGGCGGGTTGGGGGCGGAGAAATTGGTCTGTCGAGAGTGGAAAGGCGTCGTTTCGCGTCCAATTCATCGCTCATGATCCTCGGTTGTGTTCTGCGCGAGTCAAAATGCAACTTGGAAGGTAACGTCGGATCCTGATCTCGTGACGGCGAGTCGGCCGTGGGCCACCGACGTCATCCGTCGAATCTCATCTCACGTGCAGCCCTAAGATTCGGAGGACGGCGATGCCGATATTGTTATTGATAGAGGAATTGTTGGATGATGAATGCCACGAGAAAGTGGATTGCCTGGGAACGCGATCAGTGCGCGATTTCTGAGCTGCAGGAAGGAGTGGCGAGATGCTGCAGGCAGATAGGGAAGATTGGAAGGAACGATAAGACGCTCGACTTTTGCAACAGAAACCAAGATAACAGTGATAAGACTCGCATTTTGCGTACGCTTGGGGTTAGGGACATGGTCCAATTGATAAGGACAACGAAAAGGGCATATCTATCCAGTGTTATGGGACTGTACGGAGTAAAGGTAACGGGCTGCTTGTAACTTTTGCCTATTCAGTGTGCCTTGGTACGCTCTCTGCGAATAAGATGAGTGCTGATCCTGGACAATAATGCAGCGTACGCCTTTAGCGGAGGAAAATTCGAGCATAAGACGCTTTACTGCATTCGCCATGCCAATGCTGACACCCACGAGGCGCTCTAAGCCACAAGAAGATAGAGTCCTCCTATTTGTTCCTGGGGAAAGCCCCAGTCACTAAACCCGCGCCGCCCCCCGCTTAACCCCATTGCGGTAGCCCCAGGGCCCATCCTCTGCAATCTCACCACTTACAGCCACCCTGGGATAGGACGGACAGTCAATTCTATGGTCAGCCCTTTCACTGTCCTATCCCATCGCATCCTCAGAGCGGGACGAATCTCAAGCCCAGAGATGTAACCTATAACGCGCTGCCTTTTAAAATCGCCCAGTCCCTCGATGCTCTTTCCCTCCGTCGCTTTTCTTTTTCTTGTTTTCTCTCTCACCCTCCGAACTCCGTCAAGATGAGTCCAAAATCAGACCTCGAGAAAAGCAACACAAACGATGCCGAAGTTCAAGCTTCCCCCGTCCTCACGACAGGTTCCGGCCTTCATCGTCGACTTGGGAACCGTCAGATCCAATTGATCGCCATCGGAGGTTCAATTGGTACCGCCGTGTTCGTCTCCATCGGTGCCGGTCTTGCTAAAGGCGGTCCCGGCTCCCTGCTCATCGCGTACTTCTTCTACTGCTGTTTCTTGGCCATGGTCAACAATTGCCTTACCGAGATGTCCGTATACCAGCCGGTCGAGGGAGGCTTTATCCGCCTTGCGGGCAAATGGGTAGACGATGCTTGGGGTTTCATGGCTGGTTGGAACTTCTTCCTCTACGAAGCACTTCTAATCCCCTTCGAAATCACGGCCATCAATATTGTTCTTACCTATTGGAGGACGGATATTCCGGTCTGGGCAGTGTGTTTGGCGTGTGTTATTCTTTATGGGTACGTTCAAATGGTTGAAATTTTCGATTTGGTCAATTTTGTGCTGACTTGTTAGGCTTCTGAATGTCCTCGCCGTCAAAGCATATGGAGAATCCGAATTCTGGCTCTCAGGCGGAAAGGTTATCCTCATCCTCATGCTATTTGCATTTACATTCGTCACTATGGTCGGAGGAAACCCACAACATGACGCATACGGCTTTAGAAATTGGAACGAGCCTGGAGCATTCGCCGAATACCTCTCCACCGGTAACCTTGGCCGCTTCGAGGGCTTCCTCGCCTGCGTCTGGTCCGCCGGATTCGCCTGTGTTGGTCCCGAGTACATCTCTATGGTCGCAGCAGAAGCAAAACACCCCCGCAAATACATCAAAGCTGCTTTTGCCACAGTATACTTTCGCTTTATCGTGTTCTTCATAGGATCTGCCCTCTGCTGCGGTATTGTTGTCTCCTACGCCGACCCAGTTCTACGCGACGTCCAACTCGGAAGCGGGGAAGGCGCCGGAACAGCCTCAGCTTCGCCCTACGTAATCGCGATGAAAAACATGTCCATTGAAGGCCTGCCACACGTGGTCAACGCCCTTCTGATTACCTCGATCTTCAGTGCAGGCAATACGTATACATTCACGGCAACCCGTATACTTCACTCCCTAGCCCTAGAAGGCCGAGCCCCACGCATCCTCCGCAAGTGCACAAAACAAGGCGTTCCTATCTACTGTTTCTGCGTTGTGATGATCTTCCCATTCTTGTCATTTTTACAAATGGGTGACAGCTCTTCCACTGTCCTCACGTGGCTCACAAACATTATTACAGCTGCAGGCATCATTAACTATGTGGTTATCACTGTCACCTACATCGCCTTTTACCGGGCGACTGTTGCACAAGGATTCGACCGCTCCAAACTCCCTTACACCGGATGGTTCCAGCCTTACTGTGGGTACATCGGATTGGCATGGATGTTTACTGTGGTGTGCTGTTTTGGATACGAGAGTTTCACGCCCTGGAGCGTTGACAAGTTTTTCACCAACTACACCATGGTTCTACTCGCCCCAATTCTCTTCTTGGGCTGGAAGTTGATCAGACGGACTACATTTGTTAGACCGCACGAGGCTGACCTCATTTGGGAGGCACCGGAGATCGACAGATACGAAGAGGAGTTGAGCCTTGTCGAGCCGCCGGTAGGTTTTTGGCAGGAGATGGTTGGCTCCTCGTTCTGGCGGAAGTTGAGGAGAAACTAGATTTCTCGTTATACCGCATTAGAAGTTTGGATAGACTTGCTCGATGATGTCTACGATGAGTGTACAGAGTACAATGATGAATACCATAAAAGTTTCCTAGTTTGACTAAGAATCCTGTGTCCACTTCCACTACCTATCACCCTTACCACCAACTACGTACCTAAGCTTCCCCCAGCATACCCCAGCGTACCCCAGACTGAGGCCGCGAAGTCCGTACCCTAGTCGGGAGGAGAACCCGACGGCTCGGCACGGCTCGGAACCGTACCTAGATACCTATACAAAAGGTGTACCCAGTAACAACCAGACGTAAAAGATAAGACCAACGCCCCTGTCTACGTACCACGTCCCGATAGCAAGCCTCCCTTATCATGCGCCATGATGCACCCCTCCCCATCTCCAAGAAACCCCGGCCAGATCCCCAAAGCAGGAAGTGGAGACATAATACCCCCTGCCTACGTTCTCCTGATCCCCCTCACACATACTCCGTACGTCCATGGCCCGATAGCACACCTCCTCCCTATCATACGCCTTGATGCACCCCTCCCGCCTCCCTAAGCGACCCTGGTCAGATTCCCAAAGTAGGAAGTGGAGACATGATACCCCTTGCGTGTGGTCGGTTCTCCTGATCCCCCTCATACCTATCCTTACGTCCATGGCCCAGTCAAAGCACTCGCGTTCCCGCGGGAAAGGCTATGGTACCTTCGTCCCCTCGGAAAGCTGTACCACTTCCGGGTGATAGGGAGGTACGGTGCAGGTGCGGGGGCTCTGATGCCGTGCGGAGAAGATGAGGCAGTTGATTGAGTTCTCTGTCATACCTATAGTATTGTGACGCATGGACGGTGGGCTCTTGTTTTTGTCCCCGCATGCATTGCTTGACTTGATGGTACTCCTCATATCGTTTGCTCCTTACCTTGCTGGGTATTACGATTGCTGGCCTGATGGAGGGTTGGTCCATGGTTCGGCCTTGAGGATTATAGGTAGAATCAAACTCTTCTGTTACGATATTAGAATACTCCGGAGTATGATAAATTCATTGGTGTAGCCCTTATAAAACTTGATCAATCTAGTTGATGTCTTCCACCCAGTCATCGCCACAATAATTTCTGTGCCAGATGCATCCTTTACATATGGCCTCGATCGTGCTGGCTATCTTCGGGCGTCCCGGCGTCTGGCAAGTGCAAGGCTTTGCCCTGTGGTACTGCTGATCGTGCTCCCCGCCTGGGTGATGTTTTGCGTATTTGACACAATTGAAACAGCCACGACTTCCGTCAGGTAAGCGCCCTGCCAAATCCGTGGCAATGCAGCCATTGCAGCCACATACGTCGTCAACATGGTCGTGTTCCTTGGTGGCATTTTCCGGGTCGCTGTTGAATTCGTAGCAGTGGATGCAGAATGAGCCCAACCCGACGATCCGCCGCAGAAGCTCTTCGTCTGGTGAGGTGTGAGTGACCCTGACTTTACACCCGTTGCAATCGCAGTAGCCGTGGATGTGAGGGTGCTCCACCTCTGCTGGGCCTGCCCTAAGCTCCTGCTGAGTGTGCCATGCATAGCATCTCCTAGAGCATAGAAGGATGCCATCAATTGCGACGCTTGGCACAATGGCCTCGCCGTTCCAGAAAATAACGATGTCGCAGTTGGGATACCCGCATATCTTCGCGGCCAAATCTCGGATTGGTCCCTATTCCTCTCCCAGAACTCCCCATGATGATAGTAGTAATCCACACAAATGCGGCAATACAAGATGCCATTTATCTTCTGTGGCCGACGTTCAACTTCCATGAACTTGATATGGCACCATTCGTATTCACCCCCTTTCATTGGGTGAGATATTCGCAGGCTTGCCATGTATGCTTTATCGATGCACGCCCGACAACGCCAACCCCCGTATTTAACGGAAGCTATTAGGCTTTTCGGCTCATTGCATTCCGGACAGAGCTCTGGGGCTTCCGTGGTGACGGCCCAATGGTTGACTTTCGAAGATGGGGAGGGAATAGTTCAACTTAATTTGCCCTGGCTTGGCCAAACGCAAATCGGCGGCAATCTTGGGGAGGGTACTTAGGGCTCCGGGGGGAAGGTTGCCGTAGTAAGTATCCGCGGACAATGAATCCATCGCCAAAATCATCTAGGTCTCAAGGACCACGCGCAGCTCGGGACTTCTCTCGGGAAACTCGAGAATCTGCCGGAACATGATCTTTTTGTAATCCGCCTTCGCGAGCTCTTTGTGTACATGTGTTGGTTTCCGCGCTGGATTCTCATCGCCACGAAATACCAGGCGTATCACATTAACGTGGTAGCAACGCCTAACCAACGGATCGTTCGAGGTCCCGATGTAGACCGCTATGCGGCCGTCTTCTCGTATACCAATGATGATTTACATTCCGGGCTTATGGGAGACGGGGGAGGAATTCGGCAAATTCGTCGCTGTCCAACATCTTGGGCATGCCACAGAGAGTCTGTACGGTGGTAGGGTACGCATCTGTGCTTGTCGAATCAAATTCCGCTTCGTCGCGGTTCTTAAAAGCGTCCAGGTTCTTTGCCCCCGAGTTGCCATTAGCCCCTGGTAAGGCGAAAATCGCCCTGTTCAATTCGGCGATTAGTTTGCCAAATTCCTTGCGGAAATGAGGAGCTCTAAGCAAGGTTAGTACTTCGCGTATAGAAAGGGTGACGATGATACCTTATGCATCCAAAAGCTCATCGCCACGAGGGGGCAATGGCCACGATCACCAAGGGGTACTTGCCTCCATCGCTCTCCATGTAAAACGGAGACTTGCTTACTGCCGGATTTTCGAATCGCTTGTTGGATCGTGCCATTCTCTCGTCGCTGTCGTCGCCGTTGTTTCCGTTGTCACCGTCGCTTTCTGACCCCAGGACCGATTCGCCATCGTCCTCGTAATATGCATACTTCTCTTCGGCGATCCACGGCTTTTGGGTCGATTGGCTCCGCGGCGAATCTGGTTCCGACTCGTACTCGTCTGTCGACTCGTCTATGCCCTTGACTTCCTGGAATCTTCGCTTCGTAGCCGTCCTGCAATTCGTCCCAGAATCCGCGCCGATTTTCCCGGGCTCCGCGGCGCATCCAGGTGGTGGATCGCGAGAATAGCGATAAACTTGGTGTTTGTTTTGAGTTGTGTTGGGGGAAAAAGAACGCCCCTCTCCCCGCACGCAGCGCGCGGAGGGGGGAGGGGGGAGGAATGACGATAATAGGGCTTTAGAGAGCTAATGAAGAGTCAAAGACTCATAGCCTGAGGAGGTGAAGGCTAGATGAAATGTCATGACTGAATGGATGACTGATGATCTAGGTAAGGAAGCTATTCGGAGATCATGATCTCTGGCTGGCCATGGGCGGAACTAACCTAAAGGGGAAGGGGTCCCCGGCCCCGGAAGGCAGTAGGTAGGTCGGGGTATGTTTCGACACTTCCCAGCTGGATTATCCAAGCACCGTATGGACCCTGGACGAGTGCTGATTTACCGTACATCATTCACTCGTTCGGTTTGACTTGGTAGGGCTTGATATCCAGAGTAGTTTCTAATTGGTTGTCTTGTTAAATCTAATCTTCCTTGGATATTAATCCTGCTAAACTGTAGCTTATTCTAAACATCCTGTTTCCCTTTGAATGCAGCATAGTACCAGGAATATACCCTCTGGTATGCATATAATGAAAATCTACCTGTCTTGATAGTCACCGCAGCAGCCATGGCCATGGTCTATAGTAGTTTTGACTTAGAGCACAAAGAGGTATTCAAAATTTTGTTCTTGGTTTATTAGTTACGTTGCTGCTATAAGCCTTTGGACCATGGCCCATTTATAATAATCACTTTATGCTATGGACGTGGTTGATAGATTATATTGCTTATACCATACCTGCTCAGGCAGGCGGATCCTTCTTATGTGCAGGCCAGAGGACGTATATAGCAACACGTCCCACAAGCCTTATAACCGTAACCACCCAACTTCCTCGGGCAAGTACTTATACGCCCTGAAAACAGCATTACTCTCATACGAAAACCCGATCTTCTCCATCTCCTCCAGATCCTGAGCGCCCATGACCTTGCTATAGTCATCCAGCTGCGGAACCACAAACTCCCACACCATCTTTCCATCCGTCGTAACCTCGAAAATCCGCCCCGTCGCCGCCTCAGCGATGAGAACATTCCCGCCCTCCAATAACTGCGCCGAGCCCATAAACGGCGTGAAAAAGCCTAGCCCGCCTGTTGTGTTGTCTTTGTATTCCCAGGTTATCTGTTCCGTCGCTCTCGAAACGATAATTGCGCGGGAGAAGGGAACAGCGAGACCGGGTCGGAACACGCCGTTGTCGAAGATGAGCATGTCGCCTTTGTCGTTAATTTCGTGGGCGCAGTGCTGCTGGTTCACGGTAGGCGCGGTGAGATGCCAGATCACCTTTTTGGTCTCGCGGCTAATCACGAAGACAGAGGAGGTGTTTCGGGACGAGGCGATGATGTTTCCGTCTTTGTCGAGTGAGACGCTGTTGATTAATGGCCAGTGTTCGCGCGGGTAAGACTGGTGTTGCGGGAATTGATCGAGATCGAGGTGGTCGATTGCGCGCCAGGACCAGAGGAGCTTTGCGCCGCCGTTTTTCGTCCCTGGCTCGGTTGATGCTGACCCGTCGAAGTCGGAGGATGATGACTCGTCGCTTTTCGACCACGGTTCAACGAGTTTGATGCAGTCGGCGTACACCACGCCATTTGGACTCTCGCTCCCGGAAATGCCGCCGCGGACCCGAGCAGCTTCCTCGGCTGTCAGCGGCTCAAGAGTCGTATAGAGAATTGTCCCGTCATTGAGATGATTTTGGTCGTGGTGCGCGTGTGGATCGGAGTACTTTCGTACGACTTTGCCGTCTGGGTTAACCTGCATCATAACACCGCCGCAGTACTTTTTCCACATGGGGAAGAGATTTGGCGAGTCCGCATGCACGCCGTTGTAAGCGAGGTTGCCATTGGGTAGGATGCGAGCATGACGGCCGGCACGAGTAGGCAGAGTCCAGCGGTGGACCTCCTCGCCGGTTGTTGAGATGAGGTGTGCGGTGTTGGAGGTCAGAGGCGCATAAAGGACGTAACCGGGAGAGACACGGTCTGGGTCTGCACCGCGAAGCCCTAGGCCACGGCGGCGGAAGGTGTGCTGTTCCATGTTTCTCGCGCAATCTGGCTCAATGAAATGGAATGAGATGGTTGGTGTTCATTGCAGGATTCCCTCCATTTATCTCTGGGCGTTGGTGACTGTGACGTGAATGGCTTTGCCCTAAGCCGGCATGCCGCGGTATGCCGCGGGGAGATAAGCACGCAATTGTTATCACAAGAAACGACATGATAGAGTCGGGATTCCGCGGTGGAAGAAGCAATTAAACAGATAGGGGGAAAGATATATCATGTCGTCCCAGGTGCTGATCGAGAATAATCATCCTCAAAAATCAACTCTTGAAGATGGACGAAGTTCCAAGAAGCTCCGTTGACAAGGCAGCCCCGGATGGGGTCTCCGCATTCGAACCAGATCAGCCCTCGTGGATCCAGTCAAAGCTCAAGGTTGAAGTGAAAGGCATTGAGCGGGTCACTGACGAAGAGCGCCAGCACAATACGACCAAATTTTGGAATGCCTGTACCTTTTGGTAGGTTGCCGTTAAGATAGGTTGCCGTTTATAGGGACGATTTTCAATGCTGAACGATACAGGTTGAGCGCAAACATGGCAGTTGCTACACTCAATGTTGGCTCATTGGGCGGCGCCCTCGGTCTTCCCTTCTGGGACAGCTTTGCGGTGATATTGACGATAAATGTTGTCAGTAACCTGCTACCCGCTTGGACGGCGGCATTTGGTCTGACTGGCCTACGGATGACAACTTTTTCGTATGGCCCCTATACGCTTTGGTTAGAGCCGATCGCTAACGCATATAGTCGCTACTCCTTCGGATATTGGGGCAACCTCTTAGTTGTAGTGTTTTCCATGGTCGCAACAACAGGTTGGAACGCAATAAACTCGATCTCCGGCGCAGTTGTACTTAATGCCCTTTCAGACGGCCGGTGTCCGACCTGGGCCGGAGTGATAATCATCTGCACTGTGGTCTGGATCATCTGCGCTCTCGGAATAAGTTGGATTCATCGCCTTGACGTTTTCGCGTGGATTCCACCCTTCATTGTTTGGTGCGTTGCTGCCGGAACGGGCGCCTCCCACCTCACAGGAGTCGACATCAGCCAAACTCAGGGAGCTAATAGGGCAGCTCCTGTCCTGACGTTCATGGCCAGTATTTTCTCCTTTGCCGTGTCCTGGATCAACTGCGCGGCTGATTACAATGTCCGAATGCCTGTTGACACTCCGCGTTGGAAGATTTTCAGCGCGACGTATGTTGGCATCTTTGTGCCCACCGTCCTGGTCCAGACTTTAGGCGCAGCGCTGTATTCTGGGACGATCAACAACCCCGACTGGGCGCAGGCGTATGGCGAATTTGGCATTGGCGGCTTGTTGAAGATGGCCTTGGCTCCCGTAGGAGGATTTGGCAAGTTCCTCATGGTCCTTGCGGCCCTAAGTGCAATTCCAGTGAGTACACCATGCGGCCTCGTGGATGAGCTAACATCAATAGAACAACATTCCCAACAATTATTCGTTCGCCCTTCACGCACAAAACTTTGGACCATGGGCAGTGCGTATACCACGCATCGTCCTTGTGACATTTGGCTTCGTAGCCGCTATTGTAATTGGTTGCTGCGCGGCTGAGTACTTTGACGATACGCTTTCAACCCTGCTCAGCGTTATTGGCTATTGGACCGTCATCCACATCACCTTGGTTGTCGAAGAGCATGTTCTCTTCCGAGGCGGTTGGAAGGGTTACGACCTCGATGCCTGGGATAATCCATTATACCTGCCGTTCGGGTGGGCTGCAATCGCTGCTTTTGGGTTCGGCTTTGTGGGAGCGGCTTTAGGCATGAAGGTAGCTTGGTATGTCGGGCCCATTGCTTCGCTAATTGGGGATTCCGGAGCAAACATTGGCCACGAGTTGACATTTGCGTTTTCGGCGATCGCATTTCCTGTGTTCCGTTTGATAGAAAAACGATATACTGGTCGTTGATCTGAACATGAACGAGTGAGCCGGAGCCCTGTTGTGGAGTCATGTCTTGAAACATTTGTTGGTCATTATGGTTTTTCAATTCTCAGAACTGATCAACAACAAAATCAACTCATTCCATCCGGTAACGGATAGTCCTGGGGAAAGAAGGCAAAGTTCGATAGATCCCAACCACCATTTGGCGTCGCCTCCACGCCGAGGAATTCGGGGAAATAGTGCCTTGTAAATTCTTCGTTCAAAATGTCATTTGCCTGGCCGACTGCGGGTATCTCAGCCACCTGGGGCCTTGACTTTTGCTGGACTTGCGATATGATTGTTCCAAATGTATTCGCCGCATGGCAGGGAAGTCCAACGTCATGGAGCCATTGCACTAAGCTGGATATTAGTTCGTGCAATTCTTTTGCATTTGAGATTGTGGTTTGCTGTTCAGAACCGATCAGGCGACATATGACAATAGCAGAGAACGTAATCATATGGTAGACATGATCGGTCAAGTGTCTAGTTCGCTCATCCACTGTGTCCATGGCTAGTCGTATGATGGCTGTGGCATTTGCGACCATGTCTCCAACGATTGATTCTTGCGCCCGGGCAGACTTCGACTTGAGACATCGATCGTAAAGCAGTAGACGTGAGAATTGTAACCCCATCATCAGAAACTGGGCCCTTGGTTGTTCTGTACCAATTAGCTTGTACTGGTTAAGTACCAGCGACCCTTACCTAGCACAAATTGCCATTCGTTCTGCCAGGCCTGGAGGCTCGCTAGTGATTGCGGAAGGTCCATGGGTTCCGCCAAAAGCTTATAGACCCTGTCGTACAGATGAACCTCGGCGACCATTCTCAGCTCGTAATTTGTGGCGCGGTCAGAGGTAATGATGGACCGGCATCGTGCTATATGCCAGTCCTGGAGCATCGATCTTCGGCTGGTCCCGACACAGTAGTGGAGATGCACGAGGCAGATATGGTTCCACAGAAACCAGCGCTCGGATGTGGACTTATCAAATTCTGGCGTGGCTGACGTGTTGATGACATCGGAGAAGAGTGAACTTGACTGGCAATGCTGGAGCGCGAATCCGCTCAACAGCCAACTGTCAATGCTGAGGGGCACCTGTCCTACTGTGGTGGACCACATGCAGAGAATAAGGACGGCTTGAAAGAATTCGATAGTTTGCGGCGATACCAAAAGGGCGATCTGAACGAGTGAACGCGCATTCTCGTAGAGCTTCTGAGCGAGACTCGCAGCAATATCCTGCGAGGTATGGCGAACGGCGATCAAGCAGCAGGCGCATAAGAGCAAGGGTGACTTGCTCACTCGTTGAAGGAGGAAATTAGGGTCCTCATCTGGGTCAAACAGAACCCACCGGCCGTAATGTTCAAGGAAGCTATGACGGTCATCATCTATCCCCTAATTTGATGGGAAAAAAGTACATTGTAATCAAGTCCAGAGCTATCTCCGGCGGCACAAGATCGTTCAATGGCGCTGTCTGTGAAGTAGTCGGCAGTCCAATCCCTGTATCGGCTGCTAGATCACGAATCACTATCACGGGTCCCGCGGAGTCACCCTTGTGTATCGTGTTTACGGGGCTTGCCGTCGCTGGCTGGTAGCGGGGGTTAGACCTTGGAGCAGAACACGCTAGCTGGGAAGTGTCCTCTCCAAGTCGATCGAGGAGACGAGTCACCACCTTTTCGAGTCGCTCCAGCCTAAGGACTGTCAGAAGATCAACCGTATGAGGCTAGCAACGTACCGAGCGTCAGTGCTTGTCTCCGTCGATGTAGATCGTTCCTCAACCAGATCCTGAGCAAATGAGCATCTTTGACTGAGCCTTTCACATCGCAGACATGGCGCCCGAGGCTGGCCAGACTCGTAGCATCTGGTCTTCTGCTTTCTGCATGAAGCGCAGGCTCTCGACGCGCGCCCTCTGTCAGGTGGCATATTGAGACGTAGAGAGTCGCAGGAAGTAATCTAGCATGTCAATCGTCGAAGCTCAATGCGTCTTCCTGGAGCGTTCCATCAATGATTGACTTGGATGAGTTGAGGAGGTGGTAAGATAAGATGACGAGCTCGAGAGATATGGCCCGCTGTGAACAGGCTAGCCTGATTGGGAATAGGTAGGTGCCTGGGTAGCCTAGGTACCCTGTGCCCCGGCGTAAACAACAGGCTCTGTGCTTACCGGTAAATCTTTCCCTGCTATCAGCAAGTTACTTGGCCCCGGCCGTTCTCGCAGCCGACTTTGGTAACAAGAGTTCTCTTGCTCGGACAGTTTCCAATACCGTACAGAGTGTTCTACGCGAATAGCCAGAGAGGAGATTATGTCAGACCCTAGAAACTGCTTATGGCCATGGGCTGCGCATGTCCATGCTTTAATTGGAAACTTGGCTGCGGCTGAGCAAGCTGGTCATCGAGCTGGGATGAACCGTCAGCCTTGCGGTCAATGCCCCTCTGTTGCTGCGTTGCTGATGCCTCTCCACTTACAAAACGCATGACCTCTTTATCGACCAGAAAATGCCCTTTGCTCAGAATGAACTCGAAGCCGTCAGGACGGGACTCGGACACCCAGTTCCTGTCTTTCCAATCGCAACTCCCCGCACTTGGAAGCTTTTGACTTGCTTTCTTGCCGGAACTCAGCTTAGCCTCTTTGTCGCACGCCCCGTCATCCAGCTCAACATCCTATTATTCTACCTGAACTTGACGTTACTGCGTAGGCTTCTTCCAATCTCGCCGGCCGTTGCACAAGCCCTCTTACAGATACCTGGGTCTGCCGTTAGCTTTTCTGGCAGATTGGCTGTAGGTGGCCGTTCGAAATACTCTTGGAAGATCTATGTTCGTTAACATGGATTGGGTCTAGATAAACTACGTTAACCTGCTGAGGAGTCCGAGGAATATCGTCGCCAAGATCTTTTGGTTGATTTACTTTGTCTGGGGAGACCATCTAACCTTCCACGACGATTATACCGAGGCCTGGAGGCAGAAGTTCGCCGCTGACCAACAAGTTCTACCTCCAACAGGTCAGGAATGCTCATTATATATCTTCACGGATAATGGTGATCGAACCGAAGTTCCGTGCCGTTGGGACGGGGACGACCAGCAGTTGCTGGAAGCGATATCGGCATTCTTTTATCTTCGCAAGTCTCGGAGAGGACTTATGGAACTGTTGAGCCTCAAATCTTTGCAGAATATCGAGGTTGTAAAGGTCAGTGATCTATCGAGGTTTGGTCGTGGCGCAAGCATTGACTTTATCGAAGCTGCAAGGCAACAATGCCGTGGGGGAGCACCGCTACCTCCTGATGCTTGGCCGATACAGGACCAGCACACAGTATACATATTACTTCAGATACCCTTCGCGAACACAAGGGGACGAAATCCTAAGCAAGTTGAAGAACGACGGTGTTGTGGCTGCCGTGGGAGAACAAACAATGGCGCTGAACTTCGTCAGCTCCTTTGATTCAGGCTCAGCGTCATTCGTCGTTCTGCTCCCAATAGTCACCAGCTTCCTCATCTCTGTCCTTTGGCCGATTGTTGCCGTTTACAGATACAAGGCTGATGTGCAGACCAGCGTTCAAACGGGGTTTGCTGTGGGAAGTTATGTAGTGACGACTGGTAAGTACGGTTTCTCTTAAGCCATGCATCGGACTGCTAGTTTACGCTGCCTAGGAGCCCTGATAATTGCCTTGATAGCTTTCTTGGATACGCGGTACAAATCTCCGTAACGCACAGATAAAGAGATAGGTACGGCAAACGAGCTAGATCTACTTCGCAACATACAACAATTTATACGAGGAATCGAATGAAACTTATCATATTCCAGACTCGTTACTCAGCATGAATGACCGAATTTCTATCCCCTTGGCGTTGTTCAAAATGCTTGCGGGCGGGCGAGGGCATTCACCCTACCAACGTGACCGGTGGAATGCCCCCTGGAAGTTATGGCAGCACCACTTGCGGCTCCTACGCATTGGAACCACAGAATGCAGCATTAAGATAAACCCGCTTCCGAACCTCCACCACATCGAACCCTGTTGCGCCATGCGCATTCCCATCGTCAAATGCCTTCCGCCAACATTTCCGCCCACAATCTCCGCGCCCACGATGCTCCAGTATTCCCCGAGGACAAGCACATGCGCTCTTCGCCACCGGCCGCACGACATACTGTACGTCGATATCGGATGGGAGCTCATCTACACGGCATTGTGCCGAGAAGCGGTCACAAAGCGCAGTGTGGACGACTCGCACCGCATCGAAGTATCTCTTCTGCTCCAACCATTCAGTCAACTTGGCGATTCCGTAGAATCTCGACTCCTGCAAGAGGGCGTGGTAGGTGGCGTGATCGTGTCCGCGCAGCTGGTCGTAACAGAGCGGGTATGTGCCCCGGCGCAGGAATCGCAGGATCAGCTTGAATAGGTCGGCGTCGGCGTCGACGAAGTACTTTCCGTTCTCGCGTTCGTTGTCTGGATCTGCGAGGAGGGTTGCAAAGAATGTGCTTTCCTTTACGAGCGTGTCGTGGGTAGTGGTGAAGTAGCGCTCTCCTATCTCCAGCTCGACGATGTCGGTGCCGGAGATTTCTGTGAATGACGAACTGTCGGTGTCGGACATCTTGTGGCGGGCCTGGTAGAGAAGTTGAAAGGGAAGAGTTGGTTATGATAGCGGCACAGAAGAGTAGAAGTCAAATCGCGAGTTTTGAACTGTGCGAGGTGTGACCCTCGCGAGGGATAGTTGGATCGGATCTCTCCTCCTACAAGTGAAAGATGTGCTCGTTGTGTTTAGCCCTACATAACCGCGGAATTATGGGATGAGCAACGGGCCACCGAGCAAGGTACGGACAGGAATTCCGGATAAAATTTGTCTTCCCATAAGGTTCGTCGTACCACCAAGTCCCGCAATAACTGCTCGGCTGTACCATACTACTTCCCTCGCATTACCGGACGAGCACCAGGAATATTCCCAGAACCAGCAGCAGTACCAAGAGCATACCCACTACCCTTCCCTTAATCGTCCTTCTCCCCCTCGCTGTCTGCTTAAACATCTCCATCGGAGCAAACCAAGCATGAATCTTCTCCTGCTCCAGCTTCTCATTCACACTCGCCACCACAATTGCCTCGAAAAATTTATACACTTCGTTGCGTTGCCCCATTGCAATGGGGTCAGCCGAGAAAACAATCTGCCAATTGCTTTCTACGGCAGCCTGCTCATTTGCTGGAGAGCCATATCTCTGAGCGTTCCTCGGCAATCAAGCGATTATCCCGAAGGAGAGGGCTTGAAGATATGGGTGACTATCGGTGGTCCAGGCATGGAAGGAGTCATACCCCTACATAATCGAGACGTGGGCTACCTTATAAGGTACTGAGCCAAATAGATCATTGTTGGATGGCGTGAAGGTACTCGGCCACATCTCTATTGAACATCCCCTTTCGGACAAGGTGGTCTGCAGACTCTACGATCCACGTCTGGCAGTCTCGTTGGACCACTCTTCTTCTGGAGGCGTCTTCGCTCGTACTCATCTAGGACCCGAGGGTTAGTGCGTGTCACGCGAAACTGGCGATTTATAGGCGTAGCAGAGCGGGTAGGACATACACCAACACTAACAAGTGACTTTTCAGGGACCTGAACCCTGCTCAACGCCCTCTCAAATTCACAAACAGGCTCGTAGTCAATAACCTCCTCCAGGTTACTACCGCCCTCGACTCCATCCAATCCAAGCATCCGCTCCTCATCAAAGTATCTCGCGTCCACCCAAGCCAGTGGCACAATCTTCGTCGGAATGTCTTCTGAGGCCCGCACGTCGTGACGGCGCTTAATCTCGAATATGAACCCAGTGCTCACGCTTCCCGTGGCGTGGATCTTTACCCCGACATTCGGAAGTTTCTGAGACCCAACGAAGTATGCCCAGTGGTCTTTGAAGGGGTGTCCGTTGTAGATTAGGAGACTGACTAGGGAAGATCCAGGAGAGGGTATCGGGGGAACCTTCGGTGGATTTGGGAGTGTTGGGATGATTGTTTTGGCAATGATGGTTGGAGGGGGTGGCGGTGGAGGTAATGGAGAAGACATTGTCGGTAGATATGAGCTATTGTTGAAGGATGATACGAAGAAACCTGGAGAGGGTGCTTAAGCGTATTTTCCTCGCCCTGCCCCAAGCACATTAATAAACTCGAGATTGTTGTAGCCGTTCCTCTCCCAAATGCGTGGAGGTCAGGTGCCTGATGTATGCAGCTTCTTAGCCCCGCGTCAGCGCCCCGCATCTTATCTTTGTTCCTGGCAGTGGCAACCGCTACCTGCTTCCTCAAGTAGCTCAAGACTGCTAGCCTTTGGTCCCTGCCGTCTGAGATAGCCTCTGGACTCGATATATGTAACGGCGAATATGGCAATTTCGGTGACATCCTACCCTCCTCTAGGCAAAGCAACCTGCCTCAAGAGCGACAAGGTACGCTTCCCTGCACGTACGTATGGCACAAGCTCACCGAATCACGGCTACATGAGAAGGTCCAATTCAGGGTGCTTCTAGACTCGGACTCTGAAACAGACTTCGAAGTTCAAGTCTGGCATGACATTGGCGGCTATGGGTGGAAGGCTCTTCCGCTCCGAATATGTCCGCCCACGGTTCTCCCATCTTTAAGCAGCGGTCTGGTCCCAGCCCATCGTCTCGTCTTTGAAGGCGAGATATCCCGTCCACCGCACGGCATTTCCAATTTCACCATCCGGTATCGCGAAGACCGAGATTCCGAGTGGCATTGGGCGAACAAGGAGCAGCACACTGGTAATGGGGAGCTGATTTTCCTGTCGGCTGACCTACCCTCGCAACTCAGCGGATTTTCGGCCGAGGACTTTGCCAGGTATTTCGACCATTTATCCCCCGACGTCGAAGTCGGGGTCCGAAAGAGCGAGGCACCAGGGGCCGCATTATGGAGTTTGTCGGGCTCGGTGGATTCGGCCAGAGATGGACATTCTGGTATTGTCAGTCTGCCGCTCGGGGTGCCTTCATCGGTGTCGAGATTCTTTGCCCTAGCACGTATAGAGACGCCGTGGCTGGGGCCAAGGCAGGGGAGAGATAAGCTCGACTTGAAAGAGGACGCACTTCTTTGCTCGTTCCTCAGGGAGGATGGAGTGCATGTGGTGCTCCTAGGCGTTACAGTAGGCGACATTCTTACGGTCCTCAAATCTGGGCCAAACGGTGAGCTGGTGGTTCAATCAAAAAATGACAACCCTGCACCTTCGCGATTTCAGGTCCTGGCAGCAGCGGCCGACGATTTTGAGACTGCCATGAGCGCCCTGATCTATGAAGCTAGGAAGCTTGTTCGTCCGTATGAAATCACGCTCGAGAACGATGCCAGAGCTCAATGGCTCTCGGAATGGTACGACGGTTTGACATACTGTACCTGGAACGGACTGGGTCAGGACCTAACCGAAGATAAGATTCTCTCTGCCCTTGACGAGTTACAAGACAATGGTATCAAGATCAAGGCTCTCATCATTGACGATAACTGGCAATCGCTCGACAATGACGGCTCACGCGACGGATGGCAACGCGGGTGGACTCAGTTTGAAGCAAATCCCAAAGCGTTTCCAAACGGCCTTGCACGTACAGTCTCTTCGATTCGTGAGAAGCATCGAAACATCGAGTATGTCGTTGTATGGCATGCCATTCTCGGTTACTGGGGCGGCATCTCGCCCGAGGGATCTCTAGCAGCAACCTACAAAACCAGAGAAGTCACACTAAATAGCGCAACGAAACCATCTATCCTAACAATCGACCCATCCGATATCCAGCGCTTCTACAACGACTTCTACGCCTTCCTCTCCAAGTCCGGAATAAGCGGCGTCAAAACAGACGCGCAGTCCTTCCTCGATCTCCTCTCCGACCCCAACGACAGAAAAGCATACACAAGCGCCTACCAAGACGCCTGGACAATCTCATCCCTGCGCCACTTCGGCCCCAAAGTCATATCCTGCATGTCGCAGATCCCGCAAACAATCTTCCACTCCCAGCTGCCCACAAACAAACCCACCATCGTGCTCCGAAACTCAAACGACTTTTTCCCCGACATCGAGGACTCCCACGCATGGCACGTCTTCTGCAACGCCCATAACGCGCTTCTAACGCGCTACCTGAACGTCCTACCCGACTGGGACATGTTCCAGACGAGTCCTGAAAATGGACGTGACTATGCGTCCTTCCATGCCGCGGCACGCTGTATCTCCGGTGGACCGATCTACATCACAGATAAACCGGGCCAGCACGATATGGCACTCATCAAACAAATGACTGCGTCAACTATCCAAGGAACAACCATAATCCTACGCCCAAGCATCGTCGGCCGCACGCTCGACATGTACAACGATATTCAGGAAGGGCATATCCTCCGCATCGGAACGTACCACGGCCGTGCGGGGACAGGGAGCGGGATCATGGGGTTGTTCAATGTTACTTCAGGCACCAGGTCGGTTATTATACCCCTTGGCGACTTCCCGGGGATTTATGCAGATAAGGAGGCGGAGACGGGATATATCGTTCGTGCGCATAAGACAGGGAAAATCGCCGATGGACTACTTGCGTCATCGGCTGTTTCTGTGACGCTCGAGGGGAAGGGCTGGGAAGTTATAACGGCCTACCCGACTACATCTGTCACCTTGACCACCAAGGACAACGCTAAACAGGAATCAGACACTGCGGTCTCAGTCGCTGTTCTCGGCCTCCTAGCCAAGATAACCGGTATCGCGGGCCTCGTCAATTCAGACATCTACGTTGAGGAAAGCGGGAGGCTGCGTGTCGATATCGGCATCAAGGCTCTGGGTGTACTGGGTGTCTACTTCTCAACTCTGCAGGAGTGGGATATCGATGAGCACTTCATGGTTCTTCTGTCGGGAAGACCTGTACCCAGGAAGACGGTGTGGAAGGAGGACGGGAAGGTTTTGGCGATTGATGTTGAGGAGGCGTGGTATGGTTTGGGGCTCGAGGCTGGGTGGGGGAATGAGGTTTGGGTTACGGTTTTGCTGTGAAGGACGTAGTTCATTTATTCTTGCTAGGTAGACGGACGTACACGTCAAATTCTCTATAGACGAACTAAATGACAGCAACCTCTCTCAGGCCAACTCAGCCACTGATCCGTACCCTCTTCCACCTGCTAACCAGCCCTGGCGACAATGGTCTTTAGCCAGGCTAGGAAGCGAGGTCCATAAATGGATGCTTCTATGCAGGCCAGAGGTTGTAGTGGATGGTCGCTGGACCGATAGTTCACATTCCGTTCTAGCTAGTCGAGTAGTATAGGAATCCTGATATACTCGTTGGAAAGATATCAAAGGAATGGGTGATAAAAGCTCTGAGATTGTATCTACCTAGGCGCCGGGGATGAAGAATGCAGTTCAGTCATCTCGCCCTCTTTCCCAGGATTCACCTCCGCCGATGATGTCATTGGATGAAGTCTTTCCAGTGAGACTTCTAATTTCTGATTGGCTTTTTTCTCCAAAGCTGGTAACTTGTTTCAAGCATATTCCTTGGTCGTCTCGAGACGCGCGGTGATGGAGTTCACATACGGCACTTTGGACTCGGGTAATAATGGCAGTAACCAGGGTTAACATGGGGTGAGTGCACTGATAGCGAGTAGAATCGTGGAACGTAGCATCAGGCATGAGAGTAGTCAGAGTAGGACAGGACTCAGAGTAGGGCAGCGGTCAGTGGAGCTAAGTCTTTGCCTTGGACCGTGTATTTAGATTTAGATTCCACGGCCAAGACACCGTGCCGGCGGAGGGGGTGTTTTTAGTATAGTGCTGGTATAGCCTTGATAGTAAATTAATTATAAATATTATATTAATATGAGATTTAAATTTAATATAGTACTAATAATACATTAAATTTAATATATTTTATTAATAAAAATATATATTATTTAAAAATATATAATGAATAATAATGTATATTAGAAATAATATATATTAAATTTTTAATATATAATTATAATAAATATATATTTTTTAATAGAAATTATATATTTTTTATTAAAAATATATATTTATTGCACCTAAATATGTATTTTATAGGTTTGATATGTATTTTACAGGTTTGATATGTATTTTATAGGTCTAATATACACCAGATATACATCAGGCCGTTTGATATATATTATAGTTTTTAATATATTATATATTAAAAGGGGGTTCTTAATATTATACTAGTAATATATTTAGCCTTAAAAATATATTATCTATAAAAATATATTATCTATAAAAATATTTATACTTATATAATATTAGTATATAATATAATATAAGAATTAGGTTAATATAAAAGATTAAATAATACAATTAAATAAAAAAATATATAAAAAATAAAATAAAATTATCAATAATAATAGGTTTTAAAATTTTAATATAAATTTTTAAAATATAAGATTAGACGCTTACTATACCTTAGAATAAAATAATAAAATAATAAAATAATAAAATAATAAAATAATAAAATAATAAAATAATAAAATAATAAAATAATAATATAATAAAGTAATAAAATAATAATATAATAAAATAATAAAATAATAAAATAATAAAATAATAAAATAATAAAATAATAAAATAATAAAATAATAAAATGATAAAATAATAAAATAATAAAATAATAAAATA